GACTCAGGATTATCAATAACATCAACATGAATGTTATAGTCTCCAGTCAAAATAATAGGAATGTTCGACATCAGATGTGGTTGTATAAACTCGCTGAATTCAGATAAGAACGTGGAGATGGGAACGCGGTGATTCTCGGAGTAAGGTGGTCTGTAAAGATTGAAAAGTCTGAGCTGAAACGATCCAAAGGTGACATGATATTCAGCAAATTCAAATGACTTTGTCTCACCAGCTCCGCCGCGACGACCAGCACGCGGATGGTGTAGGAATTTGTGACCTGTAGGGACGATGTCATTGATGACTGCTGCGTCATTCTCTGTAAGCCACGTTTCGGTTATAGCGTACAGGTCGGCATTGCTGTCACAAACGTAGTCCATTACTGCTGCTGACTTATTTCTCAATGACCTGAAATTGGCAGTGCAGAGTTTGAGCGAGTCCTGTCCAGCAGAATTGATGCATACTCGCGGTATCTCGATAAGGTTGTTGATATTTCTGCTGAGGTATCTAGGGCATTGGTCATATCTAGGTGTAAATTCGACAACAGGGATATGCTGCTCTGCTGTAACTGTGTATGCTGCGGAGAAGGTAGGTGACTGTAGTGTAGCAGGGGCATGTTGAGATGTCTGAAGAGGTGCACTCGCACTATTGGCCGAATATGGATGGGGATCGATGACTCATCAGCTCGCTCAATCAAACGAGCTACGCTGACGGCCTCGAACGTCAGGGGGGGATGGGGGCACAACTTGGCGAATGAAACGGGTTTGCTTTTAATTTTTTTTTTTTTTTTTTTAATATTTGATTGCGAAGCCGCAATCCATGAATGAATTTAAAGTAAAATGTTTTTGCTTTCCAACAGCAAAGTATTTATAAGTATTTATAAAAATTATTAGTGGGGAATAACGTTAGAGGGACTTTAAAAGAAGCTATGATTGTAGACATCTAAAAGAAAACAGAAGTAGTTTGAATTACCAAGTTTTCAACGGTCACTTAAAATTTCAATGATTCCCACATTTATTTACACATGTTTTTGTAACCTGGGTTACCAGCCCGCCTGGCAAGTAGTAGGCAAACTATCCATGATTAGACGTTTTCATTTGTAGGGGTGGAGTCCCTTCTTACGGTAGTCTTGTTATGGTGATAGGGCAAATGAAAGAATCTGATTGTGTGCGTGTTTATGTGGAGTGATAATCTTGGGAACTTTGTTTTTTGTTGATGGAGGTTGTTGAGTTTATCTAGTGGTACACCTGGAGTGAAAAATGTATATCTGGAGTAGGCGAACAGAAAATATGGCATGGAGAATCAATGTTATTGTGCTCGCAATTATAATTTCAGTGAATGCAAATCATGCAAGTTTGTGCAACTTTAATAGTTTGATCTACTTGCTGCTTCCCCGCATCCTTAGCCCCCTTGTCAGTGACTTAGTGCAGGTGGTGTATACGTAGGTGGGCATTCAGTTATTCGTTTTAACATAGGTTTTCCCGCCCAACTTCGTAAACTTAGCATCCGAATTAACGTTACGTTCATTCAAGTTCGTGCGAAATTGAATGACTATGTAGATCAACATTCAAAAAGCTAATTGCGTCAATCAATTTGATTTTATAGTAGCATGCGATTTCATACTCTTGTCACGGAGAAGTGCAAAACGAGCATTCAATTTAGAAAAGCGTGCAAAGAGCATTTAAATTCGCGCCGGACAGACGGTGGTATGTATTCGAGCATTCAATTTCCTGATTAGGCATCCATATGTGACATTTGTGCATTGCTTTTCATTTGATGTTTTGTCCCTTAATATACTTCTGTTTGAATAATTTAATGCTAAGTTTACTTGTAGGAATGATTATGCGTATTCGTTAGCAGATATCTGTCATTACACAGGTAACTGTCCCCAGAGAAGGCGCACAATTTGTGACTTCTCTTCTTCTTGTAAGAACAAGCTATATAATTATACACAGATCCTGGACAGCGGTAGAGTTGAGCTTTAGACATGGCCATGATGGAAACAAAATACAATGATGAATAAAGAAAAATATGTGAAATGAAAAGAAAAAAAGATTACCCACTCAATCCAGATTGATAAAAAAAAACATTTAAAAAATAACCTCATTTATAATGAAAGATATGAAGACATGACTGTATAAAGAAATGTTTCATCAAAAATAAAGATCGACAGAAAGAGAAAATATTGAATGCAATATAAATATATCAGACAAATAAGAAGATTGTATAATGTGAAATCATGTCAGAAAAGATAATAGAGAAAAAGAATAAACAAATGAACATGAAAAAGTGAATATCCGAATAAACATCGAGCCTCATACAATAATTATGAGGTCTAGTTTTAATTTGAATGACCCGATTGCGAAAGAGGTTGCCCATAGACGAAAATGAAACCGCAATTCGCCAAAGAATTGTCCTCCCACTCAACTTTGGCGAAATTGATTGACGCTAACGCATTTCCAAATTGACTGAACCAAACGTTAATTTGAATGTGCTTGTTTCGAAAATTCGGTGACTCGAAACGAAATTGAATGCAAAAAGTTTAAAAATGAAACAGGAAAGCAACGAGTGGAGAAAATTTGCTCGAACATGAATGCAAGTTAGTGAAATTGATCGCTGCTTTGACAAAATTGGCCGGGAAAACCTACAAAATGTCCATCAAGGCCAATGCACTGTAGTCGCCATTGACTTGAATTTTCGGGTACCCGGTCCCCGCTCGTTTTCCCTACTCAAACCCGAGTTCAGTAAAACCAGTGATGAATCAGGCCTAATCCAGGGGGGTGTTTCATCAAGCCTTAAAATTTATCTTTTTCCTTTATTGGTTCAACCATTTTTTCAAATATTTTAAAAACAACATTCAGAATTACAAACGATGTTCAAAAGATATATACAAAACATATTGGACACGCAAAGTGGGGTTCCCTTTACAAATCGATTTTAAATCTTAAAATCGATCAGATCGAATGTAAGGGCCCTTGATTTCACTTTTAGGACCAGTTTCATGAAATAAATAAAATTGATTAAAGCTTTAAAGTCTATTTTAAGTTAGAATGTGATTAATGTTATCCTACACTCCATTATTGATATGCTATGTTCAGCATTCAATGGCTTTACATGCATAAGTGTCGGCTAACTTCAATTTGATCATGCATCGGAAAATGAAGAATTCTATTCAAAATTAATGGCAATTTTTTGTTTAAATCATCATAGCTAATACCAGCTAGGCATGATCAATACCAAAGGTGGGGGGGGGAGGCACAATGGCCCACGGCCTGTTTTTTCCTTTAAAGTACCATTTACATATGATTAACATGCCTTTTTATTTATTACAAGTGCACTTTTCCTTCATGTAATTTGTCTTGTTTCACTTTGTTTTTAAGTTCCTCTTGTTATTTCTGCTTATGTTTTCTTCTTAGAAGTGCCCCTTTTCATTTTTGTTATGTGCCCTCTTTTCTATAATTTTCTTACCATATCTGCTTACAAGTATGTGCCCTTATTCAGTTCATATACTCTCTCTCATAAACATACGACGATCCCATCACGATGCTTTGATTTCCGCCCCTTTCAAAGTTATTTTGTTTTTTCTTGAAACGCCCATCTCCCCCCACCCTTCCCCCACAACAAATTAAATAAATAATAAAGTACACAAATAAATAAACACTAACTTATAACAAAAAGAATTGCTAGGATGTTTGAATACTCACCATCAAACAAAAACACCATCATTGAATCACATCATTGCCCTTTATCATCATTTCATAATTACCACCATGCGCTAGCGTACAATCTTATCCATTCATCCCCCCCCCCCCCCTTTCTCTTGTTGAGTGACAAACATTACTTACAGAATAAAATTATCACAGATTTTTAAAGCTTTAATATCTAATCAATATGCTTATGCTTTAATGAATGAAATCTACATTTTGTAAATTACATTCAATGGATACAATAAGAATATTTGAAATGACACAAATGATAATGCTCCTATCAAAGTGACAGCCAGTAGTTAAAACTATTGCTGCTGATATCTGCAACTGTCTATTCGAGGTACCTTTGTGGAGATTAAAATAGTACTATTTGTCACAAGGATTGATGTTATTCATATGGTTGTTAAAGATAAACTTTAGTACTGGTAATGCGATTGCATTGTGAAAGAAAAGGTGTGAAAGGATCAGAAACAGTTGATCATGGAGCATGTAAGTATTGGTGTAGCAAGGTTCTGGAGTCATCAAAATCATAATAAATTTGACCGAGTCTTGGTAAAGTAACAAACACTCACATAGAAAGCTATATATGGGACAACACACATGGTGTCGGGGATGGTACTACCTTGGTTTCCTTGTCTTTCTATGCTCATTACTCAGCCAGTATACATTTTCTTCCAAAATTGTTTGGCACATGTCATTTATTTATAATCTTGAACATTCAGTGTAAGTTTCGTTTGATTCTGTGAGAATTAATTTCTTTTTTTTTACCAGTACTGGAGTTTATCTTTAATATAAAGGTGATATACATCGTCATGTAAGGTCATGCAGTCAGCGAGAATGTTTATTTTCTTCATACAATAGTTTGTCTATATGAAATTAATTCTTTTCTATCAGCTTTGAAAATGTTCTAAGGACAGCATAAGCCAGAGTTAATATATTTCCTGCAATACAAATCTGTTTTCATTGCAATCATAATTTTCTGTTGTTTCTTTTGTATTTTTTATTGTGCAATTGCTACAAAAGCACTTTAAGCATCAACAGGTACGTAATGATGACCTTTGACCTCATGACCCCAAAATCTGATCAGTTCATTGGCTCTGCAAGATATATACATGACCAAAGTTTGGCTGGAATCCATCCATCGATTCTTGAGATAACGCGATCACGAGAATGGGAAATACGGACGGACGGGCAACCTGAAAACATAATGCCTCCGGCTACTTCGTTGCGAGGCATGAAAAGAAACAAATATCTCCCATCTCTTTTTATCTGCTTCTTATTTAAAATAAATTTTACCTGAGATGAAGAAGCTCGATCAGCAATCTCTTCGTAGAAATTATCATGAAAGAAACAGGACTCAATATACAGGTCTGTAAGATGAGGCAGGAGACAGAGAAACTTCCCCAGACAGGAGGATGCTGATTGATCATTGCGGAGCTTCAAATTGTAAACCATAAACATCTGAATCTGTGCATGGAAATACAAAGAATAACATACATAAATCATGAAACATGATATGGGGAAATAATGGAATCCTTATTATAGTCTGTACTGTCACATTAAGCATTCACATAATTACAGAAGATGATCCAGGGTTCTGGTTTGAGGAAGGGGGGGGGGGGGAGAAAGTCTGTAAAAATAAATCTAATGAGCAAAACACACGGTAACTGTTTGGTTGGTTTGTTTTATTTTCTGTAAAATGTATATATAAAGAAGTCATACATATAAAAAGTCAACTCTTAAAAATACAGCTGGAATGCTCTAATCCAGAAACAGAGAAACTTCTCCAAACAAGAGGAAGCTGATTGGTTATCATTTAGTTATAGAAACATCTGATTGGTGACAAAGTGTCATTTAATGGAAAAAGTGTCCAGAATATTTTCGCTAATTTATTCATATCCCTATCCCGCAACCTCAGGTTTAAAAAGAAAAGTTCAAACAGGTTGACTATCCGTCGTCCAGACGACGGATAGTCAATCTGTTTGAAACGTCGAGCCACTCCCGCCATCCATCCTCTCCAAGCGCTATAGTTCTCCTTAGAACTATAAGCTAAGAAAGATAACCAACAGTCTTTTTCAGGACTACACACCCTCAAGAAAGATTACAGAGAGTCCTTTTCAGGACCCCTCAATCCTCCCTCTCTCTCACATGGTTTACCCGCAAGCCTACTGTATACAGGTTAGTGTTATTAATTGCACCATTAAACGATTTATGGCAATTTAGTACCATTTGTTCGTTTTGTTTCAACTGAGTGCTACAAAGGTATTGTGTTCAAGGGAATGCATCCATAGGATTATGACCCTATCCTATCAGATCATATGGAGCAAAGAAAATGTCATAGATGATGGTAATTGCTGTACTTGTAGATTTTGAACACTATCCAACCCCCTCCCCCCGAGCTTATACACAATCCTGTAAAATGAAATATATCAAACTGTAAGTAGATTGAACCTTTATAATTTAATTAACGTGTGTTCCTCTCGGACTGCCCAAGATGCGGTAGGGCCTTAATGGTTGTTAGAGCATGAAAGAAAGTCGCACGGCAGACAAAGGCCGTTTGTTCCCTTTCAGACAATGAATGATCTATACACAATGACGAACCCTTCACAAGTAAAGTACTTCGTTAATCAGCTCTACGCGTTACGTAAGAGCAATAAAGTACCCTTAACAGCGGACGCTTTAGCAGTTGCCAAGCAAAATGGCCTCCTGAGGTACAGGGGCTGTCGTGCTGGAACCTCTTAAACCCGACAAATAGAGACAGCTGTTAAGACGCGAGGGCCTTCATTTGAGCCAAAAATAACACATATTAATCGCTCGAACATGGTGCCTATTTCAAAGGGTATAGTGAGTACGTCGGCAACAATGAAAACTGCTACAATCTACCCTCCATTTACCTGAGTAATATGCGATTAATGTACAACAAACTCGACGAGCTTGAAATTGTACTGAAAAGAAACAAATATCTCCCATCTCTTTTTATCTGCTTCTTATTTAAAATAAATTTTTACCCGAGATGAAGAAGCTCGATCAGCAATCTCTTTGTAGAAATTACCATGAAAGAAACAGGAGTCAATATACAGGTCTGCAAGATGAGGCAGGAGACAGAGAAACTTCCCCAGACAGGAGGATGCTGATTGATTATTGCGTAGCTTCAAATTGTGAACCTTAAACATGTGAATCTGTGCATGGAAATAAAAAGAATAACATACATAAATCATGAAACATGATATGGGGAAATAATGGAATCCTTATTATAGTCTGTACTGTCACATTAAGCATTCACGTAACTCCATCAGATGATCCAGGGTTCTGGTTTGAGGAAGGGGGGGGGGGGAGAAAGTCTGTAAAAAGAAATCTAGAGAGCAAAACACTTGATAACTGTTTGGTTGGTTTGCTTTATTTTCTGTGTAAAATGTATATATAAAGAACACATACATATAACAAGTCAACTCTCAAAAATACAGCTGGAATGCTCTAATCCAGAAACAGAGAAACTTCTCCAAACAAGAGGAAGCTGATTGGTTATCATTTATTTATAGAAACGTCTGATTGGTGACAAAGTGTCATTCATGGAAAAAGTGTCAAGAATATTTTCGCTAATTTATTCATATCCCTATCCCGCAACCTCAGGTTTTAAAAAAGAAACAAATATCTCCCATCTCTTTTTATCTACTTCTTTTTTTAAAGATAAATTATACCCGAGATGAAGAAGCTCGATCAGCAATCTCTTTGTAGAAATCATCATGAAGGGCATATGAGCAAATGTCCAGGTCTCTAAGATGAGGCAGGAGACAGAGAAACTTCCCCAGACAGGAGGATGCTGATTGATCATTGCGTAGGTTCAAAATGTTATTAACCTTAAACCTCTGAATCTGTGCATGGAAATACAAAAGGATAACATACATTAATCATGAAGCGTGATATAGGGAAATTAATGTAACCCTTAAAGGTGAAATTCAAAGAAAATCACAAATATGTCAACTAATGTATCACTAGAAACTGGTAAGCTAACATATGGGCCATCGTACAAGTTTTAGGTCAACTACACATCGGGTGATTTATGAAAATACAAATACAACCACCTCTGTAGCAGCTGGGATATATACGAGAGATTCGCCGGAAAAATAACGATGTTTTAATGACGTCACTATATAGACCAATACTGCCCAAGCAGACGACATCCCATAAAGAATGAACATAATTGCAAAGCTCTTATTTGTCAAATTATAATTAGTTTAGTGTATATAAATGTAATGACATGTCAAACCATTCAAAAGGGGATATGACCCGATTCTGATAACTAAAATCTTTTGCTTGTAAATACACAGGATAGGGGTTAATTAACAATCAAAGAAACCAGACTTTCAAATTTAAAAACCCCCAGAATGATATTAAGGACGGCGTTTGTTCCCTCTTGAAACGCTGAACATACCGTGGTGTGTGTAGCTAAATATACAATGGCGTCTTATTTTGTTTACAAGCGACAAATTCCTTATTTTTGTATCGCTGCATTTGTCATCAAAATAAAACCATGTGCGAGGTTTAGAGTGAGGCAATCGATTATACATTTAGCCTGACGGTAGTGAAGTAAGAGGAAGAACTCAAGAGAAGATGAAAACACAGGCACTGAAAATGTGTGAAATGTCATGGGACATCGTCTGCTTGTGCAAATCATGTCCAAACTGTCACACATCTCAGCAGCGTTCGGAGAGCTCTTCAGGTGCTATGCCGGGCTGTATTTAAGCGTTTTGTAATTTATAATAATCATTACTTCAAACGTTTCCAAGCATTGAATTTGGATAACCTTGAAAATAAAGTTAGTTTTTAAAATCAATAAATATCTACTTTAACATAGTCTGTACTGTCACATCAAGCATTCACATAATTATAGAAGATGATCCAGGGTTCTGGTTAGAGAGGGGGGAGGGAGAAAGTCGGTAAAAAGAAATCTAAAGAGCAAAATATTCGGTAACTGTTTAGTAGGTGCATTTTTTTTTCTGTGTAAAATGTATATACATGCGTGTATATAATGAACGCAAACATTTACAAAATCAACTCTTAAAAATACAGCTGGAATGCTGTAATCCAAACACAGAGAAACTTCTCCCGACAAGAGGAAGCTGACTGGTCATCATTTAGTTATAAAGTCTGTTTTGTTGGTAGAGTAATGGTATGATTTTATGTGTTCAACAACCTTGAACGTGTGAATTTGTGGAAATGCAATCAAATACGCTGTACGCCAACAAGTCATGAAGTAGGATAATTGATAGTGGAAACCCTTCAGTTGGTAATTAAGTGGTACTTTGTACAACCCCCCCCCCCCTCTCAAAACAAACAAAACAAAACAAAAGAAAGGAAAACACACAGTCATGACTGGGAAATGCAATGGTAATCCAGGTTAGTGTTATTAATCGCACCATATGAATAGCCCTAAACGATTTATGGCAAGTTATTACCATTTGTTTGTTTCGTTTCAACTTAGTGCTACAAAGGTATCGACTGTTCAAGGAAATGCATCCATAGGATTATGACCCTATCCTATCAGATCATATGGAGAAAAGAAAATGTCATAGATGATGGTAATTGCTGTACTTGTAGATTTTGAACCAAGTATGTTTGTGTATAGACACTATCCAACCCCACCCCCGACCTTATACACAAACCTGTAAATGAAATACATCAAACTGTAAGTAGATTGAACCTTTGAACCTTTGAACCTAGAATTTAATCAACGTGTGTTCTTCTCGGACTGCCGAAGATGCGGTATAGGGCCTTAATGGTCGTTAGAGCGTGACAGAAAGTCACACGGAAGACAAAGGCCGTTTGTTCCCTAGCTTTCAGACAATGAATGATCTATACACAATGACGAACCCTTCGCGAACAAGTCAACGCAAAACGTAGCATCCCCTCGCAGGGTACAACTGGCCAATATACATCAGAACAAGTTACCTCCATTAGACTATACTATTATATTACTAGGCAAGGAAGTTAACCACTTTTTCGTAGCGGGAGCTGTGCAGTATGGCGGCCATCCAACACTCGCTGAGAAAGTCGGAAATGTATCAAGTATTCTCTTAATAGAAGCCAATTTTTCATGGAAACTGATGTGTTGTGATGACCTGAAAATCAATATTTAGCAACTTTGTGTGAGTAAAAAACCCCCGTAAATTTCTGCTTCTATTGAAAGTAAGTTATTTTTGGAGTGAACTTGTACTTTTATGCAGTTTTTGCATGTTTTCTTTTCTTTCTTAAATTTCTTTGATTTTGTTTCTTGATCCCTCCGCAAAATTCATTCACATCTCTTTAATCTCTTTCACTATCAACTTTCGCTCATTCTCAGTTCCCCCATAGCATTTAAAAAACAAAAACGCAGACATTCCTTGCATATCAAAGATTGATAAATGCAAGCGAGACATCTGGCGCCCATCTGAGTGTATATAGCATGTGCTTGTTTTTAATGGACAGACAAACGGACCCATCATAGTAGAGCATGTGAGATGGGCACTCTGACAGGGACATCAGTATTTGGATGCCTAGCCTTATGCTCCATCTAAAGGAGTGGTCTAGATTAAGGGATGATAATGTACGTTGACTTGGGACTTATTGTAACTGTCTTGAATCCCGGCTGGGAGTTGGGGCACATGGCATGTCTAGACCACAGCAAGATAAAAAATGTAGCAGTGTGTGTCCTCTAAACAAGCTCAGTAGGTTTCACAAGATGTGTTGTAGAACTAGTAGCCTTTTAATAGCCTAATAAAAGTCAATATTATTTCAGTCCAACTCTGTTCGGGTTACCGAACCTTTCCTGGTCCCGTTTATAAATTTGGAAAATTGACGGGCCGGGTCAGGTGCGGGTTTTGGGTTCCAAGCTACAGCACTATAACCAACTTAAAAAACTTGCAAGACAGAAGAAAGCAATTATGCACTAAGTTTGCCCAAACCCTCGTAAAAGACGATAGATTTCGAGATTGGCTACCCCCTCAAAGGCAAAGCCTGGGTACGCGCACGCGAAGAACTGATAAATACAAAAAGAGCCCAATCCCTTTTCTTGTCTCCTTGCTCAATTCACTGTAGGATGAGGTTCAAGAGTTTTCTGTCATGTCTTGAGTATAATTCCAAAGTTATAGTCTGGTGATAACAATACTCGATAACAATTAATTAACATTATTTATTTTGTTTAAATGTAGAGTAAAGGAGGGGGTTTTCGGCCACTTATTATCATTTCTTGTTCAAATCATGAAGTAAATATTATTATTATTTAAACAAAAAAAGAATCCCAGAAAAAAAAGAAACAGAGATATCAGGTGTGCGCTGCGGTGTCCGGCTGCATTGATTTAATACATGCGATGAGATACTTTTGAGCTTGTGACTCACACAAAATTGGGCTCTAAATCTGAAAAATACTTGAAATAAAGCTCATTTTATGGTACCCATATTCCTTACAGACACGCGTAGGATACTCGATTTTTCAGATTCGGGTAGCGAGACCGCCGATTACATCGCTAAAATGTGATATTTAAGGATATATTTTCCATTGCAAATGTGGTTCTTCAGTGACTCTGGCATTTTATGGTATGTGTGGGATATGTGATATGCTATTATGCAATGTATTTTAAAGGGATTTTACCATGCATCCAACGGACCAGCCAAAAACTGTCGACGGTCGATTAGCCCCTCTTCTATTATGATTTCAATTTGTTACCATCACACTTTCAATACAATATGTTACTTCCTCAAACTATTTTTGTTATCTACAACATTTATCTTGATTATGTATACTTACCGGGTAATTATTATTTAAGAACTCAGCTTCTCCTTTTCTACTTCCCTTTCAAGCTTAATTTGGGACAGATACATTTTTCCTGTTCTTATGTAATATTCCTTTTATTATTATAATGAGGAAATATTTTGTTTATGTTTTACGCCATTTGTAATTAGTTCATGCACTTTTTATTGTAAAATCATTTGTAATTCAGCTCTCGAGCTGTGATGATGGATCAGCCAACAAAAGTACAGGGGAAAAAAATATTATTGACCGCTCAGAAAAGTCAATGGTATTTTGGCTGTAATTTGCCGGTCAATAATATAGAGATATCGACCGCTACAAGAGGACTGGCTGCTTTTATACGCTCAAGGGAAATTTGCATCTGCTGCTATCACCCCTCGGCGCGCCACCCACTCAGGCGCGCCTTAGGGTGATAGCAGCAGATGCAAATTTCCCTTGAGCGTATAAAAAAAGCCAGTCCTCGAATATTAAAGCAGTCGATATCCCTTTTATATACCGAATTGACACAAAAATCTACCAATAATTCTTACCTTATCCTTTTGTTGAGTAAAGATTGGTTAAAACATCACAGAAAATCTGAGAAACTGTCTGTTTATCTTTGCCGGAAAAATTACTGAAATTTTCGATCAGTTGGGAATCGCAGACAAAAAGCACTGTATGGTGTCCCCGCTCGCTCAAAGAACATTTTAACACGTACACCGATGGGTATTGCAGCAAAATGTTATTATTTTCCCGGTAACCAGAGGGATTTTACTCTTGGGACTATTAAACGGTTTTGGCATTTTTTGTTTCTTGACGGGAATGGCTAAAATCACGACACCAATTTTGACCAATCAGATGGATGGATTTCTTAAGTGAGGTATATAATATTATACAGTAAACCAATGAACAAATATTATTGCCCGATCTGAAAAGTCAATGGCAAAAATGTTGACTTTCTAGCAAAATTATATATATTCCTGTTAAAGGGCATTTAATTATAAAGAGAGCACAGAGATCAGGGGAGTAAAGAGAAATTGTGAAAATATAAGGGAATGGGAAAAGAAAGTAGGCAAGAAATGGAACTTTTGGTCAAGGAATCGAAGAGATACAAGTTTGAGAGAGAGAGAGAAAGAGAGAGGGGGGATGGGGATGAAAATATATGAAAACTGCTTGTTGCTTCACTCACCTTTGAATCCACCTCTCGGCCATGAAGGGCTGGAAAACATTCTTCACCTGCAATCTTTACGCCTTTCTTACACACTGCCAACTGAAGGACACACGTTCGATGGCAAAGTGCATCTATCATATCTATCGTTAATGGTCCAATGCTAGAGCCAAAAGTCAACGTCCTTTGTACCTGTTGAAAAGAATAGATGCCGGTATATGAAAACCCCTGAAGGCATGCCATGACATCACCCGCATAGTTAGCACAAAGAACTACTGTAGGTAGTAGCAACACTTTGGACAGATCTGATCGGTAAATAGGTCAATGGTCAAAGGTCACAGAGGTCAATTTCTAAAATTAAAGATTTTGAGCCTTGCCATCGCAATATCTAAATGTGGTAAGGGTGTTGCTATATGACGATGATCCAATTACATATTGGGGCTGGTAGGTCAAGTTCCTAGTCGTCAGTTAACATTTGATTATAGGCTTTTTGTTTTCACCGTGATATGTCACGAATATTTCTATCCATAACCAATACTGAATTTAGGGCGGAAGCATCTAGTTATCATGTGTACAGTTAATACTCCTACCACTTCTATTAGTAGTAATAATAATGATGATAATAATTATAATTATAATAGTAATAACAATAATCATTATATACCTTTGAAATAGACTATTGCTATTTTCTAATTGTTATCATTTGTATTTATATTATCATTATATTCCATAGCAGTAATTCTTTAATCAGCTACTAAGAAATTTGAAATTTATTATTTCTTGTACCAGGATGGACATGTATACACATATCAAATATCAAGTATCTTTTCATACAGGCTTTGTGTAGAAACATACCGGTATGTGCAATGATTATGGTTCTAGGACAATTACCCCCTGGGCAATTGCCCCCGATCAATTATCAGAGGGACAATTACGCCAAGGAAAATTACCCCCCTTGGACAATCACCCCCCCCCCCCCCCTAACAACAACAAAAAATCTGCTTTTAATTTTTACGGGGGTGATTGTCCAGGGGGTTATTGTCCTGATACAAATTATTATATGTAGGGGACAGGAGTTATATTTCTTTACAGAAAATATATTTTTAGTACAGAGTGAATGGGAGAGGACCTCACAAGAACCTTCATAGCGATGTCAATTTGTGTTTGGTTGATTATACATCTCAAAATAACCAATAATACTATCATTTTTCTATCATATTTTGCACAAACATTCACTAATTTATTTCTCTCAATTTCCTGTTCTTATCAAAACCAACAGAATATCAGGGTGAACTTTTATTTAAGCATCATATTTTCACTATAAGAACTTCTTTAGGACCAACATAGTCGATATGACAAAGACATTTACCGTGTCATGTTGAAGTGTTATTTTCTTCCTGTTCTCATTTCTTATTTGTTCAGCCAGGGGGTCCAGTTTGTCATCCGTAAAACAGCTAATGATACTATACAAAATATATGTTCAAGGAAAGTACATATTTAAACATCTTTAATCACTGAATGTTTCAAGGAATTAAAGAAAAATATAATACTACATGTATTAGGATTTCTTCCCCAAACAGGCTATATACGAGCTACTGAGGGTTTTGTATTGTCATTTTTGTTTAGGTTTCAAACAGTTTAGAAAATGATTGATTAGTCTATACTATCAAAACAAAAATAGTACTAAATGTATTTGTATTTATTAACATTTATTTCCTTCTCAACAGTACAATATGAAACACAATGTATATATACATGATATATGTAACAATTATTTCAACATAGAGTATAAAGTAAATAATTCAGATACGGAAGGAGGCGAAAACCCGGAAAGCATAGCTCGAGTTGGGAACGCCCATAATAAATTAACACAGTTACCGAGAGAACTGTGAATTAAACATCCCATATATGGACCATTGAATTAATTCTGTTAACAAATTAAATAACCGACAACGTTGTTAGAAGTAGACAACTCTTAACCTTTAAAAATTGCTCTTGGCATAATTCTGATTGCTGTCAGAAATTGAAACCATTTAATTAATTTTTATAATTTTTTATATATATAGGTCTATCCATTTTCTAAATTTAACCAATTTAGTTATTTATTGATTTGTATTATCATTATTATTATTATAACTAATTTTATCATCATTATTCTTATTCTTCTTATTATTATTATTTATGAGTATAATTATTATTATGATGATTATTATGATTAGTATTAATATTATTATCATTATCATTAATTTCATTGGAAATACATGTACATGTAGTAACAATTTCTGGACCTGAACATACCTTATTGATTTCAAATGCAGGTGGTTCTTTAGATCACGTAGTATTGCTTCACTACGTATGTTGCCCATTACTAGCTCTCGGAAAATCAGACAGGAAAGTTGTGGGAATGAACTAGAGAAAAGTTGCCCCAGTGAAGCAGGTTCTCCAATGAGAGGAACTAGATTTTTCCCTTTCTTACCATGCTCAATAGACAACACTGCTAGGCTGGAATGTGCCAACCGTTTAACATCTCCCAGTGAGACAGTGTGAAGAGTGGTAAAAGTCAATTGCTTCAAGCTCGGGAATAAGTCCTCAACAGTGACATTAGTGTTGCTACTATTAAACCTCTGTAGGCCATTTAGGAATTGATGATCTACAACCAGCTCTTTGATTGAGGATTTACCTCCCTGTGTGCGAAATGACAATGAAGTAAAGTATTATCAATAAATCTTTTCATATAATATTAGACTCAAGTTATGATTTGTACATTCTCCACCTTTAAAAATAATAAGAAAAGCTTGTAAGTATGAAAAAAGAATGGCAGATTAGTCATGTTTTACAATGCTATACAGACAGAAATTCTAATGAAAAGGAAAAAGAATTTTAACTACAACTTTTTCTTCATGAAACAGACATGTTTTTCCCCCTAAAGATAGATATCTTACGGCTCATTTCAGTTGTGTTTTTTTCATAATTGCTCAAAGGAAACATACTCATAAACACTTTACCTGTTTTTCCCCTAGTATTCACAGTTTTTGGTAATATACATTTCATCAACTTCTTTATTATTTATTAGAAAACCCTAATACGTATAAATGGGAACAGACATTTGGTGTCACTTTTGTTAAAGGGGAAGTTCACCCTGTTATTAAGTTGGTTTTGGTATCAGCAGAATAATGAGAAAAACAGGTAATTGAAAGTTTAAGCAAATTCTGATTATAAAAAAATGAAGTTGTAATCAATCAAATACAAATTGGCAACTCTGTGACGTATTTTGCGAGCTCCCTACCCATTTCTTCTGTACTTTAAAAAATAAAAACAAAAATATTTTCCCTCAAGGAAATTTCTAATTATACATGCATACTAGAGGTGTCGAGTGGATATGTCACCGAACTATGGATCACAAGGTCCACGGTTCGAGTTACGCCGCGGCACCAATGTCCTTTTGCAAGACATTAATCTACATTTGCCACACGAGACACAGGTGAGATACATGGGTACATGGCACGAATTAATTCCTTAAGGCTAGAGCGCCGTAATGGCAGCCATGCTAAAGCCGGGGTAATAAGTTCCAAAAACTCTTTTGAAGCGCATAGAGACGTTATATTTAAATGTGATATGCGCTATCTTATACAAGAACCGAATATCATTATGCCCCCTAAATATAACTCTTGCAAATATGTTTCTATTCAACCCCTGTATAGAAAAAAACTATTCTGTCATCAATAAAGAAGAAATGAAAGTTCATGAAATTTTATGTACAGAGCAAAGTGGAGAGGAGCTCGCAAGATACCTCACAGTGTTGCCAATTTGTATTTGATTGATCGCACCTTTAAAAATTCGTATTTTTCTTACTACATCTGAATCTGAATTTGCTCAAACTTTCACTGACCTCTGTCTCTCATTTTTCTGCTTCTGCACAGGGAGATTATTTGGGTGGCATATGAAGTTATGCGACTTTTGAATCAGGGTCAATTACAAATAGCTCATACACTAAATCCTAGCTAGTTTTATTTGTACAGAAACCCACAAAAAAAAATTCGTATGAAACATACTTTATGTTATATAAATGGTTCAGTGATTTCATGTTATGCAAGAGTAAAAAGAAAGTTGCATACATGTAGTATATTTAGATTGAATGTATAGGCCAGCTCCATGCACATGAATGTTTCAGCCCGATAATATGGGGTGTCTCAAAAAGAAAAATGCAATTAGACTTTGATTGGCAACATCTTAAAAGGGTACTTATAGCTATTCTCAACAAAATTTTATAGGCAGTCTTGTATTTATTAGGCCGGTGAATTTAAGAAGAATTTAAGCAGAAACGACAAATTTATGATCAATTTTGTGAAATGTAGCAACGTAGCAAATGTTGTAAGAAACTAGAAATATCGCAATGCGAATGTATCCCCTTGCAGTGGCAGCAATTTTGTGTCATCCTTATGTTCGAAGGAAGGGCAAAGATGCCCTCTCTCCTCCCTGAAACAAAAGGATGACGTAGAGATTGCCACTAGTGGCTCGGACTATTGTCAAGACTATAGGAGCAGCATCACCAAAACAATATGTGTGTAGATTATGCATCTCTGTAGAAAATTTGAAAGAAATTATCTGTCAAGAAACATGGCAGTTAGAGCGCAAAAAAGACAACAACGTACACAATATGACCTTTGACCCTATAACAGACGAAAGACAGGTGGCAGTATCACCGAACACTAAAGATTTGTAGATTGAACTAAGACACACCTCCATACAACATTTGAAAGAAATCCGTCAAGAAATGTGGCAGTTAGAGCGTATAAAAGACATATGACCTTAGACCATAAAAAAGACGGAATAATGAGGGCGGCATTGCCCAAAAAAGTAGATGTCTAGATTAGAGTATGATGCATCTTTGCAGAAAATTTGAAAGAAAAATCTGTCAAGAAATGTGGCAATTAAAGCGCACAAAAGACAGCCACCAAAATATGACCATTGACCAAATAAAAGACAAAACAATGAGGGCAGCATCTACCAAAAGTGTAGATGTGTAGATTGTACCAAAATACATCTCCATACAAAATTTGAAAGAAATCCGTCATAAAATATGACCTACAGAGCGCATACTAGACACCAACCAAAATATTACCTTTGACCCTATAAAACACGGAGCACTGGTGGCAGCATCACCAAAAATAGTATAGGGGCATAGAGTTTACCAACGTACACTTCCATACTCAATTTGAAAGAAATCTGTCAAGAAATGATGCCGCAATTAGACCGCACACAAGACACCTATCAAAATATGACCTTTGACCCTATAAAAGACGGAACTCTGGAGGCAGCATCACCAAAAGTTATAGGATTGTAGATTATACCAAGATACACCTTCAATCCAAATTTGAACAATATTTGAACAATGTGGTCTATAGAGCGCACACAAGCCGTCCACAAACATATGGCCTTTTACCCTATAGGGAACGGAACACTGGGGGCAGCATCACCAAAAGTTGTAGGTGTGTAGATTATACCAACATACACCTCCATACAAAATTTGAAAGAAATCCGTCAAGGAATGTGGCAGTTAGAGCGCACATAAGAATATGACGCGGCGTAACGCTGCTGAATCCAAAGTACCTCACCGGCATACTGCCGGGAGATACAAATAGCATGTTGAATAGCATCGGTAAAGCGTATAACTGGTGCCTGAATATTTCATAGCAAGCTCTCATTTAAATTCAATTCTTGATACAAAATGGGTGAAGAATTAAGATCTACATCATTATCGCACCCATTGAGGTAATTAAATGAATTTAGTATCTCATTTATATAGTCATAGTGACTGTAAATAATTGAATGTTTCAAATGTTTGAAAAGTCGAAGAAGTTACTAAGTTTTAATTATCTTTCATAACAATTATTTGTGTTTCCTACAGAATACTGCTCATCATAATGATTGAAATAGAAATGAATAGAAGAAGTAACTCATTATTTACTTCAAAACTTTCATGGAATAATTAATTTGCTTCTTGTTCTTAAAAGATGTTTTGAATACATGTTCATGACATTTTACAAATGATTTAACAATATAAACTTAGTCTGTGGTGATTTTCTAGGAAATTATGTCTTCAATCATATAAATGGAAAAGCTTAATTGTCGCCGAATGTAAAAGCAAAAGGTCTATTAAAGCTTTATTTTGTGCACTGACGAAATTCAAAGTGCTCTCTTTATAACATATGCAAAATGGTACATTTCACAAATGTAGGTTTAAGGTATATCCTTGTGAAATTCACAAGGGAGTTTAGGAGGTACAACCAACAAATTACCTATGAACTCTCACTAAGAATGGTTAAGTCAAACCTGCTAACCTCTGGAGTTCAGAGCAATATAACACAGAGTTCCTATAGGAAATCTATTTATTCAGACTGTCATATCTCAGCCAATACTTAACATATTCAATTGCTCTTAATTAGTAAATTTCTTTTGTGTTTAAAACATTTTCAAGATTTAAAAAAAACATAATTCCAATAGTACAAAACCTATAATATTCCCTTTTCTAGTTAATGCTCACTCTCTACCCTATGTCACCCTTTATCCTGCTATCAGCTGAGACAATAATCATTCCATGTCACGCCTCTTAAACAATGGATGAAGAATGCATATTTGTTTTAATATCTTTTTGGAGCTAGAAGAAAAAAAATTGTTGAAAATCTAGTTAGTTGCCCCCCCCCCCCCCCCTCCCAAATAGTCAAAGGGTTACGTTTTTGAACAAATAATGGAGGTATAACTTACACCTTAATAACAATGTCTATAATTGCAGCTCTCTTCCTTACTTTATAAATCTTCTTAATAAAATGTAATACCAATATAAATTGTATTTTTAGAATTTCACAGTTCATGTTTGAACTATGTGAATGACTTTTGATAGTTTTTATCTTGATTTTATGCATTGTTATTTGTTAAATATTTCTTGCCATCTCCCCTCATCTGTAATGATAAGGTACCCTTTGTCTGTCTCTTCCCCTCTTCATCTCTCTCTCTCTCTCTTTCTTCCCCCTTCTCTCTCTTTCTTTCTCTCTTCCTCTCTTTCTCTCTCTTTGTCATCACTCCAACTCTCCCTCTCCTACACCTCTCCCTTTCTCTATCTTTTTTAACAACAATTTGAATTTTGATCGATGAATTTTTATGAAATGTCTATATGTTTGATTTTTGATTTATGTCAAATTTTGTGTTATTTCAACTTTGAATTGCAATTGTATTGTATCTTTGTGAAATAGATCGTAATTTAGCCTCTGGGTGTGATGATCTTTTTAATAAAAACCATTTCTATCTTCTATCTATCTATCTATCTAATTCATCTGATAAAGACTAATTGTAATCATTGGTATTCTGTTTAAATGATTCTATATTTACCGCCATTGTAGAAACTTGTGTATGCATTAACTGATAGAAGTCATCATCCAATGTTGTACAATAAAACTCTAATCTCGATAGTGAGTTCGATGCGAATAGGACGTCTGCTAGGTCACGCGATACAGTCGGGCCACATGATCTGTCTCTGAATACCAAAGTCTCCTGTAATAGACATAAACATATTATAATTACTATACAATTCTTATTGCTAACATGATCATGATGTGTTATACAGGCCTATAGGTATATATATACAATGTAGAGTGTGTTTATACACACACACAAACATGCACATACCGGTATAACACCTCCATACAAAATTTTATCTTTGACTGGCAGTGAGTAAGTAGGTTTTTATAAACTGTAAACGCGGAAATATTTGCGGTACATTAATTTTCGCAGATTTCCCGCTAAGATCGATGAGCAAAATTTTAGGACTCACAAAAATATAAGCATGACTTCTTCTTATGCGTGTTTTGAATGGGCTGAATTTAAGCACAAGCGAATAGTTATGGGGTCGCTCAGTGCGAAAAATTAATCACGCAAAAATAACAGCGTTCACAGTACTGCATCCCTCGTGCCTATTTTAAAAAATAGGCATGTCAAAATGTATTTACTGGGGGTATGCATTGTTGACTTTTGTTGTATGCACTAAACTAAAACAAACCATTCCATGCTGTTCCATGATGAATAAATAACCAGAAATTGTGTGAGCAGGCATGTCTTTATCGATAGTCAGTATTCTCTCGTCTGCATATATCCCTTGTCCTACTGCTTTCGCCGTTTCTTTGTTATACGCTTCAAAAGTGACATCTGCTAGAAAATCATTGTTTCTTCTTCTTTGTTGTTTATTTGGGAATTCATTTTGTTGTATTTTCTTGACAATATCAAGTCCCACCTCCTTTCCCCGGGCAGCGGTGAAATACAAGAGGTAACGGAATTCTTGTGGGTTCTTGATCAGTACTTCCCCCAATGACCTGCTGTACTCTTCGCAATTTGTGTCATATAGAGAGGCAAGATAAACAGACGCAATATATTCTTGAAATAATTTGTGAGGGAAGAAGACACTACTGGTTATAGGCTGTGAAGCAGTCAAAGTTCTATTCCATCTGGATACATTTTTATTTTCCCGACTTAGAACTCCGATTCTGCAACATGTCTCCATGGATTCCTTACACGAGCTGAAGTCCTCCTCATTAAAAACCAATTTCTTTTTCAGGAGTCCTGAGAAGGCAATCGATCCTATTCTTTGCAAACAGAGCTTGATATTTTCCATTTCCTTGTCCTGATGGTTTTCAGGTAACACCTTTGACACATAATGGTCTGTTAGAAACATGATCATTTGTTCAAATAATTGAGAAAATGTCTTCAGTCTGCGTATTGTTTCCCGTTTCTCACTGTCACAATTTTTCCATAAGATGCATAGCATTGCTACGTAAATTGGGAAGGGTGCCATGTTCTCCTTGATTACATCATTTACTTCAAAAAAGCGACATAGTTCTGATCCCGCGTTTTCATCGTTCACGAAATACTTGCTGATGTATTTCGAGACATTTTCAGCACTAAATCCTTTTACTGCAATGAAAGCATACGACCTTCTCAATCCTTCATTGGATTTAATCTTATTGGCCCTCCACGGTCTTGTTGTCACCAGAACTATGCATTCCTTGAATTTCTCCAATCGTAGAATCTGAGAGATATCTGAGCTTTCTTTGGCAGAGAGATCCCCATCATACTCATCAAGTCCATCAAGTACAATCAGAACCTTTGTAGGTTGAGACAATATGTAATTGTCGATCTGTTTGGAGTTCACAGTATTATTGTCAGAGAGATAGTTTTTCATAATACCACCAACTGTCTGATTCTCGACAACGTTGCGCAGGGGTATAACCAGAACCCAACTGAAGCGCTGAAACTCTGGAGATCCATTGACCCAATCCCATGCGATCTTTGAACAGAAGGTCGTTTTACCAACACCACCTTCACCTTCAACCAGCAGACGTTTAGGCAGTACCCCATTAATCTTTGTAGTAAGAAGATCAGTGTAATCCAGTGGCTTTTCAGTTCTTCTTGTTCCCAATTCGTTCCTGAGCAGTATTAAGTTTGTGTAAATTTTCTCAAATTCCAAGATGATATTGAAATTAAGTGGGTCAGGTTCGATTTTGCACGTTCGTTCACGATAGAATTTTTTCAAGTCTTTTCCACATTCAAGAACCTGTTCCTCAGTCATAAATGGTTGGGAAGTATCCAGTATTGGTTCTGTATGGAGATTAAAAACAATTTATGTAAATTCAACAAAATTACTATTTCAACAGATGTTACAAATAAGGACACAGGTATTAAATGCCTAACGCGTCTTGAAAGGCAACAGACATCTTTGGGTGGGGAATATCCCGGCCCCCCCACCCAGTGTTATTTAGGGTACGCATATGCTTGTTCCCTCTTTTTGAAAGCACCCCCTATCTGAGGACTGCCAACTTTTCCGAACACCCCTTTCGCAGGCTTTTCGCTGGCTTTTCCTGCCTTGGAAACCGCCCTAAATCATGAAAAATGCTCAATGTACCCCCCTAAATTCAAAATAATTTCTCAGGAGTCCAAAGAGATGAGAGGAAAAAAAGAAAAAACACCCCCTTTTTAAAGAAATCTCCAGGTGAAAAGTTAATACACCCCTTTTTTTACAATTCTCGGGCCGGACTTTGTCGCATGAAAAGTACCCCTTTACCAGACATTTTGGTAACACGCATGTGGTCCGTCCGTTCTCGGAGTGGGGGGCCGGGGGAAATATAGGGACAAATTAAATATCTACAGGGTTGCAGCACATCCGGACACAATTTATTGGAAATGAAAAGATATGTGTCGAACATGCAATTACTATCAGTCTTTGACGGTACATTGTAGGTATATTACAAATAGATGATTTACATAACTTTGATTATTTTATATTTTATATTTGTCCAGTAAAATGTCCAAAGAGCTTGCTTTAAAGAGAAAGTCCACCCTAACCTAATATGAACAGAGAAAGAGATTACAGAGTATCTTGCTTCATTTTCACATTGAAATATATAATATTTATCTAAACCAAACCTCCCTTGTTCTGGAACTACTTTGAAAATTTAGTATAGCTACAATTATTTAAACTGTTCGAATTTGAATTGATAAGATGACGAATGATCTTTCGTGTAAAATGTGTAATGTACACTTACCAGACGGTGAGGTTCCAGATGTAAGAAATTTACCTTAAGAATGGAGAAAAAAATTACATTGATAGAAGAACGATTAATGTTTTGTTAATTAATGTTGTAAAAATATCTACATACCATATTCAAAGCAGTGTATTTCTCTGGCAAGGGGGGGGGGGGGGGGGAGTGTCAAGCATTAGTCTGAAAATTATGTAAACAAGTCAACACAAAGCGTAGCATCCCCTCGCCAGATACAAATGGCCTATATTTAGCAATTGTTGCATACTTAATGAGATGTGACCTTTGAAGTACATACTCAACAACATTACTTACGAAAACCACATTTTCGTACATATATAATTAGGTATTTTTTGCATATTTGATGAGGTATGACTTTTGACCTTTGATTTACATACTCCGAAATCGAAATTAGGCAGTATTTTGATACCACATGACAACAAATTAATACGCATCAGGGGGCAAAACCTAATGTGGTATGACATATTTTTTTCATTGACATACAGCCAATTAGAGCCCATTGGTGGTACTAATTAATGAATATACATGTACATCAAACTATCATGAGTTGACCGTATTCGCAAACGCGCAAGGTAAAAAAGGACTAAACCAATAAGCGCGTAGTGTGCACAATTGCATACGTGCGCACCAGTCGTTGAGAGTCATTGATAGGTCAGAAGGAATGAATGTTTATGAAGTGATCACGTGCCGATCGACCTTATGCGACCTCATACTCTAACGACAGTTACCCAATCAGCATCGCGTATTACAAGGTACATGTAGTTGCACGCGCATGGTATTGTATGTACACCTATGGCATGGGCAAAGTGGCTTCGCTTAGCTAGTCGAATTGGCAAGGGTTATGAATATTGACAAGGTACCTATGGCGAATTTTTGCAAATTTCCTCAGAATTTCTCATGAATATACATAAGGATCTGTTGCAACTACCTACGTATGTTTTTTTGTGAATGAACAACGTGATTGACAGTGAGACGCCCTGCCAAAGTTGGCCATCCGGTTGGAAATATTCCACCGCGCGTCAATGTAAAAACGCGTGTTGTGGCAGGCTAATTGCCCTAGAAGGTGCAGTGTAAGCTGATTTTCAACTCGAAAGGTACCTATGTAAAGTTTTCACAAAAGTAGACAAATTTGGCATCTTCAGCAAGTCTAAAACCTGAATTTTCATTAAAACCAGGTTTTCCTGTACATAAAGATATATTCAGGGAGATATGAGCTCGTAAAATGGAGAGTGTGTGTAAAAGCCTATATCTGATTGTGCTCCCTTTTGTGGTGCATTTTGAATACGCTCGGCATCTATTGTAATGATGTACCTTCATATCAAATTTCATTAAAATCTGTCAAACATTACTTAAAGGTCAATTCCACTCCAAAAATTTCAATAGATGCAGAAAAACCAGAAAAACCAATCAAAAAAAGTTTGAGCAAAATCGGATAACTACATGAAAAACTTTGAAAATCACTACACAAATTGGCAACTCATTCATAAGTCTGTGACGTCATGTCCTCACTATCCACTAATTATTTTCTTTATATTGATAATATAAATTTACTATTTTCCCCTTAAAAATCTGATTTCTTTACACGGCCAGCATCCAAGTTAGATTGATAGTAATATGTTTTTGTGTGGATGCACTAATATAGATTAATCTTTTTCCAGTTATATCATGAAAAATGAGAATTTTGATAAATTATTTATATAAAATTTAATAATTATGAATACCGGTATACAATATTCAGAAAATAGTATCAATTCTTCAAAGATTAATAAAAGATTTTGTGAAATGTCATGCACGCATGGGGGAAAAAAGTTTTGGGGAAAAAAAGTTTTGGGCATAAAAAGGGAATTTAATGGGATTAAACTATATAACGCAATTGACAAATAGTGAGGACATGACGTCACAAACTGAGAACCAAATTGGCAATTTGTGTAGTGATTTCCATTGTTCCATAGTTTTACATCCTTTTTGAAAAATTCATAACTTTCTTATTAGTTATCCGATTTTGCTCAAACTTGTTTTGATTGGTTTGTCTGATTTTTCTGCTTCTATTGAAAGAAAGTTATTTTTGATGTGTGGACTTGTTTTTTAAGTTATCGAATGAAAACCACATTTTTGGATACATCATTAGCTATTTTTGCATATTTAATGAGCTATGACCTTTGACCTACATACTCGGAAATCGAACTTGGGCTGTATTTTGATACCATGTACCTTCATAACAAATTTCATTAAAATCTGTCAAACATTACTAAAGTTATCGAACGGAAACCAGATTCGCATATTTAATGAGCTATGACCTTTGTACTACATACTCCGAAATCACACTTAAGCTGTATTTTGATACCATGTACCTTCATAACAAATTTCATTAAAATCCATCAAACATTACTGAAGTTATCGAACGGAAACCAGATACGGACAGAAGGGTGGACGGCAGCGTTATATCCCCTCCGAATTCGTCGGCGAGGGTATAATAACAAGCAAACCCTGGGATATACATTGTACATGTACTTCTGAACCTTTCACTTTTCTCACATGTTGTTCCATCGCACATAAAATAAAGTAATTTTAAAGGAAACCGAACCCCAAGAAATTACTTATTCTGACAGATCTATTATATTATTGCCCATAAGTCTACAAGATTCTCAACCAAAATGTATGAAAGAGAGGTATAAAGCAAGAATACCGGTAATGTATAGTTTCTAAGCACGACATGGCTGGGCATCCCCATTTCACTGATACCGTGACGTACCCGGTACTACTATGCAAAGTCTTTACCAAGTAAATGTATTCAAATTTAAGGATGCTTCCTTCCCAGACATGTGTGGTGATGAAGCATTTCATTCACCTGCTATTATCCTTTGTACTTCAATTGCCAGAACGCAAATTGCATAAATAAGTTGGTGGTCTTCTGGGGTGAAATTTTCTCATAATGAAATAGATTTGTCAACTACTATAGTGAAGTATTTATAAATGAATTTGGTTACATTTGTTCCCCTGTTATTTATTTTCACCGAATACAATTTCTATCTTCTCAGTTTTTATTTTTCCTTATTGAAAAGTAAAGGTTTTGTTTTTGATTTAAAAATTATTTCCAATTAAAGCTCGGTGCATGATATATGTACAACTTCAACTGGTACGTCACATTTGCAAGACTAGATGGAACTTCGACTGCGCGCATAGAGTGATTTCACAAACAAAAACAGAACCATGTTTTCAAATTCAAGTTTAATTATAATCCATTTATAACAGGTTCTTAGAATATTGTGATTATACAAGCTATTTTTCATATACATGTATGACCCTTTTATCTTTGACCTCATGACCCTAAAATCTAATCAGTTCATTGGCTTTGCAAGATACATACATGTCCTGCGTTTGGCGGGAATCCATTAATCTTTCTTGAGATAACCTGATCACAAGCGATTTTTGCATACATAATGAGCACAGTGACCTTTGACCTCGTGACCCCAAAATCTGATCAATTCATTGGCTCTGCCAGATACATGCATGATCAAAGTTTGGCAGGAATCCATCGATAAGTCCTTGAGATAACGCGATCACAAGCTATTTTTGCATATATAATGAGCACTGTGACCTTTGACCTTTGACCTCGTGACCCCAAAATCTAATCAATTCATTAGCTCTGCAAGAAACATACATGACCTAAGTTTGGCAGGAATCCATCAATCGGTTCTTGAGATAACGCGATCACAAGAACGGGACGTACGGGACGTACATACAGACGTACGGACCGACAGACGGACGGACAACCCGAAAACATAATGCCTCCGTATACTTCGTAATGGAGGCATAAAAATGGCTGCGCCCATGTCACGCTAAAAGGCATCACATCACGCCAGGAATATCTTCATTTATAATTCTCTTGTACATTTTCATAAGGAATATTGTACATCAAAGGGCAGGAATACATCTCATTTTTCAGAATACCTACACTTATCCTTTGGGATAAGGTTTCCTTCATGTGGATAAGATTTGCTCGCCTAAGCAATAATTTTCTTGGCTGATAATACTTCTCCTTTTTAAGTTCTATTAGATAAATTGTGTTTTTAATGCGAATGAAATCATTCACTTTTTCGTATCTATTTTTCACTGTCCGTTTTATGTGTTTCGCAATGTTTATCATTATCATGTACCTCTGTGAATACGCATGAAATGACGACATTCATGTTACAAAATGGCAAAGTTACCTTCCAACAATTTTGTCTGAAGTGCACCCATACCAGCGTTTTTAAGAATTTCTCCAAGAAGTGCTCGAATATTGGTGCCATCTTTCTGCTTAACTTTCCATCTGCAGAAGAAGTTGATCAAAGCTCCTGGGAAGTTCAAAAGATGTTGGGTCAGTACAGTTTGGCTCTGCGTTAAGCTGAAACCAAGACCAGTGCACATTTTATTGTAACAGTCGACTGGAACTTCTTCAGCGAGCAGTAAGAGTTCACTCTCCTGTAGTACACTATCCATCAATCTGAAGAAGAAGAAAAAAAGAAGAGAAGGTAGATTAAAATCAATGTACCGGTATTCAAGAAAATAAATACTTTCATATTTTTACTCATGAAAAGGGGAAACAAATTCATTTCATTTCATTTATTTTCATTTCCAAACATTAAGTAACAAAATATTACATGTTAACATGTACAGGACATGGTTGATAATCGGATTGAACAAACTTACAATAAATGAATGTACAACATGACTTGGATCATAAAGAAGTAACACTTACATTAAAACACTCCATCATGTACAAGAAATCGAATAATTTGATATTTTCATATTTTTTTTTAAAGCAAATGAACAACACAAGACAAGAAAATAAAATGTTTGGAAAAGCAGAGGCTGACATGGAAGCCAAAGGCTTGTAGATTAAAGGCACCTGGGCAAAAAAAAAAGCTTGCTCGCACACACACATACACAACCCATGTACTTTCATATATTTAAATACATATCAAAGAATAAATTGAGCGCTTGTGAAGTTAAAACCATGCTCCTCACGTTTGAATCCTATATGATGTTGTAAACTCACATTTTTTAGTACGTATATACATGCATATATATATATAAATATATAATATGGTTGCGCATGTGCGAGTTGAGCGTGTGTATGCATCGTGGGTGTACATGGTGCATGTCATGTGCATGTGTGCTAATTCATTTAGTTTAAATTGTATTACCCATGAGGAGGACCCGGATTGAGCTCCACATCCCCTGCTTTAACAAGCAGTAACTCAGTCAGGTATGGCTGCTGTGATAACATTACATCAGCTGTTCCTTTCAAGCTAACCGTTTTGTGGCATGATGACCTTGATGATGTATTTGCCATCTCCTGCAAATTAAAAGATACAGTACTCCAATTAATCTATGTAAAATAAAGTATACAGGGCATGGGTTAATTATGAACATTGCATGGCCAAATAAAGTAGGGCAATTGTCGAGGTGCATATAATGTCATGATTTAGATTTACCTTTACATATATCTGCACATTGATTGTTTTTCTCCAATGACAGTTCAATTAATATAAAGAAGAACATTTTAATAAAAGTAGTGGAGACATACGATCAGGAAGCCTGCTTACCTTTCCACCAAAGGGTTCATGTTGTTCGGCATCACTGTATAAGCTAGATGTAGGTGAAATTAGTTTGTACCCTTGCCTAGGTGATTCAAGTTCAACATCAGTATTTGTCTTATTGGTGTTGGAATGTCCTGGTGTAAGAGGCTCATTGGTGTAGGAATCTCTTGGTGTTAGTAACTCCTGGATGTAGGAGTCTCCTGGTGTAAGTGACTCATTGGTGTAAAGATCTCTTGGTGTCAATAACTCTTGGATGTAAGATTCTCTAGGTGTTAGGAAGTCCTGGATGTAGGAGTCTCCTTGGGTAAGTGACTCGTTGGTGTAGGAATCTCTTGGTGCTAACAACTCGTGGATGTAGGAGTCTCCTAGCGTAAGTGGTGTATTGGTGAAGGAATGTCCTGGTGTACGTGATTCCATGGGGAAGGAATCTCTTGGTGCTAACAACTCGTGGATGTAGGAGTCTCCTAGCGTAAGTGGCGTATTGGTGAAGGAATGTCCTGGTGTACGTGATTCAATGGGGAAGGAATCTCTTGGTGTAATTAGCTCGTGGATGTAGGAGTCTCCTAGCGTAAGTGGCGTTTTGGTGAAGGAATGTCCTGGTGTACGTGATTCCATGGGGAAGGAATCTCTTGGTGTAATTAGCTCGTGGATGTAGGAGTCTCCTGGTGAAAGTGGCTCATTAGCGTAGGAATCTATTGGCATCAGTAACTCGTTAGTGTGGGCATCTCTTGGTGTGAATAACTCCTGGATGTACATGTAGGAGTCCCCTGGCATAAGTGATGTATTGGTGTAGGAATCCCCTGTTGTAAGTGACTCACTTGTGTAGGAATCTCTTGAAGTAAAAATTTCCTGGATGTGAGAATTTACTGATAACTTCCGGATGCAAGTATCTCTTGGTGTAAGTAACTCCTGGATGCAAGAATCTCTAGGTGTTAGTGACTTCTGGAGGTAGGAATCTCTTGGTGTAAGTAACCTGTTGATGCAATAATCTTCTGCCTGAAGTATCTCAATGATGGCGGAGTCTCTTGACGTTAGTAAATCTTTGACATCAGAATCAGATAGCATATCACCTTTACAAGCATCAGCTGACATATGTAGCTCTTGGAAGCATGAGTCAGAATGTATAATCAACTCCCTGATGTTTGAATAGTTTGGTGTAAGCATGTTAAGATCTTCAACATGAGAGTCACATGCTTTATGTTGGTCCTTTCTACGAGAATTTGTTGGAGAGAGCAGATGTCTAATGTTTGAATCAGTTGGTGTCAGCAATTGTTTGACACATGCATCAGACGGGGCGAGTATCTCCTTGATATGAGAATCACTTGTTGTTAATAAATCCTGTATGCACTGATCACATGAAGTTAGTAAATCCTTGATATCTGACGAGTTTCCTGACGACTGGATGTTCGCAATTTTATGAGGACATCCCTTGGGATCAGGACCATTTTGTCTGCTTTTGTCAACTTGTGACCCCTCTTCAAAATCACCCCTTTTTGCTTTAAGTCTCTCGCAAAGAACCTTCAGTCTTCGAATCCTTTCTTTAAGCAATCTTTCTCTCCTCTCCCTAACCTCATACTCCCTCATCCAATGAACGAATGTTCCAATTCGGACCCTCCACTCACTTAGTGATACAGGCATCTTGGCATCAAGAACAAGCCACGATCTGGAAGAAAAAATGGTAGGGGGCCTATATAAGTTTTAAAATATAGCACTGGTGATGTCTACAGTTATACAGTAACACATTTAAGGAAAATTGTCAGCTGAAAAGCGCAACTAAATAACGAGAAAAATAGAATAGTCAATCTGAATAGACCATATTGCTTTATTTTTTTAAACTTTGCATAAGTAATGACTGGAAAATAAAACTATAGCAGCAGAAGTAGTATGAGAAGTAGTCATAGTAGTATTAATAGAAGGAGTAACTAGGTATAGTAGTAGTTGTAGTAGTAGCAGCAGTAGTTAATTTTGCTGTGCTCGCATTGCTGTTTGGATGGTGGATATTGAAGGCTGCCCCCAAGCCCCCCTAGAAGGCATACACCCCATTTAGACTTTAGATCTCCCTTTCCTGTAGATGATTCCTGCTAATTTTGGTTAGAATCCAGCCATGGGTTTTCAAAAAGAAGTAAACATGGAATCATTGCCACCGAGACTGAGTAACTTTGGAAGGGGATAGGTAGTATATGTACATACCACATTTTATCAACCTTAGATCTCCCTTGCCTAAGGATGATTCCTACCATGTTTGGTGAAAATCTGGCCATGAATTTTTTGAGACAAAGTGAAAAATGTAAACCATTTTTTTTTTTTTTGGGGGGGGGGAGGGGTGCTACTCCCAGCTAGGGGCTCGCAATAAGGGACCCAACTTCCATCCCCTTTGCAGCGGAGACAAAGTATTTATTGAAACAGTAGGACAATTTAAGGGTGCTCCCAAGTGTCCTTCAGGGGCAAATATGAAGTTGGGTCTTCTTCACATAAAAATGATTCCTACAATTTGGCCAGAATCCATACCAACATTTTGGTATAAAATCATCTACACTTCATGATCTAAATATGAAATAATAAATGAGGGTAGCCAGCATACCTGCCAACCTTTGAAGACTAAAAATAGTAATAATTTTTTACGAGGACTGTGACGGAGCGGAGCGACAGAACGAAGGAGCGAAGCGACCGAGCGGGGGGTGGTTGTGCGAGAGGGCTGTCGATCCCCCCTCACATGATAGGGAGCTTTTGGTATTTTCAACATGTAGGAATGCCCTTTTCCACGTCCGTCACCGAAAACTCACGCGATTTTACTTTTAGTTACAGTTCAAGGCGCTGATTTAATAATAATAATAATAGTAAACAATACTGTTTTTAAAACCAAAGATGACAGACTAATTTTCCTCCGAGTCCAAACAGAAATCTGGACATTTGGTCTCACTTTCTGAGTAGTGAGTTGACAGTGGTTGAGCTGTGAAACATTTTTACCCATGGTACCATTCCGATGCTCTCCCGGGCATGGTTAAGCGTCGGCCTGGACAGTGCCAGGTAAACGGGCACAAAAAAAAAAAAAAAAAAAAAAAAAAAATCGTAAATTTGTGACACAAAATCGTAAGTCGTAATTTAAAACAAAAAATCATAATAATTACGCCAAAATCGTAGTAGTTGGCAGGTATGAGCCAGGCATTTTGAAGAGATATCCTTCATCCAAATTAATGTATTGATTTCTACCATTTTTTTGACAGTTTTCAAGATTCGCGCATGCACATATTTTAAAGCTTGCCGAGCTCGCATATGAGAAGTAGTTATAGTAGTAGGTATCACAGAAGAGCTGTGTTGAGTGGGGACATGCAGAGCTCAACCATGCAAATTCTCTCTTTATCAAGGAAGATTTTCATAAATATAATTTTCATATAAATATTATAAAATTATGTCTCTCAAAAGCTCAGGATTCTGTCTTTCATGTCATGTCATTTTCATCAAAATCCATCAATTACTTACGACACAGTTGCTTGAGATTTACCCTCTAATTCGTACCGTGTCACTTCGTTTGTCCCCATTTTTATTTGAGCGCCGATTCGTATCGCTAGTTTTAGCTCAATGCACTTGAACACCATTTGTCTTTGAGTTTTAAAAATCCACTGGTTGGAAAGAGCACATCTTAAGCTTTATTTTCATATAAAAAATGATGGGGGTATGTTTTAAAAAGATCGTGAAAAATCAGAGTGACAAGTTTGAAACAATTTTTCTATATCAGAAAAACATACTTTTAATTCAATTTTGATACGAAAAGAAAGATAATTTACTGGAGAATACGATCATGGAAATATTAAGAATGACCGCAAGATGGTGCTTGAGCGCAAATCCGATGAATACAGCTGTACCCTGACACTATGAACATGACGGATAAAGAAAGCAGACAAAATATACAGTGCCTCAGGTAGACAAAGGAACATCCCTTCACTGTTATTATGTAAAAATGTGTAGAACAGGTGAATATGCATGTGACACCTGTTCTACACATTTTTACACAATAGCAGTGAAGGGATGTTCCTTCATCTACCTGGACTTCTTGAAGAGTTTAGAGCCATTTTCAAATGCCATTTAAAATTAATTTAAATGGATTTGATTTTGATGGTCCAAACTTACAGAAATAATTAATCTAGTACCCCAGATATGCCGAAATTCAGCCCCTCTTGATAGACACTCTTAAATCTAACCATGTTTCAAAACCCATGAAAAAAAATAGCCATTTGTCACACACATCATTATCTGAAAAAATAGCCATTTGTCACACGCATCAAAATGGGCTTCATATAATTATCTGAAAAATTCCACAAAAAAAATATATTTGTCAAAAGAACCTGAAAAAAAAATAGGCATGTAGAAATCCATACAGAGAACAGATTTCTTGAAAAGAAAGGTGATTCATCAATTAATTACAAAATTATATCACCTTGAAATTGGCTAATTGTCAGTTATAGCCTAATTACGCAAAATTTGACCATTTCCTCTCTTATGTATTGTAAGTGGCCGTATTTTCAAATGTACTTAAGTTGACAAATGAGGTATCAAAATTCTTCTTTTCATGTGCTCAAAAAGGAAATGGGAAGGAGAAGTTAAATTTAGAAACTTTTAAAATTTCACTGAGATACCTTCAAAATGAATACCTTCATTTGATGCCCACACATGCATACCGTCGTCACAGAGCGGATATGATACAAACATATAGACTTTTCAATGGGATTGACCGCAGTGACCCCAACCAATTCTTTCTAAGACCTTCGAATGACAGAACACGGGGCCACAGCTTCAAACTATCGAAAGTTAGAGTCTTCACTTCCGTCCGAGTGGGATCGTTCTCACAGCGAGTTGTCAATTTATGGAACGCGCTTCCAGCTATGTAATTGATAGCCCATCTGTCAACTCATTCAAATCTAACCTGGAAAGAGCATGGAGAGCTAAATATGACATGTACATTAGGGCTGCGACGAGTAGTCGAATGCTCGAGTACCCGCACTGTTGACAACTACTCGAGTACGATTTTTCGTACTCGAATATTCGGCCACAAAAAAAAATCCCGTTCACCTGGCACTGTCCAGGCCGACGCACAGTGGGCCAGAATCGCCTCAAAGTGTGCCAAAATTCAAAATCGGCGAATGTGAATTTTTATATTTTTATCATTCGCTTGGGGAATACCTCGATCAGTAAAAGATTTAATTCCGGTAAGCACAACTAGGGTACAAATTTACTCCTTCAAAAAGCAAAATCCTACACATTCACAGTTTTAGTGCAAAAGTGACTTATTTTATAAATCTTTCAATTTAACATGAAGTTCTTAAGTTATTGATATGAAATTGCTCTCACATATTCCTGATAATTCATTTTGTTGCATGAATTGGTTAATATGTATAGAAACACAATCTTCATTATATATTAAAGGTTAATTCACTGAAAAATGGACTAATTATCCATGTTTTTTATAAATCCAGAGGAAACGTTTAGATTTCCGCAGAGTTCTGCTAATATCTTAATACCACCATTTTGTCTGATGTCTAAGCTTTAAGTTGATACCAAATTTGGCTGCCCGATCTTGCCCGTTGTCATGTTAGAGCCGATTCCCCTTGCCACATTGTCCCGAAAAATATGTTTGTTTTTAGTCCGCGGCTGAATCATGAAGGATTCGCGGTCATAAATCACGTCGCTTGGGGGCGCGTGACACTTGTTTTGACACTGCGGACCACAATAAACACATTTTCGGGGCAATGTTGCAAGGAAAAAGGCTCTAACATAATAACGGGCACAATCGGGCAGCCAAATCTGGTATCAACTTAAAGCTTTGATATCAGAGAAAATGTTGGTAATACCAAAGCGGAAATCCCTGGACATCCAAACATTTCCTATGGATTTATAGAAAATAAATCCCCAGAAATTAGTTTTGGCACACTTTGGTTCCTCCCTGACCCACTGTGCGACGCTTAGCCGTGCCAGGGAGAGTGCCTGCCACTGGCATGGTACCGTCGGTAAAAATGTTACAAACTCACCACTCAGAAACTGGGACCAAATGTCTGGATTTCTGTTTGGACTCGGAGGAAAATGGATTATTCTGCCATTTTTGGTTTTTAAAACGGCACTGTTTACTGTTATTATTATTATTAAATCGGCGCCTTCAACTGCAACTCGAAGTAAAATTGCATGCGTTTTCGGCGACGGACCTGGGATACTGTTCCAGTGGTATGGTGGTGGCAAAAAAAGAAAAGATTATTAAAAAAAACAAAAAACAACATTTTAAATAAAAATAAAAAACATAGTGTCCGAATATTCAAATATTCGCTTTTAAGCCTGGGAGTGTACTCGGGTACCTCATTACACGGTTGTGCACAGCCTTAATGTACAACCCTAAAGAAATGTTTCCTTGCTATTGCATTGTCCGAAGCTCCGACATAGGCGAAATCCCCAGTACATACAGACATTAATCCCGCTGCAGAGGGGCATATAAGTAATTATACTTGAAGCCCAACATCAACTTAAATCAAAGGAAAATCAAGGTAAAATAAATAGATGGGTTTAAATGCCATTGGCCCATGAATTTATCAGAAAAGGGCGGGTAGAATGCATCTTGTCCAAATGATCATGTCCTATAGGCTTACGTAGGAATTTAAAGCAACTTCTTTTAATTGAATGAAGAGGTGACGAAAATGGGCAGAAGAATAGGCATAACCTATAAATAGGAGGTTATATGGTCAGGTGGCGAGCTTAATTTATCACTTTTTTTGAGGATATTATTTTTAAGATTTGCGATTGAATGAAAATGATTTGTGGCATAATATATGCTGTCTTTGGGTTTAAATTTGGTTAATGCGTTTCATATTTTCATAATAATGCAAAAAAGGCAAAGTCACTTCGAGTTTCCATTAAGCTGGTGATAAGCTTACGATCAGCCAACATGACATTTATCTTCTTCCCACCTTCTCTCTTCTTTTCTCTTCTTTTTTTCTTCTCCCTCTCCATCTCTCTCTTTTTTTCTTTTTTTTTAGGCTGAAAAGTGGTACGGTACTGTAAAGGCTCCGACGGGCCTGCACCCCTATACATAAAATGAGTTGACTGCTAGCTGTAAAGGATTATCAGCTTTTGTACACATCAATAACCCGATTCTTGTAATGGTCAAAATTAAGCTGATTGAATCTTTGCACATCACAAAACGTATGACTACAGTACACGTCTGAAAATCTGACTATTTTCTACGCACAATTTAAATTAAGGAGCGCGCTTCAAAAATTCCTAACGGTCGATATAATTCCACATAGGCTACAGGCAATTACCAGTTCTAACCTTTTAAGAGGAGTTTTTAGTTGGTATTATCTTTTGTTTGCCATCGGATTTAAACAAGTTTATATTTTCAGCAACACCACCTGTCCACCTTTAACACATGTTCAAAATGTGTCTGAAATGGATGCATCGATCGATCCATATAGGGGAAAGTGAGGTAAGATGAGCCAGTTTTTACATTTTGGCTCGATTTGTACCACCAATAGATAGGTACTACAGTTATGGTTTAAATACAGTAATGTAGTACAACTACCATTCTCTCTTTTCCCCTGTAAACCTGTAAAGCAAATATTTTTTTATGTGTCTGGTGGACCACCAAAGAAAACAAATGTTATTTGGATGTTGATCCATTACATTTTTTTGTGGCATTTTAAAGATACTATGTCCCTTCTGCAGCCAACCAACCTCAAATTTTGTAGAACTTTGCAGGAATTATGAATATGTCATTTATTTCCTATCTGTGAAATTTAAACGTTAGCAGTGTCCTAATATTCGAATTATGCAAGGAAACCCGTTTACTTGCTAGACTTCACTGTCAGACACTTTTGTCATTATTGAGTGACTGACTGGCTTTTTCTTCTTCTTTGGTAATAATAACATACATAAAATGAGCTGCAAAGGATTTGTCTACATCAATAACCCACTTCGTGTAATGGCTAAAATTAAACTGATTGAATCTTTGTGCAGCATAAAACGTATGACCATGCGGTAGACTATTACTTATTGGCTCTATAGCTCCTACGTCAATTTGACAACTAATAGTCGTTACTTTCCCTCTTAAAGACATTTTCAAGCCCCATTTTTTTAAGGGGAGTTCTAAATTAGTATTATCATTCAAATGCCATTGGAATTTAACCTTTTCATTTTTTTGGCCTGCAAAAGGGACATAGTCACATAGTATCTTTCAGGCATCTAAAATGAAATTATCAGAATAACATCAAATTTCCTGATAAGGATAATAAATTATTATACTTATACTTACAGGTATAAAGTTATACTTATACTTCTTACATGTACATCAATATTGCTGTCAAGATCCTTTTTAACTAAGTACCTACCGGTATATGTTTTAAAAAGTACACAATGATTCACACAGGGGTAAGATGAGCCACACATTGGTTATAAGCCATGCACGGCTCAACTTGCCTCGACCAGCAGAAAGTCCCATCTTAGTGATCTTACCAGGTCTTACCCAATTTTTTTTTTACAGTTCAATGCATGAGGCTCAGGTTTAATTTACATAAAATCCGCTTTACCTAATCTATATATATAGCATCTATAGAGTACCGAAGCTGTGACGTCATAAAAATCTAATTTTAGAATTTCTCAATTTTTTCTTCATATTCCGAAAGAACACCTAAAATAATGTCCAAATGTTGAAAACCAATTGAATATGTTAAGTATTGGCTGAGATATGACCATCTGAATAAATATACTCCCCATAGGAACTCAGTGTTATATGCTCTGGCTCCTAATGGCTAGGAGCCAGAGCATATAACACTGAGTTCCCATAGGACATATATTCATTCAGATGGTCATATCTCAGCCAATACTTCACATATTCAATTGGTTTTCAACATTTGGACATTATTTTGGGTGTTCTTTCGGAATATGAAGAAAAAATTGAGAAATTCTAAAAAATAGATTTTTATGACGTCACACTTCACCACTCTATTCACAAGGAAGGTATAATCAGGGAGGTGAGACTTTAAATGGAGATTCCATCTCGAAAGAATTTCCCAAGGGAAAGATATTCAAGATTAACTTGGCTTAACAACAAGTAATTTAACCCTCTTCAGCCATCAAATCCATCAACAGCTGCCCTTATCAGACCACAGATGCCCTCTGGCGATCCAAATGTTACGAAGTGTTACGCAACGCGGCCTGCTTCCCTAAGCTCTCCAAACACTTGGTCGTAAAAAAAAGGCTTTGAAGCCATGCGAGTCACCGAGAAAATGACGTCATACTCATTGAAGATGTATATAGCTATAACAGACAAAAATACAAAATCGACAACTTATGGCACAAGGCAACCTTCTATTGGTTATCAAATGCTTTCGCTGTGCTCGGATAACTCTTCTGAAGACGTAGCTATCTGAACCAGCGAAATCGACCAAGGAAATCGTGAGTTAGAGTGAATGCAAGTTTCTCATCATCATCACGTTCTCTTCTAATTATTGACATTTTCCGAAAGTTTCCGAAATTTTTACATAGCTAGGAAGGTAGTCCATAAGTTTATCTCTTAAAATAACTAAATGAAACTGTGTTGTATATTTGCGCATTTGGTTTAATGAGGGTTAGAAGTTGTCAATTCATCACCACTTTTCACCCCGAGTACGGGCCGGCGACGCGAAAGCCGCCGTGCTCGCTGGGCTGTACATGCTGGATGTTGTTGGTGGAAACACACATAGCTGCATTACTACCCTGGCCGTGTATTCAAAGTTGTGCTATTGATTCTCAACATTTCAAACACCACTGTACAAAACTCAACTGATTTCATTCAAAGGCAGTACTATAGTGACGATTGATGATACCTAAAGAGCATTAAAATACAATTTGTTCAACTTTCTGATGTTAGAAAGAATAATTTAAAAATTAAAATTGTGAGTCTACTGTCAAACTTGCCGATCAACCGCATCGGGATGATTATGTGCATTTGTACTGTATGTTGTGAGTGTATTGACTATTCATGTATTCAAATGCTGCCTATTTACATGGAGCGGCCTACGCATTCACGATGAAACCATTTAACCGTACATTCTGGTTCGCTGCAACGAATAAGATTTTCCGTTGATGGAATTTCACACGTGCATAACTTGTATTGCATGGTCTCCAACTTCCCATACACCAGGCTCAAGAATCAAATCTTCCTCAAAATCAATCAGAAAGTCTAAATCGTCGCCTACCAAATACTCTTCCCTACTGTACGCCGCCATTTTTGTCGATAGCAGCCGATGTGTATTTCCAACAATGCATTTCGCGAGCCCTATGTCACTCAGTTTCGGGAGTGAGATTTACGAGCTGTGCGGTCCGGGTGGGGGATTAAGGGGATTATGATAGGGGGAAAAAAGACTCTCGGTGCAACGGACTGCTTCAAAGGGCCCTCTTAGATGCGGAATCCATTTAACTCACATGCCCTGGTATAATCACTCTATTATTCACAGTGTAGACTAGTTTTTTTACACTATAAGAAAATATCCAAAAACTGTGTAAACCCCCAAATATTACAACAAATTTATTATGATTAAATTCTGCCCCCACGTGATGCATCAAAGGTACTTTTGGCCATGTAAATTGATGTCTTTAATGTCCTGAGGGTGAAAACCAGTTTTCGCTTCATACAGTTTCCTATAGGGGTAGATTAACTTACCCCGCCCGCCCCCCCCCCCACTCATTTAGGGTAAGCATATGCATGTTCCCTCCTTTTGAAAACACCCCCCCGCGCGCCCTAAGTCCGGTGTGTACGGGCCGGGTTTTAGTGTATTACAAGCCAGACTTTGGTGCCCGAAAAGTACACCTTTACCGGACATTTTGGGAATACGCACGGAGTATGGGGGCCGGGCAACTTACCCACTGGCTCATAGATCTTACCTCACTTTCCCTTTTAACCCCCCCCCCCCCCCCCTTCCCGAACAAAATCTGCAAAGACACGAACATAAAGTAAACACATTAATCAACTCACTCAAGCATGAAAGAACAATAAAGCACCAGAAAAATATACTTTCCTTTACAGCAAATCTTGATAACATAAAAACAATGAAAAATCAAACAAAGATTGTTAGGTCGAGCAGCCTACATGTATTTACCACCACGCGGCCCGCGGCCCCCAGTACGTATGGTTCTTATTAGTACAGGCAGACTGTTTGATACGCGTATGACATACCGGTACGTACTTTATACCAAAATCAAAGATATAATTAGTAACTCTTTTGTTTATCATTCTCATTCTCATTTGCTTGAATACACGCAAGACGAAACACTCACCGTCAACGTCAAATGTTGGCATGTATCATTAGCAATGGTACATGTATAAACTGATGCCGAAAACCAGCCAATTTGCTGTAAAATGCACTCCAGTCCCGGCTCCAGACAAAGTCGCCTCAAAAGCTACCATGCTAGATAAAACATAGGAATATGTTTCCCGCTTGAACCTGGACTTTGAACGGAGCCGTTGCATTGGTTATAGAAATTGTCTATGCGGCGTTCATGAATATATTTTACTACACTAAATCAACTAGTCTACGGTTGGAGGAAATGAGATTCTAATAACTTTTTCTCCTTCGGAAATCCGTTAGAACTATTTGCTTTTTCCATTTCTTCTTTTATTGAAGATAGTGTAAACTAATAAAAATAACCTCTCACCAATATATCTCTAAAACCCCAATCATCCAAAAACCACTGCCAAACTCACTTAAATCCTCTCTCTCCTATGATCTCCAACATAATTGTAAGAGGTAGTGCGAGAAAGAAATGGACTAAAATAGAGGAGTTTTTTTTTTTTTTTAAGAGAGAAAGGAGGGTGTATATAAGAGGTAATCCGAGGGAGAGAGAGGGAGAGAGAGAGAAAGAGAGAAAGAGAGAGAGATTGACTGAAATGTAGGTGTTTTTTTTAAAGAGAGAACGGAGGGTTTATATAAGAGGTAGTCCGAGAGAGGGAGAGGGATCGAGAGAGAGTGAAACAGAGAGAGAGAGAGAGAGAGAGAGATGGACAAGAATAGAGGAGTTTAGTTTGAAAGAGAGAAATTAAGGAGGGTGTATAGGCTATTGAGAGGTAGTGCGAGGAGAGAGAGGCATATTAGTAATAAAGTAATAATAATACATAACATTTATTAGGCGCTTAATACGGGTGTTTCTAAGCGCACCATTGTCTGACTTAAAATTACCAACTAAAACTTATAATAAACAAAAAAAATATATAAATCTGTTCTTTATTCAATAAATCATACATATATAATAACAAAAATTAAAATGAGATCAAACATAAGATCAAACAAAAGATCGAACAAACAAAGAATAAGATGGTATATATGGTCCTCCTTTGACCGACTCACAACCGCAGAATAGCATTCATGAATTAAAAAGGTGCGTTTTCAGCAAGGACTTAAACTGGTCAAGAGAATGAATATTATGAATATGCGCAGGTAATTTATTCCAAAGAATAGGGGCATTTACTGAAAAAGCTCGATCGCCATATTTTGTAACAGAACGAAGACCAAGGGTTATTAACTGCAAGGTTGATGATCGGATCTAAGAGGTCTTAAAGAACTACTAGAAGAACGTAAGGAAATCAAATCTGAAAGATATTTAGGGGCTTGGCCATGGAGAATTCTGTATGTCAGAAGAAGAAATGTTATACGATGGTGTATGGGAAGCCAATGGAGAGAACGCAATATTGGGGTTATGTGCTCATCGAGGGAGGGAGGGAGGGAGAGAGAGAGAGAGAGGTTTCAAGTTTGAAACCACCTATACTACACTCTTAATTTCAGCGAGTAAATTGTGCCGAGTTAAACAAGCTGAGTAACAACATGAGCAATTCAGTACTCAAGCTGAAGTAAGAAATCAATTTTAGTGGTACTCGTCAGTAATTTGTTACCTTCGATAAAGAGTAAATCAATGACTCAACAATATAACCTGAATTTACCTCGGGTGCGAGTGAAAGTTGGATCGATTGAAAGTGCAACAGCTGTCTCGTGCATGCATGTGCGCGTGCAGAAAGATGTAAAAAAAATGAGATAGATGCCCGCCCCCCCCCCCACTCAGTGTTATTTAGGGTACGCGTATGCTTGTTCCCTCTTTTTGAAAGCACCCCCTATCTGAGGACTGCCAACATTTCCGAACCCCCCCCCCCCCTTTCGCGGGCTTTTTGCGGGCTTTTCCTGCCTTGGAGACCGCCCTAATACAGAAAAATGCTCAATGTACCCCCCTAAATTCTGAATAATTTCTCAGGAGTCGAAAGAGATGAGAGAAAAAAAGAAAAAAACACCCCCTTTTTAAAGAAATCTCCGGGTGAAAAGTCAAATACACCCCTTTTTTTTTTACAATAATCGGGCCAGACTTTGTCGCACGAAAAGTACCCCTTTACCGGACATTTTGGTAACACACATGGGGTCATTCCGACCCCGGAGTGGGGGGGGGGGGCGGGGATAGATGTGACACTTGTGATGTGATTGTGAACTTGGGCTATTCTCTAAGGGCGAGCGTGGGTGCATTAATTTAGTGACTGGTAATAGCTAGCCTACTTTATTGTATTTGTATTAAACACGTATTGGGCTGGGGTAGGCCTATTGATGCAGATGGTTCTAGGACAATTACCCCTGGGCAATCGGACAATTACAAGCGGGACAATAACCCCCCCCCCCCCCCAGAAAATAACCCCCTGAAGACAACCACCCCAGATGACAATTACCCCTAGACGATAACCCCCCTAGGACTCGGAGTAGGACAACTTCCCCCAAAAAAAGAAAATCTTCTTTTTATCAACACCAATTAGTTGTTATCATCCTATCGAAACTTAATGCACATAACCTCTACCTTGTTAATTCCTACCATGTTAACTACATATCAAATCATATCATTTTAGGAACTGGCATGGACTTTTTTCTGGCCTCCTTCAGAGGAAGGAGCCCACTGTTTTTGTTGGTGCTTTGAGGAGCACCGAGAAAGCCAGGACAGTGCTGTGTAGTCCTCGAGAGAAACGCCTATTCATGCTCTTCATTGACAGCAGCAGTTGACTACTGCTACAAGATGTTTCAAGTACTACAGCTGGATTATCCTGCCCAGGCAGCTGTGATATGGGACTTCTTTGATCGTCTCATTTATGGAATTCGTACCAAGGATTTTATTAAACCATGGACCCTAGTACAGATGGACTAATAATAAGAGTCTTTCTTTGATCACATCATTACCACCGCCACCTGATAATGTGTATGTTGATGAGGACATTTATTTGACGCGATAATGTTTATTATGTAATCACGCATCATCACAGAAAAAAGAACTTTTACATTTATTCAGATTCTTTTCGCTAGGCCAGGGCCCAGAGTGTAGTTTCAGGATAAGTATCGTGATTTAAGACCAGTTAGAGGAGCAGTGACCCCCAAATTATGACAATTTGTGTGATAATTAAAGAAGTGGACACTGCATGGCAAAATACATATTCTTTAATGTCCTATTACCTTCTATTCATTGGAAATGGATAGGATAAGTTTTAAAATGAAGTTTAGAATCATTGTGTTACAGCCAAATTTGCAGGTTTCTCTTGTAAACTACTTCTAATTTTCTGTTGAAGACTTCATATACGTTAATATTCCTATGTCCGCCACAACTGCACATGCATTTCCGTGATTTTAAGCGATTCAGCTTCTTTTGCGCAGGCATTTTTTAGAGTTCCAGGCATATTTCTGTTTTTTTTTATGGCTGACTGGCGGCGGTCGTGATGAGATCAAAGCTTGGAAGCATGTTTAGAATGTCATTATGATACTTTTGACAGAATCAGGTGCATGCATGTATTATGGTACTGACCAGTGTTCATTTGTAGTAGGTCCATGATTAAACGACTTCGCTTTCACTGGCTGCCTGCCGTAGCAACAAACAAAATTGACAAAAGATTAAATCCGTTTCGTTGAAGATCAGCCATAGGAAAAAAAACCTCGTGTATGGCTGATTGTCAACGAAACGGTGTTAAGTCTTTTGTCAATACTGTTTATTGCTACGGCAGGCAGCCAGGGGAGAATAATTCGTTTGATGAAATTATGAAAATGCAAGCATTACTTTAAACAAACCGAACTTTTTATTCCCAGCTCATTTTTCCTGATTGAGGTGTCATACTAAAGGGCAGAAAATGAACTTTCTATAAATGTGATTTTATCTTTGAAATTCAGTTACCGTGCGCCTTATGACTTTTTGGTATCCTTTCTTCAAATTTATTTTGATCACTCATGCGTGAAATATGCATCATGCTAGTTGCATTAAATAAAAGAGGAGGATCTAAGCTTTACCAATATGTGTTATTTATTAATTATAATTGTGAATAAGTTATGATAAAATATCCATAATTTTCAGTTTTGTTTATTCTGGGACGCACTGTAAAAATATAAATCAGGAGATTCCTATAATTAAACTTGTTTTACTTGATTTTCATTGATGGCATTAATCCTTGTCAATATGTGTCAAATATTTAACTTATACAATTGATGCCAAAAACTTGAATGCTCATTTCGATGATTCGATGTAAAGTAACATTGTTTTAAAATTGAAAACTGTAAATTACAAACTTTTTAATATCATGTAATACTATGATGAAAAAACTCTGTAACTGAGAGGAAAAAACATTCCAGAGTTACAAATTTATAGATTTAAGAGGAAGTTGCATTTATTGACTTTCAGTATTGACACTAAAAACTTATTGAAGTCAAGAAATGCAACTTCCTTTTAAATCTTTAAATTTGTAGCTCTGTAATCAGGAGATTCATGTATTAAATTGTTTTTATTTGATTTTCATTGATGGCATTAATCATTACAAGATGAGTGCAATATTTAACATACAGAATTGATGCCAAAAAACTTGAATGCTGATTATGATGATGCGATGTAAAGTAACACTGTTTTAAAATTGAAATTTTTAAAGTACATACTTTTTAATATCATTTTATGATGAGAGAACTCTGAGTTTTCATTGTGATTCAAACTGATTTTGGAAATTAAAGTCCACAAATTATGTTACTGAATTCAAAATGTCGTGGATTTTAAATTATTTGCATAGTGTGTGATTGAAGAACTTCATATCAATGCTAAATTTAGAAATCAGACAAAATTATTGTTTATATTCTCTACTGACAAATAATGGTTACTTAACAGCTGTTAAAAAAGAACAATATTAATCAGCGGTTTAGTTAAACCATTAGTCAAAAGGTTACAAGCCTAGTTGAATCCACCTTTGTTTTAATCAGTATTGAGTAAAAACATGTACTTAATAACTTAGTACATGGTTTTACTCAATATTGATTAAGCAACTAAGCGTTACCCAGAAAATATCATACCCAATATTTGAGCAAAAAATTGCTCAAACAACTTGAGTCAAAACATGTACTCGTTAATATGAGTAAAATTTGGCTCAACTCATGAGCAGTTTCTTACTCGACATGAGTTGAGTACGTTTCTACCCAAATGCTGAGTAAAAAGGGAACCGCTCAACAAAGGAGTACATATTGAGTAAAAGGTTGACTCATTCAAACCGAGTAGAGATTTAGTCTTTTATTGAGTAATATTTTTACTCAACAGATGAGTAGATTTGTTACTCATCACAAGCTGAGTAAAGTTTACTCAAAAGTTGAGCGGTTCCCTTTTTACTATTTAAAAGAGTACAATTTTACTCAACATGGAGCAGTTTTCATTTAGAGTGTACTAGTACTAGGGTTACTGCTACCACTTCTGGTGGACTTGAGCTAAAATAAGAAATGCAGAAGTTGTACCCAATGCACTGACCATTATATGATTTATATATAATTGTATATAATGGGGAAACAAAAGGTATATAAAGAAGATGTACATAAATATAACTTCTACTTCTACTTCTATGGTAATACTCATCAACGCCTGTTCAGCATCTAGATGAGGGTAAAGCATGGAGTTGTTATATACAGCTCTATGCGGTACAGTTCCTGAAAAGGGAACTAAATTGTTTCAAGAGCCACCTTGAACTGCCCCAAAGAAGGCAGTTCGACGATGATCTGAGGTAGCTCGTCCCAGTCCTTAAAGTGGAAATTCAAAGAAAATCACATTATGTCAACTAATGTGTCACTAGAAACTGGTAAGCTAACAGATGGCCATCGTACAAGTTTTTTTTAGAGAGAAAGGAGGGTGTATATAGTGCGAGGGGAGAGAGAGAGAGAGAGAGAGAGAGGACTAAAACAGAGGATTTTTTTTTAGAGAGAAAGGAGGGTGTATAAAGAGGTAGTGCGAGGGGAGAGAGAGAGAGAGAGAGAGAAACTGAAATATAGGAGTTTGAAAGAGGGTGTTATGAGGTAGTGCGAGGAGAGAGAGAGAGATAGACTAAACTATATAGAGAAGTTTGAAAGGAGGGTGTATTTATAAGAGGTAGTGCGAGGGGGGAGAGAGAGAGAGAGAGAGAAAGTGAAATAGAGTTTTGTAAGATATTCAAATTTTACTCTTTTCTCTTCCCTCTCTATCTCCCCTGTCTCTCTCCATCTATTTCTGTCTTTTCTCTACTTTTTCCTGTTATCCGACCCTACCACTCTCCCCTCTCTCTCTTTCTCTATGCTCTCTCTCTCTCTCTCTCTTTCTTTGTAACTCCTCTAGGTCTCTCTTTTTCAGGCTCCTCTAATTTTTCTTTCTCTCTCTCTCTCTCTCTCTCTCTCTCAAGGGAGACAAAATGCATGGCCACCATAGACAGGAAAGATGGACTATAATAGAGAAGTAGATAGATTTGACTGTATACGGTGTTTAGCGTAGCGGGGGGGGGGGGGCAAACAATCAAAATCTTCATTTTCTGGCAGTTGCAGGTACACAATCATAATGCATGCAATACATTTCCCAAGTTCACGAAAACTAAAAACATGTATTAACAACTGACATAGGCCAGGGCGAATGAAAAGTTCTTGCGGCTAGATGCTTTATGTTTAGACCTTTTAATCACTGTTAATGGCTGATACGAAACTATTGTATTGAACTAATTAACAAGTTAGTTGTCAGACAAACCATCTGGTATCATAATATCTGAATTATGTTAAATATCCCAACAAATTTAGTTCAGTCCCCGTGATGTGATACCTATAAAGTTGCCCATTAAGTTGGAGGACTTTTTTTGTACTCCCTTTCATGAAGTGGTTATGAAAATACGATTTATTTGTTTATAGATAAAGTTTATATCTTTTCAGAACTGTATTGCTCATTCTAAAGTGTCATAGAAAAGATATACACTTTAATCTATGAAGAAGAAACCATAATTTTGGTGTCCCTGTATCATTTTCATGAAAAAAGGTTAGAAGAAAGGAGAAGAAAAAAAATCAAATTTTATGGGCAACAATGTATATTAACATCATAGTTCCAGAGGTTACCCAACTTTCACGTAAGAGATGTAGCTATTACACAAAAGTGAAGATTATCATATAATTAAGTACTGAGATATATCTTGTGATGTAGTTCCGTTTTTATTTACATGATCGATAAATTTTAATTTTATGAGATGAATGTAATTTTCAGGATATTATATCAACCTGGTAAAGATTAACTTTTGCGTTTTCGAAACAGTGAATAAATCTCAATATTTTGTTGGAAATTTCGATAATTTGATTTACAGAACTATATATTCTCTGACTTTGGAGACTTGCGGGCGATAATTTTCTCCAGCAATTTCTTGATGATTTCGAGATCGATCCCACCAAGACCTTGGCTGTCGAAGTTTGCAAGTGCCTGCGGCGGGATGTCTATGATAGCCTCTTCCTTGACAGCAACAACCTCCTCATCGCCGTCCTCGTTGTCCAAGGTTTCTTTAAACAGATATGGGGACGACTCACGTTTGAACGCTCTGGCGTCGCGACCAGGTGATCTTGGTAAGGTATGGACAACTGCAGACGATCGATGGGAATCAGTGTTCCCGCCAAAACCGGACGTCGGTGCTTTCATAGCGATATCGTCGTTCTGCTTTGGACGATTGATGTGATGACTGATGAAGGCGGCCGCAGAGGATGGCCTCGCTACCTCTTTGGTGTTACCTTGTTTTTTAGAGCCTTTGATGATTTCATTCTCACGATTTCCCAGAATACCCAGTTCGTGCATGAGCTGCAGAAATTCGTCCACTTCGTCTCTCATTTGGCTCAGATTTTCGGGCTCTCGAGAGCGGTGACCTGGCTGCATTCGTTGTTGGCCATCCTTTCGTTGTCGGGTGAGAAGATCTTCATAGACTGCGTCTTTCGAAAAGGGTGCTCGTGGCGGCTGGACGTAGCCATGCTGAATCTCGTCAACCAGTTCCGATGCGCGTCCTTTACCGGAGAAAACCGGTTCGTACTGGTTTCCTGCGTACTCCTTGATTGCGTCTGAAACTTTGGTCTGTTGCGCACCGGATGCGGCGTTGATGAATCGCTTTGCGCGTACGTGATTGACGGCTAGTCGAGACCGACCTTCGTTCATCATCCGCATCTTAATGGAAGCGTGGGCGATGTGGTCTTCGCCTGTCGCCATCGTGCGTGCACGAATCGCTCGTCGATCACGGTGGAATTGCGAGTTTGGTCCGGAGGCAGCCGTGGTACTTGTGGCAGCCATGATGACCAGGAGAACAGGCAAGCAGCCCATGACTATCTAAACAAATAGAAACAATAATTAATTAAGTTATATTTCATTTATGCATCCTCTTATGCCCAAGAGGTGCATTTACCAGAGTGTCAGAAACTTGCTCATCCTTCAGTGCGCCATTTTGTACAAGAAAGTGAATTCAAAACTACCCGACGTCCCAGGAAAAGCTTTGAATTATGGTATACGCACTGATTCCCTTAACATGCTTTATGGGCGAAATTAATGATATTACATCCACAATAAGAGAAAAACAAAACATAGGGCGGTATTTAACTCTAGATACGTGTGATAAGTAGTATCGTCGTCGATGCAAGGTCCTGGGTTCGAAACCAAGTGGATACTTGGTAATATAATTCATAAATCCTTTGGCAATGTCGGATAGGACCAAAAAAGCAATTTGATCACTGGTTGATTATTCGGACAAGCATCATAGGCCTATTTATTTTTCTAGCAGTCAATAAGCCCAAAACAACAAATAACCTATTATACCAGTAGCATAATATGCATTTCTAATTAGCTGGAATGTATATAGGCCCTATATGTTTCTATCATTAAGATCGCGCAGACTTTCAACAAATCAAGGGCAATTACATTTTTATATCCCTTAGACCGATAAAGAAACATGATCGGATTGCTTATAATACATCTTCGTCATCATAATGTTCACAAAACTCAAAGAGTGAACCGCCAAGGCTATTTACATTTTTTTGATTGAATTGTTAAGTAGTTGTTGCATAATGAAAAAACATTCAAATATAAAACTATACGGTAATTAATGTAACCAAATATTCGTTATCTACAACATCAGACAATTGCGTTTTGTATATGTTACTATGATATGAAAACATAATGAGAGAACTCGCTACAGAAAATTGGAAAGAAACTATAGTTCAGAAATAAAGACTTATCGAAGAAATAGGATATAGGAACAAATGAAAATTCTTATATTGATTAATTTCATATTTTGTAGAAAATCCGCAATCGAAACCACGAACCAGTTGAGAAAAAGCGTCAAATTGTTGAATCTTTTCAAGTAATGATATAGAGTATTGAGAGATTTAGGAATGGACAACTATGAAGAAGTATAGAATCAGAAAAGTACAACTCTCAAGACAATTGAGGTTCGATTCAACAGAGGTCGAAAAGGAATTTTGGGAAATAAATAAACAAAAGTATACCGTAAAGTTTGAAGTTAGAAGCGTCGCTAGACCGTTACTAAATAGAGGAAGTACATGTTGTCGATTCGATTGAGATGATCCGACAAGTTAACAAAACAAAAGAAAAAAGGTCAATAATAAATCCACAAAATAACATCCTTTCTGTTTTCTCCCACGAAAAAGAATCATTGAAATATATTAACCAAGCATGAATAGGCAATATAAACTTACCTTCAGTAGCATATTGGTAGGAGTAGGACTCCAAGCATGTAACAAATGAACGATGTACCACAGGAATTATAATGTTTCGAATAAAATGGAAAGGGTTTTGGATTTCTACTCATTAAAAGTTCCCTTGGTAAGACCGATGTAACAGCTTGCATAGTGAAAGAGGAAACTGTCTCTGATTTTCAACATGTACGTCATCAAACAGTAGTGAGAAGAAAACTAATTTGAATCAAACAAACAAGAGTTGACGTTTTAGGAGGTGAGTACATAATGTAACGGCTGTGTTTGAACGCGCGTTGTCCCTTTAATTAAATCCTATAAAGAAAGCAGATTGAAGTCTTTTTGGAGATATAGTCAAGATATCAATTAACGTTTGCATTTCGACTCTACTGCGCATGTCATCATGACCATGGTCAAGTAATAACACGATCACAAAGAGTTTCGTGGCCTAGTGGATACGTCACCGGACTGTGGATCACAAGTCGTGGTTCGCGGTTCAAGTCCCGCCTCGGCACTGCAAACCAAATGTGAACCATCCGGTGACCTTATTTACTAGACCACGACACCTCTACCTATTAATATCTTAGACTTTATGAAAGAAAGTTACACAAAACATTGATGGATGGGTTTTAAGATTTGGGATCTCAAAGTTTAAATTCATAATTCTGAAGGAGCTGACGTTAGAAACTTTTCAAATTTTTTCACAACTGTCGGCTAGGTCGCATTTTGGCGGGACGCATGGCAAAATGTATCTGAAAGAAGGAACAAAAAGTACGCCTACCTTAGAGACTTCGTTACCCTATCCCATAGAATATTTTAACTTAGGCCTAAAAAATCATTTTGCGTCTCTTGTGCCTGGGAGGCGAAAAGTGAACTGAATTAATAAAACCCTTTGGTCTCCCCTCCCTATACAACTGTTTGGGGTTGTGCAGTTGCTCCAGGGTTATACTCTTAATGCGAATAGTGCCATGGATTATATTAATGAGCAAAGGTGGTAAATTTACTCTACAAGGGGCGTCCAATATTATTAACGTCCTATCCGAGGGACGGAGTGTTTTCCACTGTAACATAGCCTGCGTCTATAATTATGAAACAGGACAGAGGCACATTACCACACAACGCAGGCTTTAGTCATCCGCCTGGGTTGGATTCGAACCCATGATCTTTGGTTCGACATGCAGACACTTTACCAACTGAGCAATCTCCTCCCAGACCTGCCACTTCCATTTAGTTTTAGGGTAATCCAGGTCCCTAAGGTTTTATTTTCTATTGGAGGGCCAGAATTTTGATATTTTTTTCCAATCTTAGAGAAATTGACCGTCTGCAAACTTGAAGCTCTCGGATGTCGTGAACTATAGTTTAGACAGGTCAAACATCCGGACGTTTGTCTCTTTTTTTTCTTTCCCAGGGAAGCTTATCACAATAACAAAAGTTGAAATAGATAATCCTTACAAATAATACGTTGCTGATCTGTAATACAACCATAAATATTAGATTCAGTGTATATAAGAAGTGAATGACCCCGAAAAACTTGTTTTGCAAAGCAATATGACACAGAATATTATGTTCAGATGTGTGCCAGAAACACGGACAGTATATTCTTCCTTCAAATTTAACTTTATGTAGAATAAAACCTGTTTGTTGTCAGATACTCTTTAGCTATAAGTTTTCCATTTGTTAAACTATTGTGACTTTAGATCCAGGGACAGGTGGTTTGACTGAGTTAGTGAGGTATGAAACCCATTGTCTTCCGGATAAATATCCCCTGTTTCCTTTGTGGCATATTGCACTACTTCATTTTCCCTGTGGCTCCATCAAAAGAATTTCAAATCTCTTATCGATCGGATAGAAAGACCATTTCCTAATAATAACTATCCATAAATAGGCCATCATCTGGTCTATCTAAACCACCAATTCATTGTGAATATATAATACTGTGGTCAGTTGACGCCTTGTGCCCGTTTTCTAACAATATTTGCATCGTTTAAGCTTGGTTTGAGAACAAAAGTTAGTGTTAGACTTTCAGTAGTCTCTAATGCTGTAGAGTCATAAACTTTGAACCCGACGTAAGTGTGTAAGTTCGGTTTATCGAGTTTAACGAAAGGAGTTTGACAGAGGCCTGACTTTTCTATATCTCTTACACGTTACTGCATTTAACTGAATTTAGGAGTTTACAGACTTTCGAAACCATGTTTCGGATTGTGAACCTTGTCTGTCTTGTTCTTGGAGGGTTGATATTCCTTTCGCATCAGGTTTCTTGTGTGCCAGGTAAGTAATCTTCAAACTCCTTAAACATGTGGAGGTGTCGTGGTGTAATGACCTATTCACTGGACGTAAGGGTCAAGGGTTCGAATCCAAGCCGGGCAATTACGTCCTTTGGCAAGACATTAATATTCATTTGCCTCTTTCCACTGAGATGTTAAATGATGAGTACCTGGTAGGATGCCAAAGTCATTGTAATGTGCTCATCATTGTGAGCATCTGTAAAATGTCCATCGTCGTCTTATGGTGGAGTAGAGCAGGCGCGGATCCAGGATTTCTTAGGGGGGGGGGGGGCCCAAATTTGAAATTATGCGAGCCAAAAATTGGAACGTAATGCGGGGGGGGGGGTGGGTGCAGGGAGGGGCGAGTTTGCCCCTCCCTCCTCCTCGAAACGCGATAGCTTTGACGTTTCATTAAATTATTAGAGAAAGAACACGATTCATAGTACCGTTCTCGAAAATATTCTCGTCTGAATTCAGGTTCACCCCTCCCGCGCGAAGCGCGGAAACTTTTACGTTTCATTAAATAATTAGAGAAACAAGACGATTCGTTGTACAGTTCTCGACTCTAAATCCTCGTCCGAATACAGGTTCCCCCCTCCCGCGCGAAGCGCGGAAGCTTTTACGTTTCATTAAATCATTAGAGAAACAAGACGATTCGTTGTACATTTCTCGACTCTTAATCCTCGTCTGAATTCAGTTTTCCCCCTCCCGCGCGAAGCGCGGAAGCTTTTACGATTCATTAAATCATCAGAGAAAGAAGACTATTCGTATCGAAAATAATATCGCTAGTGATATTCGTTTGTCTCGCAATGGTTGCGAGACAAACGAATATCACTAGCGATATTATTTTCGATACTATATCCGCAATGAGTAATAATATTTAGCAAGACTATTCGTTGTATCGTTCTCGAAAATAATCCTCGTCTGAATTCATTTTCACCGGCCCCTCCTGCGCGAAGCGCGGAAGCTTTTACGATTCATTAAATCATTAGAGAAAGAAGACGATTCGTTGTACAGTTCTCGACTCTTAATCCTCGTCTGAATTCAGTTTCCCCCCTCCCGCGCGAAGCGCGGAACCTTTTACGATTCATTAAATCATTAGAGAAAGAAGACAATTCGTTGTACCGTTCTCGAAAATAATCCTAGTCTGAATTCATTTTCGCCCCCCCCCCCGGCCCCTCCCGCGCGAAGCGCGGAAGCTTTTACGATTCATTAAATCATTAGTGAAATAAGACGATTCGTTGTACCGTTCTCGATTCTTAATTCTTGTCTAAATGTAGTCCCAACCCCCCCCCCCAACCCCTCCTGCGCAAAGCGCGGAACTTTGACGTTTCATTAAATTATTTGAGAAAGAAGACAATTCGTTGTACCGTTCTCGAAAATAATCCTCATCTGAATTCAGTTACCCCCCCCCCCCCTCCCGCGCGTAGCGCGGAAGCTTTTACGATTCATTAAATCATTAGAGAAAGAAGACAATTCGTTGTACCGTTCTCGACTCTTAATTCTTGTCTAAATTCAGTCCCACCCCCCCCCCTCCTGCGCGAAGCGCGGAAGCTTTTAAATTTCTTTAAATCATTAGAGAAACAAGACGATTCGTTGTACCGTTCTCGATGCTTAATCCTCGTCTGAGTTCAGTTTCCCCCTCCCGCGCGAAGCGCGTGTGCTTTTACGTTTCATCAAATTATTAGAGAAAGAAGACGATGCGTTGTACCGTTCTCTACACTAATCTTTGTCTGAGTTTTAAAGATGTTCTTTGTCTGCTCCTTTTTCTTTTTACGTCCTCTTCCTTTTCTCTCCTCTTTTTTTTTAAGGGGGGGGGGCGGTGATTGTTTGGGTACCGCCCCCACCGCCCCCCTGGCTACGCGCCTGCGGTCAGATTAACACATCAGACGTTTAAGGCAATAAATTACGGTCAGACAAGCATTCAGGGGCCCGCCTTAGGGCCCCTGGTGGGGTCGAGGCGGTGGAGCCCCCGGAAGCTCGGGGTTTTTAGGCGTTTAATTACGGTCAGATGAGCATTTTTTATAATCCTTATTATTTTGGCACACTGGCAGGACACTTAGGCGTGGGGTCAAGGGGACAAAGCCCCCCAAAATCAGGGGTTTTAGGCATTACATTACCGTCAACTGAGCATCGAAGGGCCCGTCTTAGGGCCCAAGGTGGAATCCAGGGGGCAGAGCCCCGGAATCTCAGGGGTTTTAGGCGTTTATTTACGGTCAGATGAGCATTTTGTTATAATCCTTATTATTTTGTGTCACTAGCAGGGCACTATTTGGCGTGGGATCCAGGGGGCGGAGCGCCCCAAAATCAGCGGTTTTAGGCATTAAATAACCGTCAGATGAGCATCGAAGGGCCCACCTTAGGGCCCTAGGTGGAATCCAGGGGGTAGATCCCCCGGAAGCTTAGGGGTTTTAGACATTTAATCACGGTCAGATGATCATATTTTGATGCCTCTTTATTTGTTAACACTGGCAGTTAACTATTTTTTCTTTCTTGCTCTCTTTCTTTTTTTTTTTTATTTCTCTTTAATATACTTTTTTTGTTAAAGTGTGGGGGGGGGGGGGGCTCGAGGCTCCCGATTCCCGCCGTTCCTCGGGCCTTGACATGTAGGAATCTCAAGAATCATATTTCTTGCCTGGCTGTAAATTTAGGAATTTTTCATTTTCCAACAAACGCATAAAAAAAGTATAATTTACTAAAAAGTGAGGAAAAATCTCGGAAATTATGTAATTTCAGCATTATTTGTAATCCACAATTATGGAATTAGAAATAAAACACGTTTGAATTTGATTTCCCCCAAGCCCCCCCCCCCCCCCCCCCTCTATCAGTACGCCAGTATCTCCTATTTTCCTTTTTTCTTTCCCTTTCCTTCCTTCTCTATTATTTTTTTGATTGGGGGGGGGGGGCAACAGCCTGGGAGGCAAGGCCCTTTCGCCCCCCCCCCCCGATCTCCTTCTTCCCCCTTTTCTTGTCTTCTTCCTCTTCTTTCTTTCCCTTTCCCTTCTTTTCCTTTCTTCTCTCTTTTTTTTTTTTTTTTTTTTTTGCCGGGGGGGGGGGGGCCAAGGCCCGCTCGGCCCCCCCCCTGGATCCGCGCCTGGAGTAGAGCCAAACATCTGTCCCTCCTCCGTTTTCTCCTCCTCCTTCTTCTCCTTCTTCTTCTCCTTCTTCTACTACACTTTCTTCTACTACTCTTTTTTCTTCTTCTTCTTCTTTATTCTTCTTTTCTTCTCCTCTTTTTTCTTTTCCTTTTCATCACCCTTCTTCTTCTCCTCTTTTCTTCTTTTTGTTTTCTTCTCTTCTATGCACCTCCTTCTTATAATTATCCTCCATCTTTTCTTTCATCATCATCATCATCATCTTCTTCTTTTTTTTCTATTCTTCTTCTCGTACTTTCCTAATAAGTGTAGCCCCTTCATCATCACAGTCATTCACCGTTTCAATTCCAGATATAGGAGTGATGAGCTCATCGATCTCTCTTGGTGAAGTAGAGCCACACATTTGTCCATTTCGCGGAACCCCTTATCTTCCAGGAGAAACAATACGTATTGATGAATGCACCTTATGCATCTGCGACTTGACCGTTCCCCATATAAGTTGTCAGGTAACAACTTGTCAGCCAGTCGATTGCGCCAGGCCGGTCAAACACCCGGGAGAATGCTGTCACAGGTGTCCCCATAGTATGTTGCTATTTCTTTTTAAAACTTTTATAAAATGTAGTATAATTGAATATTGTGATATAATGTGATATGAGATGATATAAGATAGATGATGATGATAATAATTATAATAATGATAATAATAATTATTGTTATCATTATTATTATTATTATTATTATAAATAATAATGTTGATGATAATTCTTAAAATATGATAACAATAATATTAGTAGTCGTACTCGTAGTCGTAGTCGTAGTAGTAGTAGTAGTAGTAGTACGAGCCTGAGTCGTAGTAGTAGTAGTAGTGGTAGTAGTATTAATGATGATAATGAAAATGAAATGGTTATTATAAAAGTAAACATGATAATGATGAAAGATGATAATTAAAATTTGCCTTTTTTTTTGTTATTTTTATCAAAGTATCTTTCAGTAAGCGATGAGATCGCAAAACGCTAATCAAATTGATGTTGATTCTGATTCTTCCCAAGATGTACTAGTCCAGAAAGTGTCCCCTTTGGTGGTCTCGCAGGACCACATTGAAGACCTGGTCCAGCTTCGGGTTCCGATTGAATTTCAAGAGACCCCAACAGTAACAAAGGTCGAGGGGGAGAGCCTTTGGAAACTCAGCGGATGGGTCGCCCTTCATCATGCCAATAGCAGTAAAGGGTAAAATCTTCGTCCAAAACACATGTAGACCGGTTTATTAACATATTTTAATTTATGAAAGTTTCTTTCCTGTGGACCTAGTGACGAGTCATTCCATTAACATATTATGTATGAATGAACTACAATACGTGGAATCCAGTCTGCGTACATTATTTGTTGCTATATCGGGTAAGCCTCGGGAAAAGCTCGTCAAAGAATAACCTTTCTTTAAGAAGTATGCAAGCCGTACAATTTGAAATGTTAGTAAAGCGTTCTATTGCAGAGACTTTAAAAAAATCTATCATTAAATATCTTTTCATTAAGGGCATACATCATGTTCAACAGTGTGAACATCATAATGACATAATAAACAGTCCCCTATATTATTACATATCTTACCCTTTGGGGCAAGCATCATACAAGTATCGTTTTTTTTTTTTTTTTTTTTAAAGCATGCCCCTCCCTTTTAGAGTATACATTTAGTCGATATGTTATGTGATTCATAAATCAGTTTATCTTTAGTCCATTTTCTTGAAAACGAGCTAAAGTTGCAGCTAACAACATTCTTCTTCTTCTTCTTCTACTTCTCCTCCTCCTTCTTCAATCTTCTTCCTCTTTTTCCTCCTCTTCTTCTTCTTCTTCTTCTTTTTCTTCTTCTTTTTCTTCAATCTTCTTCCTCTTCCTCCTCTTCTTCTTCTTCTCTTCTTCTTCTACTCCTCCTTCAACCTTCTTTCTCTTCTTCTTCTTCTTCTTCTTCTTCTTCTTCTTCTTCTTCTTCTTCTTCTTTCTTCTTCTTCTTCTTCTTCTTCTTCTTCTTCTTCTTCTCCTCCTTCTTCTTTTTCTTCTTTTTCTTCTTCTTCTTCTTCTTCTTCTTCTTCTTCTTCTTCTTCTTCTTCTTCTTCTTCTTCTTCTTCTCCTCCTCCTCCTTCCCCTAATCTCCTCCTCCTCCTCATCCTTCTGAAAATAAAATCATGTTCATGATTTAGTTCATACTTTCGAAAATGTCGGAGGACTCTATTTAAAATTTCAGAATTACGAACCTTCGGAATTTTGAACCCCTAGTATAGGAAACTTGTGTTTCGGAATTATGAACCTTTCGAATTATGCACACAATAACAATAATCAATAATTACAATTTTGTCTTATTTAATCAGGGTAGCCACGTCAGTAAAAATGCTGGTTTTCCCGAGGGCCCTGCAATTGTTATTACCCCCAAAGATGGCCACGTAAACATTTAAAACTGTGTGAAGAGTGGCAAATGTGGATTAATATCTTGCCACAGCACGGTTGTGCCGGGCTGTGATTCGAACCTTCAACCCTAGGATTGAGAGTCAAGTGCATATACCACGACACTCACTAGGCCTATACATTTTCAGAATTATGAATTGTTGGAATTATGAACCTCATCGAACCGTAACCACCAAACCTTCGGAAAAAAGAATGCCCCCACCCCCGGTCTCCATAATATACTTTCCTACTTTGACAAGGAGAGTCAAGCTTGCTATCCATAAGGACCGCTATCCATAACGAGAGATAAAATGAATAGCGGTCCTTTATGAATAGCGGCCCTTATAAATAGCGAGCAAACCACAGACAATTATTTGCCTAGCTATTCATAAGGACCACTGTTCACAAGGACCGCTATCCATATAAACGCGTGACTAAAATGAATAACAGTCTTTTATAAATAGCGGTCTTTATGAATAGCGAGTACACCCCGACAAGGGAAGTGAAATCGTCAATCAATGATGGAAGGGGCGTCGGGGATACAAGTGCCCTTCAGAGGGTGCGGAAGACCGATGGACCAGGAGTTAAACAGTTCGGGAGACCGATATGTTGGTCTGACAAAACCTCTGACAAAATTTTCTGAGGGTTCGTTCGGTCTCCTGAGCTATCGGTCTCAATCGTGAGCCGTTTTGATCAACTAGGATGACCCTTATGAAAATATTGTTCTTTGATGGTGGTAGCTTAATTTGCTTCCCTCTTCAATTCACATCCTCTCTCCTTCTCATTCTCCTCCTCCCCTTCTCCTTCGCTTTCATCTTCTTTTCCTCCTCCCCTCCTCAATGATATTCTCCTTCTCTTTCCCCATCTCCTACTCCTCCTTCTCCACCTTCTTCTTCTCCTTCTTCTTTCCTTTCTCCTCCTCTTCCTTTTCACCCCTTCTCCTCCAACTCTCTTCCTCTTCCATCTCCTCTTCCTTCTTCTCCCTCTCTTCCACCCCCTCGTTTATCCTCCCTTTCCTTCTAAATGATATCCTTCTTCCTCCCCTTCTCCCACTCCATCTTCTCCTCTTCCTTCTCCTCCTTCCTCTCCCCCCCTTAGCTTCTCCTCCTCCATTTCACCCTCAATGATATTCTTCTTCTTTTTCCCTCCCTCCCGCTCTCCCACCTTCTCCTCCTCCTCCTTCTCCTCCTCCTCCCTCTCCTCCTCCCCTTCTTCCAGGTATGACTACCAAGATCAACTCCTGAGCGTAGAGGACATGTCAAAGACCTACGAGACAGGAAAGGACTTCATCTTCGAGAGCGTCGGATTCCCTCTCCTCCACCCGACGGTCGTCTGTCATAAACGACCCTTCTTCATCTGCGTACGACTTGAGAAGCAACCCACCCCCCAGTTGAAGAACGGCGGCGACTTCGATCTCTCTGGTTTCCCGGATGATGCTAGTCTCACAGGGTGCACTGCTACGACACTCCTTAAGAAATGGTGTACCCGCGCTCTCAAGTCGGCGAAACACGATACTAGAAATGGTATGCTATTTTTTTCTTCATCCATTCTGTGCAAAATTACCGACACTTTAAAAAATTATATATAAATAGCAAATAAGGTGGTCGAAAAGAAAATTTGAATATGTTAGTAAACCGGTCTATAATATATTCACATTTTATGTATACTTTTTAAACAAAGGTTGTTATATCCAACCCTAAAGTTATGCATGTTGTAGACTGGATTCTAAGTATTGTAGTTTCTTCATTAATAAGAGGTTAATGGAGTAACTTGTCACTAGGTCCCTAGGTATGAAACATCCATAACTTTGAATAAGCTAGTAAACCTATATTAGCCACCAGTCTACGATAAAATTATAAACGATTTCCGACCGATTTGCCGACAACATGCCAACTGATCAACGACCATCGAACAGAAGTAAATGGATATCAAAAGCGGACATAATGTACCCCCACTACCCCTGTATAATAAAGAGTGATCAACATTTTGATACCATCATCAAGAAACATATTGTTTCTTTCTCTCTTTTTTAATTTTCTTAAAACTATAAAGTAATATTTATCATATATTTTCCACCACAGAATCACCTAGACTGGATGGACGCCTGGCCCTAATTATGACTGTCATCCTACGGGTTTTGTTATCATTATACTGAGTGGCGTAGCCGTCTTGGATCCAGGCATAAGGGGGGTGGGAGGCACGGCCGGGCCTTACTCCAAAGATGAGATGCAAGTCAGCAAGGTTTTTTTTTTTTTTTTGGGGGGGGGGCGTAACGTATCCCTTTCACGTTCCCTTTAGATCACTTTAAAAAATAAAATCTCTCTCTCTTGCTAGTTTTCTTTCTTTTTGCTCGAGGAGGAGGTGGGGGGGGGGCACGTGTCCCTGTCTCTTTTTATCTACACCACTACTTATACTTTGTACTACATTTAGAATGATATTAGGTTATGTATGTTCAGTATCATTCCAAAATTTGATGTACAATACTATTGAAAGTGCGTTAACGTATATTTGCTATACGACGGATTCAACACCACGGTATTTTTGAGAAAGAATTAATATACCGTATGTAGCATCAACTCTGCAAATAGTCCTGTTGAATGATTGATTGTTATCTGCAACTTGTATTTATTTGTACATCGAACGCCATTCATGGTGAATAGAGACGAACACAGAGTGCAGTCTTGGGGAACTCCATAACGCCAGGTTGGCAAAAGAAATTTATTTCAAACCTTTACGGAAAAAAAGAAGTTTTGTATCTAATATAAAGAGGAGCTTAAAAACAAAGATGTGTAAAATGTAAGTACGTTATTAAAGAGATATTCTTTTTATAATTATATGCAAATTATCTTTATAAAATGTACATACTGGATTTTTTAACGATATAAATGAAAAATATATACCTCTCTATAAAGACCACCTGTCTATTTTGGTCATGTATTTTGTTTCCCTCAAGAAAGAAAATATAATCATGTTGTAGCGCCTGGCTAGAAAGGCTTCCTTTCTATAGCGGCCACTTTCTATGTTTCCCTTGGGTGGCCATGATTATGGAGGCTTGACTGTTTGTAAATAAACTTCAATTTCTTTTAAAAAAGAATATTGATAATCTTCTACATTTTATTCGTATTATTCCCTTCAAGTTAGTAGTAAGGGGAATCGAAAGCTGATGATGGGGGCAAAATAGGTACCAAACTATTATCTCTTTGCCCGTGCATGTCTCCTATTATATTCTGCATCAAAAATTTGTTGGCTTTTGATTGGTTGAGAGCTTGTCACATGACCAAAAATATTTGACCTATTTTTAGAAAGTACTATATGAGAGTACTATTTTGGTTTACTATTTGGGAGTTGAAAAAAAATGTGACTTTTTTTTTTTTTTAATTGAATCAATTTTTTTCTTCAAATCTTAATTTAATGAAAACAAAATATTTTAAATCTTTTTAGATAAAAATTGACATTTTTTTGTTCTAAGTTTTTTCCAAAAAATGTTTTTTTTTTTTTTTTTTTTTAAATAAATTTTTTTATGCAGGATATAAATCAAATATACCATGCCTTCTATTCGAGGTACTGGTTAAACTATGGGCCTCGGTGACTCCAAAAGTACCATTTGCTTCGGGGCTGCGCCTCTCAGCAAATAGTACTATTGGAGTCACCTCTTGCCCATAGTTTTAACCAGAACCTCTCAAGGCAGTGTATATTTGTATACTAACATGCGTATGTCTATTATTTTCTATGACTATTTCATAGTTATCTTTATACATATTTTATAAACGTGTAACACAAAGAAATATGACTACTTCTCTTTTCATTCAAAAAATTGATTCCGTTTAACTTCCGAGCTTCTCAGATATAAAATATGTTAGTTGGAAGTTTAGGAAGTTCACATATTTGATGGTAAATAATTTCCTTCCTTCATTGGTCGTTATTTGGAAGTCTATTCTAATGAACACCAACAGTTTATTTCTTTAGTGAAAGCTACAGCTAGTAGGAAGGAGTTTTACCATGTAATACATTTGACCAGACTGTCGTGTTTTTAAATCCACTTTACGTCTTGTCTCATTTGTTCTAGTCCAGAATCTGGCCTATTTAATTTTGATCTCCAACACCAACGCCACCTCCCTCTACTTACTTGCTACCAGCCTAAGACGGCGTGATCATGAAATTAGGACTAATGTCTCTTTATAGCAGGACGCCCGGCGAAAAGTTCTCAGACTGTGCTGGTGGTAATTATGAGTTCGATGATAACGCCTTCTTCGGCGACTTGAATCAAGTGTGTAGGGAATATAAAGCACCGAGCAGATTCTGGACTACATTTGTTCTTGCCTTTATGAGAACTGAAGCCCTCATTGTGTACACAACAACATTAATGGGGTAAACAAATACAACACTGCCAGTTGCAAAATTTTAATTTAAAAAGAAAAATGACTATAATCTTGCTAATAATTAATATTTTGCCACTATACTGTTAGGAAAGTTTTCAAATATGATTATTTTTTTTTTTTTTTTTACAATTGCGTTGTATTTAATCCGTTATTCCTTTATACTGTACCTTTCTCTCTCTCTCTCTCTCTCTTTCAAACTCCTTTATATCTCTCTTTCTTTCAAACTTCTCTGTCTCTCTCTCTCTTTCCCCTCCCTCTCTCTCCTTCCCTCCCTTCCTCTTATTTCTTTCCCCTTTTACCCCTCCCCTCTCTCTTTCTCTCTCCTCCCCTTTCTCTCTGATTCTCCCCTCCCATATCTCTCTCTACTTCTCCCTCCAACCCCACTCTCCCCCTCCCCCTCCCCCTCCCCCTCTCTTTCTCTCTCTCTCTCTCCATGGAGACAAATCAAAACAAACTGCAATGCATCATGGTCATGGCTTATCTTGTATAAATGCCAAACTTTACTTTTTTATTCAATTTTTCCTATCTTGCTTTTCTTTTTTTCATCATTTTGCACATCCTCCAGTAAACATTCTTTCCAAGACGACAACATTTTACAATTCGCATACTTACATGATACATTATTATAATTACATAAACACACAAGCTGGTGTAATAGTTATTTATCAACACAACGACTCTGTGGCTATTCTTTATACATTGACACAACATACTTCCATTTTCTCCAAAATAAGGGAACGGAAACCAAATCATCAGTGTAAATAGTTGATTGGCAAAAAGAAAAAAAGAATGACAGAAAATTAAATACAATGCAATGGATGTATCATAAAAAGCAGAAAACATGTGTAGGTATAAATATAAAAACACAAGATGCACTATGATACATACATTGGTACACAGTAACTGAAATGTGGTGCACTTGTATTAGACTCGGGCTTATCACCGAAGATAAGCCCTTTCTTCTTGCATGTGATTATTTTTTTAATATAAAAATCAAATAAATGTAAAAACGTGGCATAAATACATCATATTGCCCCAGATAACGAAATAAAATAGTTCTTAAAATGTACAGGTGTTACTTACAGTTCAAATAATTCGTATCAATTATCAAAACTTACTTAATAAGTATAGAATAATGTACAGCTATGTATACACAAGAAATAGGATAAGAACTAGACTATTCACGCTAAATAAAAAATAAGCGTATTTAAGATCTTTCGTTAAAGAATGCTGGGAACAAATGAATGGTGCAAAGAATTGATTCACATGTATATTGTGCAATTACATAGTCGGGGAATAAGTATTTTTTTAGTTTATATGATAACGACTGAAATACAGAATTCTTTCTCCAGCAAGGGTGCTTATGAACGGTACAAATATTCTAATCTACTTCTGAGAAACTAGTCCAATTTGACAACGGTATCACTAGTTCAATACAGTAAAAACCTGCTCAGACCTGTCTATAAAGATCATATCTGAGTCTCCTTTCTGGTGGTCCTTATAACACAGGTTTGATCTTTCTTCTTTTTTTTGGGGGGGGGGGGGGGGTTACTCAGCTTGGGGACACACAATTTACACAAGAATACATGTTCAGCCAATCACACATATAACTACGGTGAAACCTGCTTTAGCGATCACCTGTCTAGAAAGACCATATTTTCCCTCCCCATTGAATAGTGTTAGTCATTGGAACATGAAGTAAAGAAACCTTTACGTAAAGACCACCTGTCTAGAAAGACCACTTTTCCCGTGTCCCGTGATTGGTGGTCTTTACACACAGGCTTCACTGCACCTGTGTCTAAAAGGTTACAAGTCACAGATGCTTGATTCAATTCAGAAAATGAGCTTAGTACTCTGTAATCAAAATGTCTACTTTCCTCTTTCTTCTAAATATTGAAATAAAATTTTGAATCACATCACCTGACAACCTGGCTACTTTTGCCTATTATGATAACCTGGGTCAAGATTGCTTCATAGACAAAAAAACGTTAAATGGAACGTTTAAATTCAACTCTTCACCTTCCACTCAATACAAGTACATGTATGGATGGCTAATGATGGTAAGTGCTCAAACGCTTACTAGATTATTATCTTTATCAAGAGTCGCAACACTTCAAAAAATATGAATTAATCTGCTTGAGACTGAATATCAGAGATGCAGCATTAGTGACATACACCAGATATTAATGAAGCTTCAACAAACATCTCTCTTATTTTTTGGTAGTAAACATAAACAATAGCAGCATTAAAAATATCCAAGGATCTAAATATGTGATACAGATTACAATGGTGACATCACAAAATGCCACAATAGATCTATGGTGCAGGAAGGTAGCAAAACTAATGTTTTAGAATCAGCTAGTTATGACATCACACTTCAATGCTCAGCTGAAACAGTAATAGAACAGATTGTTACCATTTTCCCTACAAACATACATGTAGCTACATGTATCTAATACTTGAGATTTGAATCTGAGATGTGTACTTACACCGGTCTTCTATTTTTCACACCACATTCTTCTTGTATGGTGTTTACCACTCTTTTACCATTATACCTACAAGCCTAGCTTAAGAAGACACATTAGAGTTGTCTTCCTGAAAAATCAATCTCTTTTCAACCATGGGCAAAAAAACGACACTTCTTTTCTCCACCTTTTACTCAACTTTCCTAGTAATTTAACAGAAGAAATGAAAGACATTTCAAGAATTGAACTTTTGTAAAAAGACTGCCGGTAAAAGCTACAAAACTCTTGCCTATATTCCCTGTTTGAACCGAAGAAAAGAAAGAAGAAAAAAAAGTGGAAGACAATTCATTTTCGGCTGTCCTGATTTTTTTTTCAGCTTTCAAGAAGAAAAAAAAGACACTTGATAAAATTGTTAACATAGAAACAATCCAAACAGTTGTAAAACAAGTGAGCAACTTTCAAAGTATAAAGATGTTGTTATCAATGTATAATTGTGTTTTGACAAAATTGAAACATACTGTATATACAATGTATGTATTACTGTACAACCAAAGCAATGTGAGTCCTGTAGGACCACAAACTTTCAGACATGACCCTTTCACAAATTGTTTACTGCAGCCTTTTTCGAAGGAAGGTTACACAAATTGCAAACATGTAGTTTTATAACTTGTTTAATACATTCATTGCTCAGCATAAAACCTTTGTTAAACTGGACTACTCGTGAAATTTGATACCATTTCTTGTACTCCGTAGTTTCTGGTTATATAGTAGATTGGTGATGAATGTATAACATTTTTCAGAGTTTTTAAATCATACATCACATACTTGTAGTTCTGGAGTACATGAAAACTGGTGTTGTGTAAATTACAGTATATAACACAATCGCTTCATTAAAGAGAAATGTAACCTTGATAACAAACTACTCTAGAGGAAAGCAGAAAAATCAGAGATATTGAATAAAATAGGACAAAAAAAAGGAGAACTTTGTGAGTTTTAAAAACCACTACAGTTTTTACATTTTTATCATTCTTGAAGTGTCTACTAATTCTACATTCTGAATTATGGATTCAGTTTTCTCTAGCTTTGTTAGACTCATGAGGATCACAGCTGGAATACATAAATATTTCCATCATCTATCTATGACTCTTACAGGAAAATGTACTATGTAGGGTGCACCAATAGAAATATTGAGAAATATTTGAATTGAATGACTAAATCTCATTTGTGACATAATGCCACCAATATTCATACACAGTAATGCAACAAAAGCATGATGAATCGACTTAAGTTTTCTTGAAATAAGACAAATCTTCTGAAGTACCAAAAATGTTATATAACAGTGCAGTATTCATATTTAAAACTGTTTGCCTAGAATTATAGATAGCTTACTTTATTACATTATTTACATGAAAATTTATATTACATTGTACACACATGATTTAAAACTTCAGGAAAAAAAAAATCAAAAACAGAGAGTAAAAAAATAAGGCCCAAAACATGGCAAGCAAACTCTTAATTTCAATTAAGAAAAATAAGAGGAAATTAAGAACTTAATTGTAATCTCCAAGCACCAGTCATTCACATTTATAAATCATATCTAGAGATGTTCATCCCCTTCTTGGGAATCAGTCAGTTTGCCAACTTGAAATGTTATGAATGGGACTACATGATTCTAGCATTACATTACATTAAACCTTACAAAATGTAGCGGAGAACAACAAAACGAAGTTCTTCGGCATGAATCCTGGTAGTGGGTATAAGAAAGAACTGTACAAGTACGATGAAATTAATCTGGAAATTACAGATTTTACTTAAAACCATCTATTGCCAATGACCACATACACTGTGCCTCTGTATTTCTTAAAGTCCATCTGTACTAGTTTACAGGAGGGATTAGTCCATCCTGCAAGGTCACTGACATATGGCTATCTCATCAAATCAGCTCTCACTTACCATAAGAAAAAAAAGGTTCATGGGGGGGACCAATGGTCACTGATTAGGCATTGTTTGCTATATAGAGGGCGCAAGTAGCTATAAGTAGTGCAGTGGGGCTTTAAATGCAGGGTTGAGTCCACATTGCATACCATGTACGACAGTTACATGAAGCTGCAATGTGTTTATTTCACATTTATAGTATTTACATAAGGAAAAACCCTGTCTCGGTGAATGATAGTACATGCGTATCTTCATCACAAAAAGAGCACTTCATTTTTCTAAATTTTTACGAAAATTAAAAGAGAGGCTAGGATTCTGTTTAGTAGGACAGTACATTGCATCCTACATAAATTTAGAAGGAAAAAAGGGGAAACTCTTTATATTTGCAATACTAGCATCATTATAAGATGAATAATGATCCTTAATTCTTTGTAAGACACAGTCAGATTTATATCTATTATGATTTGTAAGCATTTTTTATCCATTCATTTGTTACAAAATTATATCCTTTCACGCTCCTCTTTGTTACTTCATTTGTTCTGTGATTGAAAATAACCCATGACAAAAACCATGGATTCTCTCGTTCCCATAGACTTAGTATAGGGACAAGCTGATTTCCATGGATAAACCAGTTAAAGGTAAAGACCAGTATTGCAAACGCCCCAGTTTCAAAAAATGAAATGGAAGCTCTCATTACCAATCATGTGAAAGAATATGTTTTGAATAATACATGATGATAAAAAATTTGCCGGAAACCGCCTACTAATTCATATATTTGGTAAATTTGTTTCTCTCGTGGTCTGTGAGAGATATAGGGTAGTCCCATATACATCTTTCTGTGTATAGTGCTTGTAACTTTACGAAGAATGGGCCAAATTTATTATCATTTTGATGATTCCAGAACCTTGCAGATGCTAGATGCTAGATGATCAACCTTTTCTGATCAATTCCACAACGTTTCTTTCACAATGCAATCGCATGACTATAACTGGTCTTTACCTTTAACTTGCAATATGATGAATTGAATTTCATGACCTCATTATCAAGTGTGCATTTATACGAGTATGCACCAATGCGTAGCGAAAGATGCAGCAGAAAAAGGTTGAAACCAAATAAATTCAATTATTTATTGATCGATCATGTCATCATTATTGACTGAGGGATGAATATACGAGAAAATTAATCTCAAATTTGTTTAGAAGCATTACTTAGTGCTAATTATACAAAAGATCATGATGGTTAAACGAGGGTTGATATAAACCCTGACAATTATATCCTCAAATTTTCATTCTGCACATCACCGGACACAATATATAAGCAATGGGCAAGAACAGATTTGATGCTCAACCTCAAAGTTACCCCCATTACAGACAATGGATTCTTCCAGTCTTACAATACCAAATATACAAATAAGACTATTCCATTCATCCAAGAGGTAAGATGGAGGTTGCTTGGATTTCGAGGGACAGCATTTATCAAGAAAGATCCTGCATAACGTCAATGGTAATCCTCTGGTGTCTTTGAAGAAAACTACAGCAGTCGACGGAGACTACGACCACCATCAAGCCTCGTTCATATACAACGCTATAAACGGCCTCAAGCCTTGTTCATATTCAACGCTATAAACTGCCTCACACTGAACAAATGTGCCCCAGTGCAATAAGATGAAATTAGTGCAATGTGTGTCAAAATCTATACATCATAGCACGCAGACCTGAGTTAGTTGAGATCCTTTCATGCTCGTGATATTTTAACAGACTTGCCTTTCATTTGCATGTCATATAGATTTTCTTTTGCCATTGCAAATTCCTTCTTTAACGTTTTACTGTTAGGTTTGAACGAGGCTTTACCGGTAGGTGATTAAGACCACTTTAGAGAGGGCCAATGGTGCTGTGGTTCATGAGAAAATGATCGGACCAGAAGCAATGGACAATCTGCTCTCTCTGTTGTATGTACAGGTTAACCAGGGGATCATCCCTAAATACTCCTGAAGAGACGGATAGTTGTGACATCCAGGCTTTTGATGGGGGATCTACCAGTTACCGAGGCCTGCTCGTAGGGTGAGGAAGTAAACTTGGGAGTTGGACGGCCGTATTGATGCAAAGAACACCTGGAGAAAGAGACAAAGGGATAAAATGGCTACTGAAAAAAATATCTTTAAAATAAGAAAAGAGACAGAATAAGCATTGTTTTATAGAGGGTATAACTGAGAAGACTTACGACTCTCCCAAGGCTAGCATTTAACACCCTAAACAAAAAGGAATATCATTACAGAGAAATCTGATGTACGATCAGCTTATAAGAACATAATTCCTGTCACATAGGAAGCATAGCTGTTGACTGTGTTTGTGCATGAATACACCATCTGGGCGATAGTAGATATCATATTTTTGACAACATAGCATCATGTGACCAAACATAAAATTGCTATGATGTTACCAATAAGGAAAATGTCCTATACCATGACGTCATCCATCTGTGGTACAGTGCACTATATAATGGACGACATCATAGATATGAGATCAATCAAGATCAGTGTGATATCAGTATTTCAAGCCACTAGTGAAATTATGGATTCCTTGGCGACAGAAATTATTTCTCTTCTTATTATTATTAATATTTTTATGAAGGTTTGGTTTGAAAAATGTAAAACAAATACTTCATGCACTATTTCAAGCCACTAGTGAAATTATGAATTCCTCGATGACAGAAATAGTGCTTTTCCTGACACCTCGATCCATAATTTCAACTAGAGCCTCTCAGTGCAAGGTATATTTGTTCACTATTTGATCATGTTATCATACGCACCTTATCATTCCTTTCACATAGGAAGCGTAGCTGCTGACTGCGTTTGTGCATGAATACCCCATCAAGGTGACCTGTCTCAGCTGACCTGATCTCAATAGCCTTGTTCCCCCAGCCCATTATCTGACCCGTGCTGATGTAGGCTGTGTTACAAGAATGAGAAACAATCACAAAACAAATGAATAAAGTCTAAATTGCATCTTCTCATAATATTCAGATCTAGATGACTATCTCACGACAATCATCCCCATCTTGAGCTCTGGTATGGGAATCGTATGTCGAGAGAACATGGCTATAATTCATTCTGGATTGTTTATCCTGCAGTAGATTGTTTGTTTTGAACCAGTAAAATCAAAACAACTTCACAAAAACTTGATGGAAATCATCTTCAGTAAAAACTACAACTTTCACTTGCTCATTACTCAGCCACTTCACATTTTCTACCAAAATCGTTTGGCACATGCCATTTATTTGTAATCTGGAACATTCAGTGTAAGTTTTGTTGGATTCTGTGAGAATTCATCTTCTATATTCACCAGAACTCAAGTTTATCTTTAAGAGACTTACCAACTGAGGCAGGTAGCTCTCCCCATTGTAAGATGACATCCTTAAAAGGGACACCTTTAGTATCAACAAACACACCCTCATCTGAAGAGAAAAGAGAAAAATTTCATGGGTAATTCACACAAAGACATATTGCAAAATGCTGAAAGGCAACATATGGTTGATTGATTGATCGGTTGCTCTTATTCATATTTCCATTCAAAAATAACAAAGCATAATACATTTTACAAAACATTAACATTTCTTTAAGATAATACATATATGGAAGTAAATAATCCTGAATCACAGTAATTAATAATATGATTTTTTTTGTTGTAAATCAATAAATACCAAAATGGAAAGTGAACCTATTTAAAAGCTAGGCTTGTTGCACGTAGGTTCACTGAAATATTTCAAATAGGCATTCTAAATATTCCTTGTTACATTAACAAGGAAGAAACAAAGAGAACTTTTAAAGATTTGAATTGCCTTGTCTTACAACAGGTATTAAGTGGTAAGCATCTTGGCACCCAGGTGAGGTGAATGGGTACATGGCAGGAATTAATTCCTTGAAATGCAAGAGCGCCGTAACGGCAGACATGTTAAAACCGGGGTAATATTTTACAAAGCTCTTTGGAAGGGCATAGAGACGTTATAATTGATATGCGCTATACAAGAACCAAATATTTATTATTAATATTATAATAAAACTCTGCATTCAGACCACGAAGTGGAGATATTACAATTTATTTTAATGGACAAGTTCCTTTCATACTTTTCAACTGAGAAACACTATTAAATTTTTTTTTAAAAGCAGTGTCTTTATCAAGACATGGTGTTCCTATATAGGTGTTGCTAAAGGTTTAACTGCTATAAAAGAATTCCCCCTCAAATTCCCCATGAGCACCATGAGAGCCCACTTCTATGTGTGTTTAACTTACTGTTGAAGCAGAGTAGGAGGTATTTTCCCTGTGAGTTGGGTAGGATGACAACACAATAAGGAGTGATAGTGCCAATCTCCTGTCAAGATAAATGAGAATAGAACAAAAAACAATGAGGCATTGATTACTAACCTAAGATACAATGCAAGACAATTACAGTACAATGAATAATAGTACACAATCAAACAGAAACAGAGAATTTGGTCTTTGGTCGTTATAGACAGGTGGTCTTTCTTAACGAGTGGTTGCTAAAACAGGTTTCACTGTATCTTATTTTATCTTTTTTCGCTTTTATCATTACCCCTCCCCCTTTTCTCTCCCTCTTTTGCTCTCATCCATCTAGACCCCCTCTTCTAACTCTCTTTTTTCCCTCTCTCTCTGTCTCTCTTGGTCTCTCTTTTTCTCTTTCTCCCTCTCTCCCTCTCTTTCTCCTGTCATCCATCTCTTCTCTCTCTCTCTCTCTCTCTCTCTGTCTCTCTGTCTCTCTCTCTGTCTCTCTCTCTCCCTCTCTCTCCCTCTCTTTCTCCTGCCATCCATCTCTTCTCTCTCTCTCTCTCTCTCTGTCTCTCTCTCCCTCTCTTTCTCCTGCCATCCATCTCTTCTCTCTCCCTCTCTCTCTCTCTCTCTCTCTCTCTCTCTCTCTCTCTCTCTCTCTCTCTTCTCCCTCTCTCTCTCTCTTTATCTGTAACCTACCTGAGGTGGTGAGTAGATATCCTGGACAGACGCTGAATCAAGGTCGATCGCATGGAATCCGTTGACTGACCCATAGATGACCTTTAACCTCTGGTTGTCCTCCACTGTGAGGTCAACGATCAAAGGTCGGTGAACCAGGTTGGGGAAAGACTGCAACGAAAAAAGAAAAAAAAATTATACTGGCTTTATTTTTAGGTTTCAGTATCATAAGAGAGACACAATATCACAATGGTATGTGATAACTTTTAGAGTGGTGTTGGTAATACTTAGTTTTGAGTATATCATATCTTATTAATTTTATCTTTGAATGTATTCAAACATCCTTTTTTGATGTATTGTCAAAAAAGAATATCAAGTAAAATGGGGGAGGATTGATACAGTGAAGTATGAACCATGAAAGCCATGATCCTTAAGTTGAACTTAACTCTAAGTTGGACTTAAAAGTTATGGAGAGCCATTTGTAGCCTTAAAATAAAATACATTAAAAAACTAAAATTCAAGTACTTTAGACTTTTAATAAATTCCACATCAAGAACATGAAATCTCCTTTAATAATAAAAAATATTAATGATTTAGATCAAAATGTTATGCTTTTTAAAATAACTTTTAACAAAATACTTTCATAGATGCTAACGGCTTATCATAATTTTTAAGTCCAACTTAGAGTTCAGTTTGACTTGGAATCTTTGTGAAACACCCCCCAGGACACCTCTTCCAGGAGAGGATAGATCCAATTTAAAGGTACGTACCTTGAAGGCCATGAACTTGTGGTATGGTTTGGGAGCCCAGGCGTAGATCTCGATGCTGTCCTTGAGAGCGATCACCAAGAACTTGATCTTCTCGTACTTGATGATCTTGTAATGGATGCATCCTTCAAGGTCACCTACAGACAGGAAACCGCTCTTCCTCTTATCCATCGTCTGCTGCTGCTGCTCAATGTGAAAGGAAAAGGGAAAGTTGTATAAAAGCCAATGAACTGTTTTAGAAAGCCCCCACAAATTGGTTTATTGCTGTTTGGTCTATAAACAATTTGTCTACTACCCAACTGGGGGGCGTTTCACAAAACTTGTCATCAGTGACAAACGACAACTTTTGTTATAAGCTACTGAAATCCTTGCTTCTGATTGGTTATCAGCAGATTTGTCACTGATTTTTGTCATTTGTCATTGAAAAAAGGCTTTGTGAAACAGGCCCCTGGTCTATTCCCATAGGGTCTACACATAGCCTGTCTATTATCGTCATGGTCTAATAATCATTTTGTTGACTTATCATTTGGTGTAATGACCAATATGGATGATCCCCCTCCCCTGCTCCTCCTCTGTTTATCATTCCTGATATATTTTTTTATAGAAACTGTGAAACATAATTTATAGAACTCAAATTTCAAAGACAGCGTGAGACTTCATAAACCAAAGACCCCCAAAGACGCATGGCGGATATTCTGACACCTTTCTTTTGAGGAGGAGTATGAAAGAGTAAAACTTACACTTAGCGTAGCCTCTCCGTCACTCCTGACTATTTTCTGCTTGAGCCATGACAGGAAGTAGGTCCTTAACTTGTTCTTCTTGCCTGTACGGGTAGAAAAACAAAGATGGATTAGAGCAAAACTCACTATGAACAAAGTAGCAACTCAATCATTTCGGGACAATATATTGCAAAAAGTTCAATTCTTGTGCCACAATTACTGCCTGATAACAACTACACACAGAAGATAATCTCTTTTAGGTTTTAAAGGGACTTGGTAACATTGTTCATATGATGAAAACGGTGCTAAGGTAGTGACTTCAACAATGATAGATGTAAAATCAAAGATAATCTGAAAGTTTGAGTGAATACAGACCAATGTCAATGATACCAATTGGGAAAAACTGACCTTATCAATTCCTTAATTCTCCCAACTATATTATTACAATTTAAATACATTTTAGGTGAATAAAAATTATCACAATGCGATGTTTTGGCTCTTTATACCATTCCAGACATTGAAGTGTTAAAAGATTTTTTGAAAGCCTGTTTTATGTCTTATTTACATTGAAAAACAGTTGGGAAAATTCATACATAGTTGGGGGAGTTTACTGTAGGAGGGTTTCGCACAGTGACGCCTTCAAAGAAAACCATAAATATCTTTGTGTTTTGAAAAAAAAATCAGGATTTGTTGCATGTTAGAGGGTAAGTACAGTAGAAGGAATATAATAAGTAACATTTCATACAAAAATTAAGCAGTTTTTTCATCAACCTTCAACAATGTTACCGAGTCACTTTAAAGAGAGAACTCCCTTTCAGCACTTCCCATGCAGTAATATGCATGTGTTTCTCACCTGCTATGCAGACAAGGATGTTCTGGCTCTCCAGGACATCCATCTGTTGGAAGCGTTTTCTTGAGATGAGTGGGTACACCTTGCCCTCTCCCGATCTATCTAGCAGCATCAGACCGCTGTCTGTCCCTATTAACAAGTTCACACCTGAATGGAGAGAGGAAGAGAGTGACAGTAGCAATTAAAACAGGTCCTTTAGCATGATACATGTTACATCATGGTTTTACTTCAAGGTCTTTTATGCATGTTACATTAAAAGATTTTGTTTGTGACTCATTCAACTGTAGATCAAGACAGGGTCACAACTTTTATCTATCTTTTGGGGGTAATATTCAAATTAGCATCGAAAATGCTACACAACAAAGACAAACATAATCATTACAAAATTGTCTATTATTCCCTTTTATAAGATGATGAAGGGGATTCTTATAAAATGATTGGTTGAGAGTGTACACGTGACCAGGCATTTATTTTGCCAAACGCGTAATTTTACTAATGACCGGTCATTAGTAAAAATCTTGTTATAAAACATAATTTTATAAAAAACAAATAAAACATCATCTTATAATGCAAATAATACACATCATTTTGTTCAAGCAATAGTAAAATTACCCACACTTGGTACCTTCAAAACAGTCCAAACACCCTCGGCTATCGCCTCAGGCATGTTAGACTGTTCCAAAGGTACCTTGTGTGGGTAATTCTTACTCATGCCCTCACTGATGTGTATTATTTGTATACTAATCAAAGCAAAGAACCAATATCGTTCAGTTTGCAACTTTTCTAGTCACAAGCCATGGAGGGAGACATGTAACTTTGTTTTAAAGGAATGACACCGTTCACACTGATACCATACTTTCACTCACCCCATAATGAAGCGCAGAGGATTTCTGAGTTGAACTTCTTCCTGTACTTCCTGATTTCGGGCATGTCGTTGAGACTCTCTGGTGTCGTCGGCTTCACGTTGACCGATATGTTCGAGCCGCGACGGTTCGGTGGCACAGGTATGCTCGGCGTGGTGGGGCTTGCACCGAATCCGAACGCGGAGAAGGACGTCTGTTTGCGCATGGGGGTCTTGGGCCCACTACCGGTGCCGTTCGCAGCAAGAATAGCCTGTCGGTACTAAAACAAGAAAGTAAGTTAAGGATCTTCGATTTTTGCAGAGGGCAAAGACCACAATGGGATGTATACTTTTTCTCCTTGTTTTATAAACAAAAATGAAAAAAAAATTAGTTTCATCAGGATGGTTGTAATAATGGTTTAAAAGTTCTTTTATCACATCCAAAAGGAAAAATAACCTGTCTGCCAGAGCGCATCTGGGGGTGTCTAAACTCCAGACATTAAAACTGTTACCAGTAATTTTTTCTTTTGGATGTGATACAAGGAATCTTGTTAAAATATTCCTGAAGGGATATTTTGCCAGGTGTTTAATTGACTGGTGAGGGCAAATTACTAAATAACGTGTTTCTTGTCCGGACTTTAAAAAAAAAGGAGGAGGCAGGGCAATACTATTTATTATTTTGCAATTTTCTGCAATTTTTCTCCAAAATGACTGCCATCCTAATTATAGCTGACCAAGAGTATTTATTCACAGATATTGTGCTTTGTGAGTATACTGGTGTAATGTATGACAGAAAAAAATGATTTTTATCATTTTAGAATTAAATAAAATGTATATCACAGGTTTTTTTCTTCTTCTTTTTCTGAATAGTAAATAGTATTAAAAAAAGGAGGCAGCGGCCAAAAGGAGGCGGGCGGGGACGAGAAACACATCATTTTTGTTGGACATCATACAGATCATCTTGAGAAAGAGGAAGGTGACGTACCTCCTCCGAGGATGCCTTGTCCTGCGGTGTCTGCTGCGTCTTTGAGGATGCTCCTTTAGGACTCTGTTGCTGGGGTAGAAGATCGGGTAGGACATCGCAGCTTCCTGCGTTGATCTCAAGGCTACCCGGTCTGACTGGCTCTTTGGGAATCTGTGGACAAAATTTAACTTAGTATGTGAATAGGTCAAGAGATTATTGCAAATCATAAGATAGATCTTGGCTTTGTCTTATTAAGAATTGTGATTGATCCAAATCGATTGCAAGTCCTACAATCAAATGCAAGTTTGCAGTCTCCTATCTCTTACAGTTAATTACAGTGAAATTGCATGAAACATCCAGGGCCCATATTCACACAATATTAATACCTGTAGGCGAAGCCTTCACCTACATCTAACTACATACTAGTAGTTCATTATCGCCTAGCTTAGACAAAACATTTAAAATAAATGTGCCCAGGTCACCGGGGCACCAAAACAGAACTAAAGAAGGGTGTGTCCTTACCCTTCTGTTCCCAAGAGGGCTACCTCTATTACCCCCTTGTGATAAAGCTTCTTGTTTTCTCTGTGCATGAGGGGAGTCTCTGGGTGAATCTCTTGGGGAGCCGTGGCCGGACCTGGGCCTGCCCTGAGGGGGTGTGCTCCTCCCTCCCGGCTGGACCACGCTCCTCGACTGCCTGGTTGGTGCTGCATCAAACTGGAAGGAGAGAAAGAAAGATGGACAGATAACATAAATGCGCAATGACTCTGTAACATTGCCTCAGATTCTGAAACAAAATCCTGGATTTAGCTCATGCTGCAATCATAATTATAAATTACAATATATAAAGGTCAGTCCAGAACCCCATGATTTTTACAAGCCCATCGCCTGTCTGATTATCAAAATATTATGATTGGAAATCGAAATCAAATTTTGTTTTTTCCTAACGGTTTTTATAACAATACTGTATATTGGGGAAAATGAGTATGGTAAAACCAGTCACTGAAAGATTTTTACTTTTTGAGGCTTAATTTTTTTAGGGCTTCAACATTACACCATATCACAGATGTTGATAACACGTAGGGCCATGCATCTCAGATTTAACATTGTTAAACGATGCCTCTAATAGCTTCACATGACTGCATTATGACTTTGGTTTGCTTGAAGTGAATCAATGTGTGTAACTGAATATTACTTCTCTTAAATCTAACGATACACTTTCAATAATCCAACTAACTGCTATCTGATCTTGTACAACAATACAGCATATACATAGAGCTGGGATGCCTTCATATCATGAGCATGATAATAATAATAATACATGAGATTTATATAGCGCCATTATCCATTTTAATTAAATGCTCAAGGCGCTTAACCTAACCTTAACCTAACTGGCTAATGCATAATATTTTAATGACATGGAGTCCAGGAAGGTTTAAGTGGACATACCTGTGTTCTGCTTGGACCTGCTTGTTGGTTCTTTGACTGGATGAAACTTGTTGTACTCTCTGTGCTTTCAACACTGTCTGTACTTGCATTAGGATCTACAGAGGAGAGACAAAAAGATGGATTAACCCATTTGCTACTATTTCACATTTTGTGGTTCGGCACAATAACTTTGGATTCCCAGACCTAATAAATATATGCCAGATGCATGAGTGGAAAGGCCAAAAATTTCTGCAAACGCTGCATCCATTTTTTGTTTCATGGCTTTATTTCGTTTGATTCCAGGAATTAAAAAAAAATGAAAATAAGCTTGAAAATACCTAAATTGTGTTTAAATTTATTTTTAAATGGGCCACTTTTTCAACTTAACAACAACATTCCTGCCTATGAATATCGTCTTTAGAAACATTGCATTTTATTTTAACAATGTAGCATTAAAAGAAAGATATTATTGTTGCCAATTTGAAGAACAAAATGTGATCAATTTAGCCCTAGAAATGAATCCTGTCTTGAAAGGGTTTTCATATGAATTTCACCTTTTTTAAAGACAGAAAAATAGGGAAAAGGTGTAAAAAAAGAAAAAGGACAGAGCCAGAGAATACATAAAACAGACAGAGGTATGTTATGATTTTGACAAGTAACAACCTATTTCTGTCATCTTTGACAATGACTCATTTAGCCCAATATTTTGTATCATACATGTTTGTTAAAGGTAATACAAAGTTTTGGTATGGGGTTATGAATTTGGTTCAAATGAACATGTTGGAAGCATAAGCGATCCTACAATATTCAGTGATCGTTGTTGCGGTTGAAATCGAGTCTAAAGTTATGGAATTGTAAATAATTAAATCTTTATGTTGTATAGCTCCCTCTCAAGGTCAAGATATTAAATAAGCTATAAAACAATGTTTCTAGACTAAAATCGACCGATTAGCAATTCTGGTTTAGAAATTATATATCACAACTACATAGTCTGAGATTTTCATGTTCGCAGCTACCATTATACGGCCGTAGGCGCTATTTAAAAATTTATCAAAATTTACCGGGAGCACCGGTAAATTGTTATATTCAATTTTTCCCGAAAGCAGAATTGTTTTAGGGGCTAAATTTTCTAGTGCTTATAATACATCCACAGGGGCATCCAAATATATCAAAATTGTAAAGAATCACTATCCACCCAATTTCAAAATTTCCAAAAACTTTGTATTACCTTTAATTAAATTGAATAATGAATTGGCCCAACTTTTCTCAGCATTTGAAAAATCTTATGAAAGGCTGATCTTCTTGTATAAACTGAATTATAAACATTTCTTATTTTTGTACCACCTCATGATTAATCTTTTTTTTTCTTCTTCAGAAATTTACATCAATCCCAATTAAAACGGAAAAGTAATTCAAATCTTACCTTCTTTGATTATAAATGTTTCTAATGTATCACATTCATAGCCAGGTGTACCAGGTCTGTGGATCAAAGAAACAGTCAACAAATATTAGTGAAAATATTCTGTTCATACTTCAATTTTCAGGATTCTATCCCTTATTCCTTTGAGTTTGTTACACATTTTCATTTGATGTTTAATATATTGCATCCCAGTAGTCCATTTTTGTAATGTAATCAAATTTAATGCACAAACATTAGTTTAGTGCCACGTTACAAATCATTTCATTACTTGTTTTTAGGTATGACAAGCCATAATGTATTATCTAGTCACGATTAATGTATGCTATTCGCATTCTGACTATTGAAATACACTTATTCATAACAGGTGAATGAAACAATTTGTAACTTAAAGTAGATATTCATTGATTTTAAAAACTAACTTTACTTTCATTATTGCAAAGTTGAAACTTTGATTCGACAAGGTTATCAAAATTCAATGCTTGGAAACATTCGAATTAATGATTATCATGAATTACAAAACGCTTGAATACAGCCCCGGCATATCACCTGAAGAGCTCTCCGAACGCTGCTAAGATGTGTGAGATCACAGTATGGACATGACTTGCACAAGCAGACGATGTCCCATGACATCTCACACATTTATAGTGCCTGTGTTTTCGTCTTCTCTCGAGTTCTTTCTCTTACTTCACTACCGTCAGGCTAAATGTATAATCTATTGCCTCACTCTAAACCCCGCGCATGTTTCTATTTTGATGACAAATGCAGCAATACAAAAATAAAGGAATATGTCGCTTGTAACGAAATAAGACGCCATTGTATATTCAGCTGCCGCACCGGGGTATGTTCGGCATTTCAAGAGGGAACAAATGCCGTCCCTAATATCATTCCAGGGGTTTTTCAATTTGAAAGTCTGGTTTCTTTGATTGTTAATTAACCCCTATCCTGTGTATTTGCAAGCAAAATATTTTAGTTATCAGAATCGGGTCATATCCACTTTTGAATGGTTTGACATGCCATTACATTTATATACACTAAACTCATTATAATTTGAGAAATAATAGCTTTGCAATTATGTTCATTCTCTATGTGATGTCGTCTGCTTGGGCAGTGTTGGTCCATATAGTGACGTCATTAAAACATCGTTTTTTTTCCGGCGAATCTCTCGTATATCCCAGCTGCTATGGAGGTGGTTTTTTTATGTATTTTTTTTATAAATCACCCGATATGTAGTTAACCTAAAACTTGTCCGATGGTCATCTGTTAGCTTACCAGTTCCTAGTGATACATTAGTTGACATATTTGTGATCTTCTTTGAATTTCACCTTTAACAAAGATGCGGGCATTAAATTTAATTACATTACTAAAATGGTATATTATTTTAATTTTTTCCTTTCAGTCAAATCACCAATGGCATACTTCATCCTATTCTTTGTCCATGCTCCGGGAGCATTTTGCATTTTCTTTTTTCGTCCAGGGGGGAGGGAGGGGGACTCTCTTCAATTTTTTTTTACTGCCCCTGGTTACACATGTTGTCACTTTCAAAATATATTTTTGTTTCTTCTTTCTGTACAAAGTACATGTATGATCATTGTCATCAATATGACTACTGTCACAAATATCATTATTGTCACTAATACGTGTTCAGTTCGACAGCAGTTGAGTCGTTCCTTGCTGAACTTACAGCGGTCTTGGCACGTCGGATGCTGGGATGGTTCCATCTCCTCCAGGACCACCTACCATGTCGTCCTCCTCATCGTCATCGTCATCATCCTCATCCACCTTTCCGCCGCCTCCCATCGCACTCAACTGAGCAGCCAACGCAACAAGATCCTGAAATTTCCAAAAGAAAAAATGATCATTAGCCTTTTGAGGTTTTTTACATCATCACTCTTAATTTTTTCGAACAATGAAGATTAGCTAGATGATGAGAAGTCAACTTTGCTGAAAACAAGATGAAAGAAAGGTCAGACATATTTATTGGCTCTCATTGTGCTTGGAATTAACAGCTATAGTCAAACCAGCTTTAGTGACCACCTGTCTACAAAGACCACATTTTTTGTTTCCCTTAAGATCGGTTTCTCATAGAAACATGTACTAAAGAAACCTATCTACAAAGACCACTTTTTGTGTTTCCCTTGGGCGGTCGCTATAGACAGGTTTGACTGTATTAGATTCTGGACTGTAATGTAGGCTGTTTTCATGTCATCTGATAAATGCATGAGTATCAACATTTTCCTGCAATATCACAACTTCTCAGGAGAGTACATGTATTGAAGAAGAAAAAAAACTAACAATTTGGCAACCATTTGTTGTTTGTCTTTTTTACAAGAGAGCATGATCATTTGAAATCCTTGCTTCTGATTGGATATCAGCAGATTTGTCCTGATTTTTGTCATTTGTCATTGAAAAGGGGTTTTTGTGAAACAGGGTCCATATCTGAGCCACAAGTTTTCTTGGGCAATGAGGACAAGACTACAGTGCCAAAGGATCTAGGATTGGGCATTTGTTGCCTGCATGGTGCCCACCTTTTATTTGAACATCGAAATGAAAAAAACAGACAAATAGTGCAAGAATGCTATTGAATTGGATAGTCATGTATCTTTAAAAAAAAATCAATGAAATCATTAGAACGATCATTATTTCAAAAGTAAAACCAGATAGTTTACCATGATTTCAAACAGCAAATTTGGTTGTATAAGAAAGAAAAATTTTGCGGACATGATGATGGCATGATTATTGGCAATAATGTATGCATACATTGTGTATATTCATGTAAAAGGAATGTACGTACATGTACAACACGAATCATGTTTGCCTTTTTAAGATGTCTATTACGGTAAATGTACATGTGCATGAGGATGAATGTCAAAACTTAAACATTTTGGTATATTAACATTTTTTGGAATCAAATGAAATGGTAAACTTTCATGGGAATGATATGAATGTATTTGTAAGAATTGATCTATCACCCCTTTGTCGGCCTAACAATGCCTTGCCTCATTTGCCATCCTCCCCTTTCCAATATTCATATCATATATTGGAGGAAGAGCTCAGACTTTTATAGAGAGGGAGGAAGAAAGAGGAGGATACGAGATGATATGAGGAGAGAGAGAGAGGGGAGGGAGGAGGGGGAGAGATGGAAGGAGGGAGAAAGAGATTGAGGTAGTGAGGGAGCGAGCGAGGGAAAGAGGGAGGGAGCAAACAAACTAGTAAGGGAGAGAGAGGGGGAGATAGAGGAAGGGATAAACAGAGAGAGAGGTAGGGACGTGGGAAAAGATTTCGGAAGAGAGCTAGGAAGAGAGCAAGGGAGAGAGGAACAAGGCAGGAAAATAATAAACCCTTCAAAGATTGCAGAAAACAAAATACTCAAGTCTCCGATTCATAGCATACAGTTTAGCAAAGTCCACATGCCATCCAAATTTCAAAACAAAACCCAAACCTCACCAAAATACCTCCAAAAGTGACTTATTGCATTATAATACCATGCTATATCAACCTTTGCTCCCACCACTAGCTTTTGGCATTCATTATATCACCGCAATTAAAATACAAAATATCAGTTGTATATTGCCTGCATAGAATTGCAAATATTCAAATCACATTTCCAGCAAAGTGAAAGATATGACCCTGGACATGCACATCCATGAAAACAAAATACCAATCATTTCAATGAATAAATAAATAAATAAATGAATAATTGAATAAATGAATAAATAAATAAATAAATAAATGTCGTTTTTTTTTTAAGTATATAAGGAGCATCCATAAACTGGTACCAACAGAAAATAATTGGGGCATTATTATCTGAAGTCTGCAGAAAGTATTTCCTAAATATGTACATTTAAAAGGTCGTATATGTATGTTGAAACTGGATTATCAAATTGAAATATAATTAGGCTGAATTGATGAAACACAATGGGAAATGAGCAAATCACAGGCAAAAACAAGATGGAATTTCAATCTCAAAACTGATTATAAATGATGAAGTGACTTTTTGGTGACTTTTTTTGTCGATGAATGACAGCAATGTTTGACATTTTTTTAAATAACATACACATGGCACATGGCCACAAACTTGTCCAAATCACCTCTGAATAACTTTTCATGTCGTATTGCATTACCTCACAGTCATATTGTGTAGGAGTCTCTCAACATGCAAGCACATGTAGAAATGTGAACCTATTTCAAATGATGGTGGCAATTAAGAGTTGTCTGCGACCATCTTTCTGTTACAGAGTGCACCCCTGAGTACAATTACTTACACACCGTAAACCTTTGACAAGACCACACATGGAAGTGTATGCACAACACACTTTGAAAATGCACAAAAAATACTGTATTATTCAAGGAAGAAGTTTGAAATTGCTCAAAATCCCAAATATATACCAAATGTGCAATGATTGTAATAAAAGCCAGGGAGTAATTTGTTGACCATCGCATTTCAATGCGTGTTTTTAAAAACAAAAGAAACAGCCTTCCTAATACATTATTAGCCACAGGGCTCAAGGCAGCAGGCGGATACATCCTTCTGTTTTTGCTTTTGAATTTTGAAAGTTTACAAGTTTTAGAGCCAGAAATAAGAAACTGTGCAAGATAAAAAATGTTTTATTCTGACAATTTTGGAGATTTTGTCCTGAAAGTTTAAATTTCAAGATGGTAAATCACTCCCTGCAATATGAAGTGCAAAATGACCAAGATGATATCAAAACCAATGAAAAAGTGCACTGCAAATTTGTTTTAAATACAATGAAGCAAAGAAAATGTGATAATAGCAAAGAAAAAGAAAATAAAAGGCTGTGGATTGATTTGAATAAACGCCAAACCAATGATATTTCATCTACCTCCTAAACACGAGACGCATCGAAGCCAGGCAGGATACATGTAAACAAAAATCATAGTGAACATCGAAGATAAGAAGAAGTGACATTGTATGGAGCTGAACGTGACGTGTCTGACGAACAGAGTTTCATGCAGTGTGCTGCATATGATTTACATTGGCTCATGAAGGCTCGTTCACAAAATGACAAGGTAAACGTCGGATTGAACGTAAATTGAATACCCTCCACAAATTAATATCTTGTAACAGACAGAGTGTGAATGCGCGTAGGCCCTTTGTTGAATGAGGACATGTTTTTTGTCCTGACTAGCCATTCATTTACACAGAGAAATAAAACCTTGGCATGTAAACCAATATGGTTTCCCATGTCGTATGTGAACGAGCCCATAAACACACAGCAGAGGTGCGTATGGACAACCAATTACAGATTCAATTTAAAGCTACTCTGTTTTGAAGTCCCCTCCATCCCACACCCAATAAAAAAAGTGAATATTAATAAGCTCTTCAATGATTTCAACTTTCTCTAGATTTTAGAATTATTTAGCTCTCTCTTTTGAACTAAATGCTAATTAGGGGTTCCCTTTTTATATGTACCTGTGTCTTCACTAATTTATTAACTTGAAGATCTCTACACATTGGAATTCATACTTCTATTTCTTTTAATCAAAATGGAAATCAGGGTATTCCTTGCTACATATATCTTCTATCCTTTAAGGTCATTCATATCTTTGAGACTAGCTAGAAATATCAAAAGCTATTGATTACTCCCTTTAAACCTGTAATCACTACCACCATTTTATACTCTAATGGGGAGCAACTGCCCTTTTCAACTGAGAAATGTCATTACAAATTCTATGGTACTTTAGTTCCCTTAAAAGAATCTTTCAGAAAGAAAAAAATAATGGTTTATTGTCAAGCAATACAAAAAGACACAAAATGCCTATTCCTATTGTTCCTCTTATCTAAATCTTGTCTTTTGCATTATGGGGCAAAACTTTCCTGTATTAAAACAGAATTTATTTTGAATCAATTTAAATTTAACAGTTGACTTCTGCACCCTAAAATATAAACTTCATGGAATCCTGGGTCTGGTTAATACATGTGTACATATAAAAAAAATTCCCAAGACATTGGAAGGTATTCCATCATCTTTGAAATTCGTCTTTCGGGAATGAAACAACTTTAAAAGGCCTGAATTCTTTCTAACTCTGCTAGTTTAAAATTAAATGGACATGAATCTTAGGGATCTGTTTGATAAAATATTAATACCAACAACATTCCCGAAAAACATCATCTACGGTTTGTCTTTTTGGCAACAACAACAACAAATTTAAGGCCTAATTTAATCACTTGTCACATTTAAAATTAAAAAAAATCGATGCAAGATTCCATTTTCAGACGTACCATAGGATTCCTGGCTGGTCCTTGGAAGCTGGCTGGTCTGGTAGACGCTTTCTTTCCATCGCTGTACTGTGCAACCTGTGGCTTTTGGGCTGTAGGTTAGAGAAGAGAGGGGAACAAGGTACCAGTCTCATTAGTCAACTTCATCATAAACATACACATCTTGTTTTTTCTTCTTAAATTTCATAATTGAGTCATTGTCTCCTTCAAGACAATGAATATTAGTTGTCCATGCAAAAAATGATATAGAAAATATGTGTGTCGTTAAAAAAACTAGATTCTGTTAAATATAATATTTAGTCAACAGCCATTTTCTGCATCAATTTTTCTTTTGATTTCACTCAACATTGAGAAGAGAATAACTTGTTAAATATTCAAAATAGCCGTTAACCAATATGCATTTTCAGTATAAATGCTTACATTTTTACAATAAAAATGGCTACACTTCTCCCTTCAGAATATCTTATTACTGGTAGTCGAATTATGTTCCATGCAGGCATGCACACATTCCATTAGTCAAAACATATATTGACAAGCTGCATGTTAGTAAATCAGTATTATATCTTTTCTATTTTATACATCTTTATTTTCTTTCTATATAGAGTACCGAAGTGCTAATGTCATATTTGCTTGTCCTCTCGATTACTGGTTCCTAACAACACAGCCTGTGCATGAGGTTCACCGCAAAATCATTCAAGCAACGGGCTGGAGCAGGGCAAATACAGTGTTTAGCGCTGGTGTGATCACATGCCATTGTTTAGCACAAAATTGTTTGGTACCAGCACCCTTGACAACTTGACCAATGTGAAATCACACTTCGGTACTCTATATTTTACGGGGATACACATCTGTATTTTTGATGTATGATACTTGAGAAAGCCCTAGGGGCGAAAAATTGGTAAAATAATTTCTTCTTCAACGAGGGTTCATCATTTATCGCGTCTGTGCATCTTTATACATGTTCATGTAGGCTGAATGCACACGCCCCTCTCCAATCAAATGGTAAAAAAAACAAGCAAGAAAAAAGAGAAAGGGGATCGGAGAAAGGAAGGGAAAGATGCCCGGACCACCTCCAGCAACCCCCCCCCCCCACCCCAAATCAGTAGACTTGTCAATTCACATTTTTTTTTTCAGTTGCCCCCTCACTTTGTGGTGCCCCCTTAACAGGCGGACTCCAACTATGCCACAGCTTTTCACTTTAAATTTAACATTGGCATTTTTTTTTTAAACAACCAAAGTTATCAACTTCATAAATGAAAGCACTTTGGGAAGGAATCAAGGAAATCATTAATGCTACTGATCAATGCAGTCACATGATTAATTCAATTGAAAATGAAACTCTTTAAACTAGGCCAATGACTAATATCTAGGTCGCCGCTCTGATTCCAAAGCTATCAATTGATGTAGTTATATTGAAACAATGCACATGTGTTTCACATTAGTGAAATTTAACACACACAGTTACATGTATGTAAGGATAATCAAAACCATAACATAAATACTCAAAGTCATAGTCGTGAAGTTTAAAGTTCTGAATCTATTCCTGGGCCCCTTGTTATAAAAAGTTTTTAATTAGAAAATGAAAGTCTCGAAACTAGGTTAATGACTATTATCTAGGTCGATGCTCTGTTTCCAAAGCTATCAATTGATGTAGTTATATTGAAACAATGCACATGTGTTTCACATTAGTGAAATTTAACACACACAGTTACATGTATGTAAGGATAATCAAAACCATAACATAAATACTCAAAGTCATAGTCGTGAAGTTTTAAGTTCTGAATCTATTCCTGGGCCCCTTGTTATAAAAAGTTTTTAATTAGAAAATGAAAGTCTCGAAACTAGGTCAATGACTATTATCTAGGTCGATGCTCTGTTTCCAAAGCTATTAAATGATGCAGTTATACTGAAACAATGCGCATGTGTTTCATATTTGTGAAATTTAAGACACACCGTTTCGTAAGGATAATCAAAACCATAACATAGTCGTGAAGTTTAAAGTTCTGAATCTATTCCTGGGCCCTTTCTTATAAAAAAAAGTATGTTATTAGAATCAATAGCATAGCACCTCTTTGAAAATTAAACTCTTGAAACTAGGTCAATGACTATTATCTAGGTTGATGCTCTGTCTCCAAAGCTATAAAAAAAAAGATGCAGTTATACTGAAACAATACACATGTATTTGCACATAACAGAAGTGGAAGTTAAGACACACAGTTTTATAGGGATAATCAAAACCATAACATAGATACTCAAAATCATAGGTGTGAAGTTTAAAGTTCTGAATCTATTGCTAGACCCTTTCTTATAAAAAGTTTTAATTAGAATCAATTGCAACTATTTGTAATACAAGGCCCTGATATAAAAAAAAAATAATGTAACTTTAAACTGTATTTTCAGACTAGCATGAATCTTATTTGAATAATGATTTCAAATTAAATAATTAAAATATAAAACCTAGACTGTCCCTTTACCAGTAAATAAAAGAGTATTAATTCACATACTATTTGAATATAAACATGAATTAAAATTAAATAACAACTCTTCTGAGAGTTGACAGCTTTTACCCATATTTCAATAATGAATTCCCCTTGCATTTAAACAAAGTGATGATCCCAAAAGCAAAAATTTTAAGTAATTAATTAAAGAATTTCATTTGTTAGTGGTTTTTGTTAAGCACACAATGGAAGAAAAATATATATAAGTTAAACAGGTTTTGAAAATAATCAACATATCTCAATCAGGAATAAACAAATATTAGAAGGAAGTGATTCAAACAGTAAACTGAACAAAATCTTCTGGTGGAGATGGCACTGAAAACAAAAACAAAATTGTAATGACACAGTAGTCAGATACAAAAGAACAATGATAGATATTGCGGCCTTGCAACGAGAATCACAACATTAGAAGAAAATTATTATTAAAAGTTTTTAAGAGAGCAAAGTATGTGAAGAAACACTTAGGGTGGCATTGGCACAAAAACAAAAACAAAAACGTGATTAAACAGAACAAAATGATGGATCGCACAAAAAGGATTGTATGGGTTTCTGCTCTATAGATGGGAGTTGGGATTATGAGGATGCAAGGATAATGGACAGGGTTCTATGTATGAATGGTGTTCATGTGTCTTGGTAACACTGCAAACCGATTACAAACTGACCGATTTTTGACCGTCCGGGCTTAAGTACTTTTTGGTTCGGTTTCTTGTCGGTCTCGTCTGTGCGACTGGGATAAAAATCACAGCTTTGGATATTGGATAGGTTCTATGTGAAGATGGTGTTCTCCGTCACAGATAGTACTACTGTCATCGGTTTGAATCGGCTTCTACATGCCCCTTACCCCTCAAATATAATTCAAGATAAAACTTTGTAATGCATTGGAAAGTTTGTTGAACGATAATTGAATTGTCTCATGTGGCTTGATTTTTCAGATTTTCACCATGTTTTCAGCATTAAGAATGTTGCTCTTTATATTATGAGCAGTTAAATGAGAATGGTTATGTAGATGTTTGTTCATTCATATGATAGAGAGCCATTACATATTAAAAGTATTCCTTAACATTTTTTTTTTAATCATCACTTTCCTTCCTCTTCCGATTATTTATCATTGCTATTGAGAGAAAAAATAGCACTATTGTAATAAGAGAATAAATATGCATGTTAAGATAATGATTCGGCCGTTTCATTTATTAGTATGCCTCATATGATGAAATGATAGATAATGGAATAAGAATGGAAATAGATGATGAAAGCACGACAGGAATTTCATCAGGCGCAAGGGTACTATAAATCAAAGCTTGGATGTACTTGTATATAATGTATATGTGATTACTGTAAGCAGTCGATAATGGATGTTTAGCTATAAAAAGATGGTGCATGTTAATTGTAAATAGGAAGCGGATGATGAAAAGTATAAAATTGTAAATGGATCTGTCCACGGTAATGGGGTACTCCAGAATGATGCATGAATTATGCATAAATAATTTAGAGTCTCCCGCAGGTCCCCCACTCAACTTACCCATTTCGTTTGAGATAACAGTCTGAGGTTTGGCTACCTGCCCCCTCACTGCCATTTTGGGGGTAGTGGGGGGTGTGTAGCCCTCTAAGGGTCAGTGGTAGGGATAAGAGGAGTGGTACAGAGGGGGAGGATTAGGAGGAGGAGGGGGGGGGTACAGAGGGGGAGGAAGGAGAGGAGAAGGAGGGGATAAGTGGGGAGGGGGCACACGAAAAAAATATAGAAAGACACAAACATTGAATCATCATGCAAATAAGAAGCAAAGAAAACAACCTGACACACTGCTTGCTATACATGTACTACTGAATGTGAAAAAGAAAGAGAAAGTTTGCAATAACTACAGACTACATGGAAGCTATATAAAAAAATCTAATCAGTGTGGCTATCTAAATGTTTAAGTTTATATACATTTGCTAACTTTCATCAAGATTTAAATCTCAGGGCATTGTTTCACGATACAGTCCTAAGTACAAGTTTACTGACATCCTACTGAAATGCGTCTTAAATTTCATACACGCATTTCAATGGATTGTCGTCGTTCTTACAATGAATTTTGAAACGCTGCCCAGGAGACTCGTCTACAAGATAAGCAGCATTTTCCTAGACCTTGGATGACCTTTCTGTTCAAGTATCTTTGCATATTATATATTTCCCCTCTAATATGTGGCTACAATGCTAGCTTCGCTCACACTACAAGACCTGGGAAGTGTTCTCAAAGACTGAGATCGACTTTAAGTCGGACTTAACTATGACAGGCCATTCATGCCACTGGTTGCTCTCACCATTATGATCTTTAGATAATAATTTTTTGTTCAATAATGTATTATCAAAAAATGTAAATTTTGCGGATTTGTGACCCTGATTTGAACGTCTCTTAAGAGCCAATGCCAGTACATGGTGAGAGTCAACATAGGCATGAATGGCCTGCCATAGTTAAGTCCAACTTAAAGTTGATCTTAGTCTGTGAAACACCCCCCTGATGTACTGATGGCTGAACTACACCCTCTTCAGGAATGGCTATGTGAACATGATGTGCAGTGGTGCATTGATCAAACTGGTTCTGCATGATACGTATATAGGGCATGAGCAAATGCTAATGTGCGACATCTTCTCTCAAATATCCGATGAAGTATGGAAGTCAAATCGCAATTTCTTTATAAAATTTGACAAGAGGAAGAGCTATACAGCTGAGTGTTGTCTTAATCGCATGCTTTGAAAGAAGCAAAATGTCAATGTGCATTAAATTATCTCTAGTGAAGTAGGGCATGAATATATGCTGGTATGCTTTATTTTCTATCAAAATGTCTATACAAAAAAAAGATATTCTAGGTGTTGCTTGACGTATTGTCTAGACTAGACACAGATAACCACCTTGATAAAAAGCTGCAGCGGAATACATGATGTCAAGGGCGAAATCTGTCGCAAATCTGTATATTATAGCATGTAAATCACAAAGTATGCATAGGGGCCTGTTGGTGCACACAGCTATGTATTTTGCGATTCATTCACATGGCAAATGGCTTTGATTTTGTTGCATCAATTTTTTTTCAAGGCTGTTTATTGCGCCATGTCTGAGTTCAGACTTCAATCCTGTAAGATGGAAAATGATAATGACTTATAATACGAAGAGAGGAGGATTAATTCTATACCTAAACAAAAAACTATCTATTTTGAGTGTAACTGTAATGACGAAAGCTACCGACAGCATGACAAAGCATCTAACTTGCGTGTAACCATGATAAGACCGAGCTAACGGCTTGACAAAGCATTTATCTTGCATGTTACCATCGGGCAGAATGAATTACTTCATAGAATATGGGACAGAGAGTTATGTCGGCATTCCATGATCGCCAACGTCTCAAGACATGGCACGTAAAGAAGAAGAAGTTACGGTGACATTTCGACATACCGACAGCTTGGCTGAGCCTTGCCTGAGCTTTGGCCTGCTCTCTGCTGGAGGGTGTGGGTGGCAAGGGGGGTTGACTGGCCCTGCTCGGGATGGGGCGGAGCGCATCAGGGGGTTGGTACTTGGAGGGTCCGTCCTCCAGTCGTCTCCTCCCGCCTTCCTCCTGCTGCTGCTGCTGCTGCTGGAGACGCAGGAAATTCCTGCGAAGCGTCGACTCGCTGGGACCGGGCAGGATGGAACTACGGGGTGGGCGAAACCAAGAAGGAATCAAATAGTCATAAAGCATGCAATATGAGAAAATACATATATATATTACATACATATATTGATATATTTAAAGCAAGTCTGCATTGTTATTTTCATTAAAATGAATTCCTGCGCAGTGTCGACTCGCTGGGACCGGGCAGGATGGAACTAGGGGATGGGGGGCGAAACCAAAAATGATTCATATTTTCATTAAGCAGGCAATACGAGACCATTTATTTCCCTGCATTTATTTATTTATAGCAAATCGACATTGTTATTTTCATTAAACTGAATTCCTACTGACAGCAACTGCCTATTATTACTCTCATTCTAACGTCAGTGCAGTATGACACTAATGGGGCGTTGCAAGAAAGTTGAGTTGCAATCAACTGCAAATTGCAACTTGTTATCAACGCCCCATTGGAACCCAATTCCATTTAACAACCTGCAGTGTAGACATATGCATTTGAACATCTAACATCACTTTGCTCTATTATCATTTAGTATTCAGAGTCTTTATTGTATTTCGATTTGTCACCATCGTTCACCTTATGGGCTTTATTGATTAGTCACCTTTGTACATGGAAGATAAAATGAACTTATGAAGTTCTATAATTACAACTCAAAGAACTTACCTTGGTTCTCCCTCGTCTTCTATCTCAGGTTCCTCATCACTTTCATTGCTGTTGTATTCATAGTCGGTACTGAGATCTTCAACTGAAAAAAAATAATATACGATAGAAAATGCATTCATGTCTTTATGATAAAAGAAAATAATAATCAGGATTTACAGGGTGGTTAATATGAAATACCTTCTCTAAGAGCTTTAAAGATATTATTACCCCGGTCATCGGATTTATTCACTTGTCACACTCTAACTCTTCTGAAAGTGTTCCCCGTGAAATCTTTTCTCATAATACTTCCACTAAACTTTAAAATTACCGCCTTAGCTTTTCCACCACCACCAGTACATGTGCTATCAACATTACCATCATCATCATCACTACCACCCTCATCCTCCTCATCATCTTCACCATCATCACTATCATCACTATCATCACTATCATCATCGCTACCATTACCCTTTAAAAAAAAATCACACTACACCACTGGTATTTGCACCCCTCCACTTCTTTCTGGTCCTATCTATGTGATCCTTGAGTTGAATTCTGACCCATCTTTCATCTGGAAGGTCTTTGATAAAGGAATGTTTGAGGAGCTGGCCTGTATCCTCATCTTCATCTCATCATCATCAACATCATCATCATCATCCTCCTCCTCCTCTTCATCATTGTAATCATCGTTACCATCATGATTACCATCACCATCACCATCACCACCACCATCATCACTACCATTACCGGTACCAAAAAAAAATCAATCACACCCCTCGATCCTACACCCACTGGTCCTTGCACCCCTCCACTTACCCCTCTTCTTTCTGGTCCTATCTATGTGATCCTTGAGTTGAATTCTGACCTGTCTCTCATTTGGAAGGTCTTTGATAAAGGAGTGTTTCAGGAGCTGGTTTGTGTCAGGCCTCTGTTGGTAGTTTTTGATCAAACACTTGTCAACAAAGTCCATGAACTTCTTGTTCCTATCAAAGACAAAAGCATAAATTATTTTTCAAATAAATCTGTTGAGAGAGAAAAAACTTGTAAAATTATCAGAAAATTTCATGAACTATTTGTTCTTAAGACAAAAGCAAGGGTTAACAAAATCCATGAACTTCTTGTTCCTGTAAAAGGCAAAATCATAAATCAGTTTTAAATCAAACTGTTGAAGAAAAAATCTGCATAATTATCAGAAAAGTCCATGAACTACTTGTTCTTAAGACAAAAGCAAGGGTCACTTTAATGTTACATCCCATTGAGAGTCCTGCACATCTAAATAACTAAGGGTATGTTCAAGCGATTTTTTGAAGCTAGAATCACAAACATGAATCACAAATCAAAACGCGGTTAAAAAACACGGTTATTGAGGGAGAGCGTTCAAGCGATTTTTCATCAACGCTGATTCTCGCTCAATTCAAGCCCAGCCACTGCTCATCACATTGTGCAGTTTGACCCAGGAAGTATAGGTCAACTTCGCTGCATGCTTTCTGAATTTGTTAACGGTCGACTGCCGGCCAAATACGATAATGACGTTATAGAATCGTAATTGTGACAGCTTAAAAATCGGGCCTCATTTTTAAGCTGTTACTTTGAAGAGCCATGCTTTTCAGAGAACATTTTTTCTCTGATGTTCTTCCACACTTGCATAATAACAATGATAACGCTCACAAATTATTTTTCACCTCTTCTCAGAACTCAACCTTCTTTTTAAATCCCAGCTGCAGAACATTCCTGAACAACACATTAATGTACATTCTAAACTCTTGCTAAGACTAAAAGTGAAAGTATTAGTTGGAAAAAAAATCATTACAACAATGGAAGATGCAATATAAATCACCTATATCCATTGTACCCCGAGAAGAAAAAAAAGAGGCTTTATAAGCTTAATCACTGTGCTTTTGTGATAAGATAACAACTTTGAATGTTAGGCTTCCTGGGATAAGATTTATTTCCGAATGGTTTTCAATAGACCAGTTCACGGGTAGCACATGTCCCAAATGACCCCACAGAGGTCCCACTTTGTACATTTTGAAATAATCACTCCTGCAGCGATGGAGGAGCTACATTAATAGCCTTTGTTTTCCCTTTTCAAAGAATACTTCCACCTATGTATCATGGAGTGCACTGCTTGTGCATGAATAATGATTACATAACTTTCATGAGCATATATCCAGTATTTTGTCACCGTGTATTTTCTTTACAAGATAGCATCCGTTAGCTTACCATTTCTTTGATTTGAGCTTTGGTTTGGGGTTTCTTGGGATGAGAAAGAGTGCTCTCATAGGATGCATGTCACACAGAGCTGTAAAGAAAGAAAGAGAAAAATTTGATTAAAATTGATTATCATACTCTCGATAAGAGTGTCAAGATGCTATTTTCACAATAATGTGAAACTGTTCCACAACAGTCTGGGAAATGTAAGGGTGCCATAAGATCTGGGCCCTGTTTCATAAAAATCGTTATCTATAACAAATGCTACATTTCTATGACGAATTAGTTCTCAGCCAATCAAATGCCATGATTTCAGTAGCTTATAACAGTCATTGTAACTTGCTATTGGTAACAAGTTTTATGAAACAGTGTCTAGAAATATACAACGAATGTTTCGTACATCAAAGACTTACATGTTTTATTATCGATAAACAGTCCAATAAAACGGCTTTTTATTGGCACATTCTAGATTTTGTTCGATTTGCGATCAACAAAAACCAAAACCCAAATTGAGCAAAATGATTAAAGCTAAAAACCACAAATACATAAATTTCCATCGTCTTACGTGGTTGTCCCTCGGCCATCTCTAGCGCTGTGATACCGAGTGACCACAAGTCACTTTTGTTGTCGTACGTAGCGTCCGGGTTCTCGTCACATGCGATAACCTCTGGCGCCATCCAGTACGGTGTTCCAATGAAGGTGTTTCTCCTGCCGATGGTCTTGTCCAGCTGTGCGCTCACACCAAAGTCAACTGTGAACAGAAAGAAATAAGTTTGAAAAATTTAGTCACCTGAGTACATTTAGGTATTCAATTTATTGATGTTTGTACATAACTTTCCGGATTTTTAATAATGTATTTTGTCTGTATAATTTTATTGATGATTGTAGTTTTTTTATCAGTTGTATATATTGCCATGTAATTTGAGTTTTAATGTTCATATTTATCTATACTGTTTACATGTGCAATTCAGCTTAATGCTGCAAACAATGTTGTTTAGTAAACCATTTTTTAATTGTATTAAAATGAACAGAATGAAGCATTGCACATACTGTATGTTTCAAAGGGATGTCAGCGAATCTGCATCTATTAACATTTACATGTACTGTTGCCATGTTTAGCTTCTATTTCTATCCAACAATATTTATTAAATCTATAATATCTATTACATTTTAAAATTCCATGAATAAACAAGAAAATAATACCTTTAGAGTTTAGACAAACATGTAAATACCAGCTACATATTTTCTGAACAGATTAAAGAAAACACAAAAACCTAAATTCTAGTAAGGTAATCATAAGCGATTTCCATAAAAAGAAGAAATTTTCATTCTGTCTTTGTTTCGTTTTTCAAATCATGTGTAGGTGTGTAATTGGATTTTTTCAGAGGTGTATCAATCACACATGTTTATTTACGTCTGGAGACCGACCTTTAACGTCACCATCCGAAAGACGTAAATCTGTTTCATCTTGCTACCTTCCAATATATAACCTTTATGAACTGTTGTATTGTAATTATTTTTCATTTTGGATAATTTCAACTTGACACAAAATGTGCAACACATAGGGAGTCATGTGTGAAGGTGAAGAATTGACTAATATTTGTAATGAAAATATAGAAAATTAATAAGAAAAGAGAAAGCAGGTCAATTTCAATGAGGCCAACCAGTTTGTTAACATACGTTCATTCTATGCTATCCATATCTGCATTCTGTCTTATGATAGTCACATCTTGAGTATGATCTCAAGTGATTTCATGTACGTTTTTGTTTTGTTTTGAATTTGATAAATGTTGATTAAAAGTGAATCGAAAATATCCGCAAATAAAATTAATCCTGAGCAAAATTCTCTGTAGTTCATATTAATCAGACCCAGGCTCACTTCTGTATTCACTTGATATCGGGTTTTAGGAATCGCATTAAAAATGATCTGCATCTAAAGCATGTACATCTGCCCTGGAGGATGCTTATTGGATCATAGAGCTTACTTCACCCGACCCAGTAAGCACTCGCATAAATACATATACCCTAGGAAGAAGCAACCTAGATAAATACATGCACAGAGCCTAATCCATAAATATCTCCTGGCATTTCCTGCTTTGACTAGCCCCCTCGTAGGCTGTGTCGTTCGTTTTTCTCGTCCCTTTTCCCATTTCACTATCTCAGTCATCTTCTTCTTCTTTTCCTGATCTAGTTTCTTCCTCTACATGTCTATCTTTCCTCTCTTAAATCTCTTTTCAATTGTAAAATCTGATCCACTCTTTCCTTTCCTTTCCTAGGCTTCTGATTCTCATGTTCTTCTTCCCTCTATCTTGACTTGTCAATCCCATTAAATTTATCTTCCATTTACTTATTTTCTTCTCTCTCCTCTATTTCCTTCCCATATATATTTCTCCCTCTCCCTCTCTTTCTTCCTCGCTATGGTCCTCTATATGTTGTTTCCATTCCTTCCATCTATCCCTCTTCCTCTTCCCTCATGTTCTCTCTCCAGCATCTCCATTTAAATTCCTTTCAAATTAACCACGTCTTGGAATCAATGTCATGCAATCTCTCTCTCGCTCTCTCTTCCTCTTTCTTTCCCTCTCTCTCTGTCTCTGTCTCGCTCTATGGCCTTCTTCATATATTTCCCATTCTTTCCATCTATCCCTCTCCCTCTTCCCCTCTTCCCCCCCCCCCCCCCCCCCCCCCCGCCCCCCACCATTGCTCTCCTTCCATCATCTCCTTTCCAAAGCCCTTCATCATGCAAAGTGATGACTTGGAATCCAATACTAAGGATACTATTACACATGATGTACGCCGCTCGGTCTCTGTCTCGCCTCGGGCAAACTTATTTCCCCAGAAAAAATTGTGTTTTCAAACATATCATAGGGGAATCCGAAAGAATATCCCACCAATATCTCTCCTCGGGGACTCCAATGTTGTACAACATGATGAAGTACTGAATATTTACCTCAAGAATATTATATGAGGCGCATTTATACTGTCAAATACCCCCAAAATTGTAATCTTTTGCGCTTGTGCTGAAACATCACAGACTGAAAAGCTCAGTGATGTTTTGGCTCGTTTTGGTTGGAAATGCGAATGTGCGGTCTTCCCGATACAAAATGCGTCTGTTTTTACGCTGTGGCTGCTACAGTCCAGTGAACTCGATAAGGCTTCAAGGACGAAGGCTAACCCCGCTCCTAAAGTCACGTGACAAACATCGCGATGTTTCAGCTGCGAGCGTTTATTCTCGCCAAACACTCCAAAACACGCAAAAAAAAATCACACTTCGGTTTGGAATGTTTCCGGCTTGACATTTTCATCGGTATAGCATAGTTGCTTTGGAAACATCACTGAAACATCGCGGTCAAGCTCCGGTTTGGCATTTTTGGACGTGTTTGGATGCAAGTGTAAATGGCCCTATGGATGCAGACAAAAGATGAATACTGATCCTAATCCAACCTCTAAGACCAAAGAGATTCCTTCTCTTCCGAAAATACACTGCTCATGCAATAAATCTTCCATGTTTTTCTTATTACTTCATCTCCCCCGCAAGGTCTCAAGATCCAGTACATTATGCATCCTCAGTATCCCAAGGGGGAAATGCATGCTGTTGACATGTATGCATTGATTGAATGCTAATGCTCTCTGCAGTCTGTACATTTATGGCTTCATATATCTTATTATTTATTCACCAATGTCTTACCCTTCACCCCCCCCCCCCCCCTTCGTCCTTGTCTTCTCATTTCCTGAACAGTATTTTAATTCATACCAATAATGGTTTCATAATTTGTCTGTTTGGAGCCAGAAGGTTATTAACTCTGAATAAATATATATTTGGTTTGGTTTATTGCAAAAACACATCAAACAAGCAGCTCACAGGCTGAAAATGTTCAATTTACAAAACAAATTTAGAATATAGAGAGATATAAACATATACAAAACTAAAATACATATTGTAAGTCAACTTTTGCAGAAATATATGAGTAACGCCCTTCTGGCTCCAAACAGACACACTGCTTTTACTATCCCTATTTTCTTCCAACATTCTCTTGTATCCTACACCATTTCAGCACACACGATTTATGTGCAGACATAATGCTGCGGTACTAACTTCAAGTTAAAGTTATACATGTATTGAAGGTATCAGGTGTGTCATGACTGTACACTGCCAGAGGGACATGTGTAGACAGACATGGCTACATACGTGAACATGAGGGCCTAATGCATATTTTTGCTCATTTTGCTCGAGAGATGGAATTACAATGCCGGGTTTGGCAATTGGATTATATGAATAATATTAAGTATTAGCCCTGCATTGTTAATAAATAATAATCAAACCTGACTTGGGCTTTCTCTCTTTTTTTTGTGTAGTTTTTATACAATTGTATGTACTATTACTTCCTTTGTTAATGATCATGATTGATTATTAAAGAGATATATCGAAAGAGAACTGGCTTGCCTGAGAAACACTGAATGTAAAGAAAACTGAGATAACAAAAAACACAGGTATTATACCCAAAACAGCTTTAATATTGCAATTACTTTATAAGAAAACAAACATTTCTTTATACTTCTTGAAAAATTTATGAATATACAGTTAACAACTAAATCATTGATACCCCTTGTAAATTTGATAGTTTTTGTGTTTATAGTAACTCTCGAATGAAAGGTGGACTGGTTGAATAAGTGCCTTTGTATAATAATTTAAGATCAAAGATTTAATATGTCACATTCCCCCCAAAAAACATTAATCAGGACAAATCAAGTTTTCCACATACTTCATGAATTACAAAACTTGGTATGGATATGAATAATTTAGCTGTCAACAGTATATATATATATATATATATATGATTTTTTGACTGACCTAGTTTGACCTCTGCGTCTTCTGTGAGGAGGACATTCTGACCTTTGATATCTCTGTGTATGACATGGTTGGCATGGAGATGACTCAGACCCTGAAATAGAAAGAGATAAAAATATATAATGAAATATTGTTTTAAAAAACATATATACAGTGATACCTGTCTATAAAGACCACCCAAGGGAGACAAGAAAATTGGTCTTTATAGGCAGGTGGTCTTTATAAAGTATAGGTTGCTTTAGTACATTTTCAATGAGAAAGCATTTTCAAGGGAAACAACAAATGTGGTCTTTGTAGACAGGTGGTCACTAAAGCAGGTTTGACTGTATCTTCAAAGATATCAAGACATGAGATCATGAAAAAACATAGTTTCATAAATGCAAGATCATACAGCAAACCGAGCTCCGTTTCATACAACTTGTTACCAACAACAAACGCTAAATTGCTATGACAAATTTGCTCTCAGCCATCAAATGCCACGATTTAAGTAGCTTACAGGGGTGATAGTGAGCACTAAAAAAAAAATAGGTTTTTGTTTTCCCCTCAACCACGCCCCCCTTTGAGTAAAAAAAAAAGAAGAGGATTCGCGGGGAAAAAATGGCATCTAACAACATTCCCCCCTTTCGAGTGAGAAAATTGGGAAAAAATAGGGAAATTTGGGAAAAAAAATAGGGTAGAACAGAGAAAATAAGGTGGAAATCAGGAAAATCAGGATAAAATTAATAGCGAAGAAGAAAAAAAATCTGGTAAAAAAAAAAAAAAAAAAAAAAAATCTGGATTTTTTTTTTTTTTTTTAATCGGGAAGAAAAAAAAAAAATCGGGAAAAAATCGGGAAAAATAAAAAATCGGAAAACCGATTTAAATCGGGTTTTTATCAGGCCTGAGCTTATTACAGTTATTGTAACTTGTTATTGATAAAAAGTTTCATGAAACAGGGCCAAAGTTTAAATCATACAGATTAGAGTCCAGTGTGTAAACAATGCAATTCATCCCTTAAACAATAAACACTCAATTAAGTTTTAGTATTAGTTGTGTTTTTGCTTTTGTTTTGTTTCATTATTTGTCTGCTTGTCTGTTTGTTTGAATATCACACTCCAAACAGACATAAAATCAATAATTTGTTAAGGAATACAGTAGGATATTGATGACAAAACCTAACTTCAAGAGATCCAAAAGATAACTCAAATTTCCTTTGTTGAAACTGGACATGCAGTTCTCATGGGAATCATAATTGTCTAGTCTGTAACCAGACATAAATAGCTAGACATTCTTTGTAAATACCAGAAATCATTTTTGCTTACAAAATTCCAGAATACACATTAATTAATCACACCAAAAAAAATCTTCAGTTACATTATTTCTCTGTGCTTATTCCTTCTGGTCACTTTTGTTGTTCGGACTTTTCTTCTTGCAAATGAAAAATGAGAACAAAGAACGAACAACTAAATACAGCTGCTTGAAGAGAGACTAAGGACTCTGTCAGTGACCTTACGACCTTGCAATCAGCTGTGAACCAGAATAGAAGGCAAAAGTGTACACAAAGGAAGTAGTCTCATCAAACCTAGCACCCATGTCAATATTGAAATCACAAGCCTCATGAACAACAGCGTATATGCCCAAACTGTTTCCACATATAAATAGTGCAATGGTTGTCATGCACAGTATTGAACGTCTAGATGTGCTGTATGAAGAATGAAAACATTAAATGCACATCTAATACTATGATCAATTTTGCTGTTGTTGTTGTTATTGTTATTGGTGTGTTTTTGTTGCTGTTGAAGTGTTGGTGTAGTTGTTGTTGTTATGCAAAACATATGTCCAGATGCTCTATGAAGGATGAAAGCAAATTTTGCGCAACTGTTACCATGATAACCATTGCTAAAATTGCTCTTCCTTTACACAACATTATATGCATATCATATATGTAATTGCTGAATGAATGATGAAAGCACGTTATCTGGCTCCAAACAAGAAGATTGAATTTGTTTTTTTATTACAAGTCACTGAAACTGTCATGTCTGTTCAACGAGACTATTGAAATCAACCAGGGTGAACTATGCCAGGAATGAAGACGATGCAATTTATAAGACTGGGCTCCACTGGCGGAACCAAGTACTGCGACAAGATTCTTGTTACCCGCATCACACTTCCATCCACGTCTCAAAGCATCACATAGTTTTAGATAACTAAAACAAAGAATCATGAGGTGCCTAGCTCAGCAGCATTAGAATACTATTCTTGAATTTATCATAAATTTTCAAATCAACTATAAATGGAATGAAAGCAATTTATAATATAAGACCCAAGTACTGCGACAAGATTCTTGTTACCCACATCACACTTTCATCCACATCTCAAAGCCTCACAAATAAAGTCTGGGGCTGCTTTTCTGATGACTTTCGGGGGCTCTTTTTGGCATTTCGGGGGCTAATTCGCCCCTAGCCCCCATGTATTTTTTTCACTGCTAACGCATCATTAGCAGAGCAGCATTAGAAAATTAATGTTGAATTTATCATAATATTATCAAGTTAACTATGAATGGAATGAAAGCTCTACTAGCAGAACGAAGTATGTACAACAAGATTCTTGTTACCAGCCTCACACAACATCTACGTCCCAAAGCTATGTGTAAGCAAGAGACGGATGGCTGCTCAACATAAACATGTGCTTTAGAACAAAGAGATGACTAGCTTATTAAAGGGACTTGGTAACATTGTTCAGATGAGAGATAGTGGTTCTAAGGTAGTGACTTCAATGCTAGATGTACAATTAAAGATAATCTGAAAATTTAATTGAAAACGGACCATTATTCATGGTACAAATTGGGAAAAACTGATCTGATCGATTCCTTAATTCTCCCAACTAGGTCTAGATCTAGATCTATATAACAATTTAATTACATTTTAGGTGAATGGAAATCTCACAAAGCAATAAAATGGCTCTACATTCCTTTCCAGACATTTAAGTGTTGACAGATTTTATTTTTTTTTTTTTTTTCATGGAAAAACGGTTGGGAAAATTCAAAAATGGTTGGGAGAATTTACTGTTAATCACTGTTAGAGGGTGCCTCACATCGACGCCTTCAAAGAACACCATAGATATCTTCGTGGTTTGAGAATTTTTTCAGGATTTTTTGCCTGTCAGAGGGTTAGTACAGTAGAAGGAATATAGTAAGTAACATTTTATACAAAAATTAAGCAATTTTTTTCATCAACCTTCAACAATGTTACCGAGTCACTTTAATAGCCCATTTAAGACAATAAATCTCATATTCTGATTTCCAGCTACCAGTACATAGAATCTTTCTAGAATTTACCACAAACCCCATAACTCCTCAAGAACAAGAAGAGTAAATTAGTTATTGAGCCGAACCACACGATGTGGAATGATTGCGGCAAAAGGGCTAGAGAATCACGCAACCTTAAAGATAAAGATCAGTTCTGGTCATGCAATTGCATTGTGAAAGAAACGTTGTGGAATCGATCAGAAAAGGTTGATCATCTAGCATATACTGTAAGTATTGCTGTGTAAGTACTGCAAGGTTCTGGAATCATAAAAATAAGAAATTTGGCCCAGTCTTTGTAAAGTTACAAGCACTGTACACAGAAAGATGTATATGGGACTACCCCTACACGTGCGTTATATCTATCAGGTCCAAATAGATATAATAATTTACCAAATACACAATGTATATCAAGTAGTAGGTGGTTTCCAGGTAAAATTTGTATCATCACGTATTAGTCAAAACATATTCTTTTACATGATTGGTAATAAAAGCTTCCATTTCATTTTTTTTGAGAGGGGGGGGGCGTTTCCAAAACTGGTCTTTACCTATAAGCAATTGTCTGCTTTACCAAGAGAGCAACACAAGTCAAAAGGTGAGAAAGATCTCTGCTTAGTCATGAAGTCAAACAAATGTCAAACAACACCTTTCAAAGATTCACACGATAAGAATCACCAACTGCTTTGAAATCAAATGTGCTTCTGATTAGGTTCAGCAGCACCAAGGAAGCATGCCAAATTCGCAGGAAACTCTGTAGGTGAAAGACGGCGGAAATTACACGATTACAATCATGTTCATGACGATGAAGTCTTTGAGTGTCAACAAGAAACGCTGACAGTGATAACATTATTGCTACTTCATTTCCAATCTCAATCCAACATCTCTGAAATTAGCTTTTTTTAACGATCAACTGGTTATTTCCCATTGTAATACTTTAATGTTATCATGACGTACAGACTATAAATACATGAACATTTGAAAGAACAAAATCTGAAATTTCCTGCAAATTTTGCTTACTTATATTTGAACAAATATGTGTATTATTGATGTTCCATTGTTCTGCTACATTGTTTGTGAGTTTATGTTACCGGTATTGGTTGAATGTTGAATAAACACCTCATTAGAAGCAAAGAGGAAAAAATCATGACTTTGGGGGGAACGTAAATTTCTAATCTACGATGGGAAAAACTCCCCCCCCCCCCCCCAACATGATTCAGCGCCTATACCATTCTTTTCCTGATAAGTCTTTGATGAAAGTACCAGTAAACAGAGATTTAATGACACAAGGGAAAAGCTCTAGAATCCTGTTCATGTTGATTTATAGGCCTACAAACATGAGCATGTACAGGTAGGCATAAATGTGTACTGTATGTCATGAGTTTAGATGTACCCTTCTATTTAAAAAAAAAGGGGGGGAAGTCCACACTGATATTAAGTTGTTTTTTAATAACAGCAGAAAAATGAGAGAAACAAATTACTGAAGGTTTGAGCAAAATCCAATAAAATCAATCAAACACAAATTGGCAACACTGTGACTATCTTGGGAGTTCCTCTCCAAGTTTCTCCAAGTTTCTCATAAAAATGACATAAACTTTCATTTTCTTTGTTATTAATGATGGAATAGATTTTTTCCATGCAGGGGTTGAAAGAAACAAATTAGCAATAATTATATTTAGTATGCATGTATGGAACAACATTTTCTTGAGAGAAATAAAGAAAAATTCTCAAGGATGATTTCTCACAGATGAAAAAATACACTAAAAACTGGTAGATATTCAAATGCATAATATTTTTCCCAATGTCCTTTCCTTCCGTGCTGGTGCATGCCTGCAATCACCTTGCAATTAACCTGTAATTAAGCCGACAATAAAACCAAGCTTAGAAGAGTCCCCACGCAAAAAAAAGCACACGATCCCCAGGCCAGCGTCAGGTCTGGAATCATACCCTATATCCGTTTCACAAAAGGCCTGTCTTCATCAGCTCGAGTTTGCTAAACAACCCGTCATTTTTAGACTTGGGATATTATCCCAAGCTCGGAATTGCATCTTCACCAGACGGATACACTCAATTCAAACTAGCTTGGACGGGCACAAATTAGCCCACTATTTCCCAAAGAGCGGGATATTTAGGAAACAAGACCAGCATTTCTCAGGATATTTTCTTGACCAAATATCCCGCAAATTGCAACTCCGGGCCGATGTCTGTGCAAGTTAGCTGGATAATTTGCGATTGGGATAGTTAAGAAGCGGGTTATTTGGCAAACTCGGGCTGATGAGGACAGGCCTCATGCTGGGGTTGTCTCTAATCTCTCTGTTACCATCAGTCTATCATATTAAGCAGTCTTCCGCTTTCGTGAAGCAGTGTTCTCTTTCTTTGATGATTTCCCACAGGAACTCCCTGCTGCCCATCAGGGTATCTCGTAACAGGAGGTAAGATCCTAAACTATGTTTGTTGTCTAACTCCTGAGCTTACAACAACCATAGCTGCTCATAACAGGAGGTAGATCCTAAACTCTGTTTGTTGTCTAACTCCTGAGCTTACAACAACCTTAGCTGCTCATAACAGGAGGTAGATCCTAAACTCTGTATGTTGTCTAACTCACGAGCTTACAACAACCTTAGCTGCTCATAACAGGAGGTAGATCCTAAACTATGTTTGTTGTCTAACTCCTGAGCTTACAACAACCATAGCTGCTCATAACAGGAGGTAGATCCTAAACTCTGTTTGTTGTCTAACTCCCGAGCTTACAACAACCTTAGCTGCTCATAACAGGAGGTAGATCCTAAACTCTGTTTGTTGTCTAACTCACGAGCTTACAACAACCTTAGCTGCTCATAACAGGAGGTAGATCCTAAACTCTTGTTTGTTGTCTAACTCCCGAGCTTACAACAACCTTAGCTGCTCATAACAGGAGGTAGATCCTAAACTCTGTTTGTTGTCTAACTCCCGAGCTTACAACAACCATAGCTGCTCATAACAGGAGGTAGATCCTAAACTCTGTTTGTTGTCTAACTCCCGAGCTTACAACAACCATAGCTGCTCATAACAGGAGGTAGATCCTAAACTCTGTTTGTTGTCTAACTCCCGAGCTTACAACAACCTTAGCTGCTCATAACAGGAGGTAGATCCTAAACTCTGTTTGTTGTCTAACTCCCGAGCTTACAACAACCTTAGCTGCTTATAACAGGAGGTAGATCCTAAACTCTGTTTGTTGTCTAACTCCCGAGCTTACAACAACCTTAGCTGCTCATAACAGGAGGTAGATCCTAAACTCTGTTTGTTGTCTAACTCATGGGCTTACAACAACCTTAGCTGCTCGTAACATGAGGTAGATCCTAAACTCTGTTTGTTGTCTAACTCATGGGCTTACAACAACCTTAGCTGCTCGTAACATGAGGTAGATCCTAAACTCTGTTTGTTGTCTAACTCATGGGCTTACAACAACCTTAGCTGCTCGTAACATGAGGTACAGGTAGATCCTAAACTCTGTTTGTTGTCTAACTCATGGGCTTTCAACAACTTTAGCTGCATTTACACTGCAAACTTTCACTGACGTGTTTTTCTCATTTTTCTGCTGCTATCGAAACCAACATAATGTCAGGTTGGACTGCTCCTTTGAGAATCCAATTGTTGTAGGAGATTGACAAGGAGCATGTGTTGTACACAACCCCTTGAGTAGTACACATTGGAGGAAGTAGTCTTCCTGCTGCCAGTAAGAGTGTCTCATAACAAGAGGTAGAACCTAAACACTGTTTGTTGTCTAATGCCGCATTCATACTAGATTTCAAATTTTGGGCAAGACTGAGGCGGGATGCTATTAAACCCACCTCAGTCTAGCCTCAGTCTGGCCTTGAACACGGCCAGTTAACCCACCTTACAGTTTATCTGCGCATTCTGACCAGACAAGATTGGCCCGCGTTAAACCATGTGTGTGGCTATGACTCCGATGTCCGGTCTACAATTTTCAACCGGTTTACGCAACAAAGACCAGGTGAGGTTGCCATCTACTACCTCATGATTCAGAATCGCATTCCATGATTCTAGATGGATCTCCAACAGGTCTCATAATCTTTCTATTACATGTCACTGCATGTCATTGATGATGTCTGGAAACCACACAACCTATTCCCTGCGGTTCATTATCACCAGCCCTGTCTGACTAAGCAGACTCACGTATGAATTCTATAATTCTATATGGCTACCCACCTAGATTGATCTACAACCGGTCAATGACTCAGAAAGTCTCTGTCATTTTCCTATTTAATGTCTCTGCATGCTATGTGAATCTGGAGTCCTTCACAATCGGTTGCGCCCAGCATGTTGTTTGAATCACAAGCCCTCTGTCTCTCAAAGTGCTACATCATCATCAACCAAAGGCACCTGGCTTTGATAAACTCTGAACTAGATTAGACAGCGGCTCTAAATTAATGGCAGTGCGGCGGTATCAAAGACATTACCAGAGACATCACAAGAAACATTACAAGGACATTACTAAAGATGGTGGAAGGATACATGGCACAACCAATGCTTGTTGCCCACTACGAGGAGCTTTCCAAGTCTTTCTTCAAGATCTTACATCAATATTCCAGGAGGGGGGGGGGTGGCTGATCTCAAGAGGTCACTGCACTGTAAGCATCAAATTTCCTTTGAATCATAGACCTGGGGCCTGTTTAATAAAACTTGTTATCTATAACAAGTGCTAAATTTATATGACAAATTTGCTCTCAGCCAATCAGATGCCATGATTTCAGTAGCTTATAACAGTAGCTTGTAACGTGTTATTGATATCAAGTTTTATGACACAGGGCCATGCATCATCACCACCATCATCTTCCACACACATCCGGGTCTGACAGGCTATCACTGAGACAAGGTAGGGGCAAGACATAGATGACAGTACATTGTTTTCCGTTTGAAACAAAGCTGTTTTGGGTGGGAGGCTGGCCGGGAACGCTGAATACACACATTTAGAGTTGCTGCCGGCTGCTCTGAGGAATTTGCTGAAAGTTTGTTCAAGATCTGACACAAGTACGGTCAAACCTGCTTTAGTGGCCACCTGTCTACAAAGACAACATTTTTTGTTACCCTTGAAAATGGTTTCTCATTGAAACATGTACTAGTACTAAAAGGAACCTGTACATAAAGACCACCTGCCTATAAAGACCACTTTTCTTGTCTCCCTTGGGTGGTCTTTATAGACAGGTTTGACTGTATTACCGAAGCCGGTGTAGCTATCAAGGAAATAGCTGCAGGCCAAATAGTCATAATTGCATTAGCAGACCTGTATCATCATCATCATCATCATCACAATAAAATACACTGGCTGACACGTTTAAGGTTGCGTTTATCTAGGAAATTTTTGGCTAGAATCAGGTTTCTCAAACGTCTTTCAGGCAAATTTAGAAGTAGATAAACGCAAAGCCTTTTTCAAACGTCTTTAGATATGGGCATATCAAAAGACGCAAAAAGGTGCGTTTTGTATGTGACATACAGCCAGAATCACGTTTCTGAGAGGTCGATAAACGCAAAGCTGTTTTGAACGTCACATACAAATAGGACCACACAGGTGTTGTGTACAAGCATGTGTGTGAATTTGACCTCCGAGAAACTGTCTGCTTCCCGGGTCAAAACAGCTGGGCAGACACAAGGCCTTTATTTTGAATCGTGAAGAGTAGATAAACGCGACATCCCGCAAATCACGATCGTATAGTGGGGTATGATAGTGGGGTTCGATAGTGGGGTACGATATGTACATATCTAGTGGCAAGCCTAGATAAACGCGCTCTAAGATGTTCATGCATGGGTATTTAGTCATTTCGTGAAGTAGGCAACTTGGCGATCACTGCATAACACTGAGCCAACGGGTATTACACTCCTGTGTGAACGTACGTGTGCTGCCCTCTATATACCCACGCATGAGCAACTTTAATAAGATTGATTTGTGAAGACCTACCCTGAGTATTTCTCTGCAGATGTATGCGATCCATTCCTCCTTGAGTGCGTTGCCCTTTGTAGCTTTGACCAGGTCTGTTACAGATCCAGCTCCACAGAACTCCATTACCAGCTTAAAAACATGATGAAGAAAGAAAATACACATAAATTTAAAGTGACTCTGTAACATTGTTGAAGGTTGATGAAAAAATTACATAATTTCTGTATGAAATGTTACTTATTATATTCTTTCTACAGTACTAACCCTCTAACATGCCAAAAAATCCTGAAAAAATTCTCAAATCACAATGATCTTTGAAGGCGTCATTGTTCAACACCCTCTAACAGTAAATTTCCCAAACGTTTTTCCATGAAAAAAAAATATAAGACAGGCTTTTACAAATCTGTCACCATTTAAATGTCTGGAATAGTATATTTTGCTTTGTGACGATTTACATACACCTAAAATGTAATTTAATTGTAATAATATAGTTGGGAGAATTAATTATTGATCAGGTCAGTTTTTTCCAACTTTTATAATGATCTGTTTTCACTCAACCTTTCAGATTATCTTTACTTGTACATCTAGCATTGAAGTCAGTACCTTAGCACTATTTTCTCTCATCTGAACAATGTTACTAAGTACCTTTAACACTCATAAACAATATAAATCCAAGTCGCTGTTCATATTTATTGTCCCTACTTCTAATTTTTGTTGTTGATATCACTTGCTTACAATATTTTACTGAAGCTTCAGGCTACTTACCCATAACTGATCATCATGATTTTTGACCCCTTTCTTGATGAAAGCTCCATAGTATGTTGCAATATTCCTATGGTGGGAGTACTGAACAAACAAAAAAGAAAAAGAACACATCACCACAATATATTCACAGTCGAATGAAGCATAAAACAATCACATGATTCAATTTCTTTCATTTTCAAACAAATTTTGCCAAATGTCTAACATTGATTCTTCCATGTATGTTTGTGCATTGATTACCGTAATAGTAATGAGCCTCATTAATATAATGGAGTGATACTCAAACACAAACATTGTTTTTCTTTGACAGACCAGGCTACTCTGTACACACAAAAACTTGATTAAACACCATCAGTAATCAGAATTATATACCTCACTTAAGTAATCCAGCAATCTGATTGGTCGAAATTGCATTCATAAACTTTAACTGTTCCCGAAAATTCCCGGTAACCATGGTTAAAAAACAGTTCAAAATCCCAATAACCATGGTTATTGGGATTTTGAAATAGGTCAGTCTCCATGGTTACCCCATAGGTTTACATGTTAAAAAAATGGTCTGAGCGATCGAGGATACCATACGTGTGCGAAGAATTGGTCGGTAATTTCAATACAATTGAATCTCGATCGATCTTACCGACAATTTTATCTTGCATTGTTGACATTAAGACGAAAATAAACTTCCAAAAACAAAAAAACAACATCTGCCAATAGATCTTGATCTAAATTTGTGCCAATATGCATTGCAAAAGTAAAAGAAGGGCCTGTTTAATGGAGCAGCCGTGAAGCTTCCACCACGTGAAGCCGTTTTCAATCCATTTTAATGTATATATATGAAAAAACTGCTATGTATGGTAACAGAGCGCGATAGCCGAGCGGTTTAAGGCGGCGGTATTCGTTACATCACCTTTGGTACGCAAGAGTTCGAATCCCATCTTTCGACAAAAGTTTTTTTTTTTTTTTTTTTATTTATTTTTTTTATAAAAGTATTAATGACTGCTTTAATATTCGAGAAATAGTTGTTTTTATACGCTCTCGGGAAGGTTACAATTGGACTATTGCCCTCGGCACGCCTCGGAGCAATAGCACAATTCTAACCTTCCCTTGAGCGTATAAAAACAACTATTTATCTCAAAGCAGTCATTAATACTATACTATTAAACTTTTAATTATCATAACATAATTAAAGAGTTATCTCTTTACATGATTATGATGTACATGTATAATATAAATGTAAGTTAATGAATGTTCATGATAAGGAATTACACTATAAAACTGGTAATGATCAATTCTGGTCACATGTGCTATTACATTGTAAAAGAAACTGCCTCCAATTAGGCCTAATTGCAGAAGATTAATTATCTGGTGAATGAAACTAATACTTCCAATACAAGGGCATTTAAAGAGCAATCCTTTTCAAAATACCTTTTTTTCTATGGTATTCTTCCTAACTGACATACACGTAGCAGGAATGAAAAAGTTGAATTTTTTTTATTTTTTTGCCTTTGCCCAGAAATCTACCTCCTCTTGAATCAATTAACATTTCACATGTAGATCTCACATTACGCTTGTTGTTTACATGTACATGCTCAAGTATGTGGTGAATCTCGTCACACGCAATCTATCCCCTCCGCCGTGCAAAGTGCGATCATGGAAGTGAAAACCAAGATTGCCAATTTGGCAAAGGAAGGGGAAAACAATCCTTGATACTCTTCAATAGGAAGTTTGTTTGAGCGAAGACGGAAATATATGTTATTTATATTAGCGGAATGTGAAGAAAAATCATGTCAATGAGAAATTTAAGAGATTTATGTTGTCAATATTTGTCATGTAATGTTGATATCAATAAGGGCATAGCAGTTTTGTATATGGAAAGAGACAATCATGTACCGGTATACAGAACACATAAAGACAAGGTTGAGTAGAGATAAATATTATCAGGGTAAATATGGAATAATAATTAATATCTACATAAATGTTATCAATTTTTGGTGTTCTCTAACAATGTACTAAAGTGATAGTGCTATTAAAAGAACATCACAATTAATATATATTCTCGCATATCCTTCAAACAATATTGTATTATGAGAGAAGGGACATCATAAAAGGCAGTCAGCCTTCAACACATTTTATTGGAAAAACATAATGATCTATGTACATTTGACATTTGTACATTCATAGATGCATGTCTCGAAAGCCACTAATGCTTTCCGTCTCCCTAACATCTCTAACCCATGCAGTCCTATCATGTACACTCTATATTCACACACGGCTAAATCTGTAATTATTTATAGACTCTACAGGTATCCTATCTTTCTCCGTCTCGTACACATAACATGCTCCCGCTATCTACGTTTGGAGGAGTAATAGAAGGGTTCTATCTGTAATGATAATAATAATAATAATAGCATGGGAACCAATAATAGTCATACAAGTGGACATCTTATGGCGTTGATATGAACTAAATTGATCGGTTAGCGCATGATTCGATGCAATTTACTTAGTGTATTTCTGTCGAGGAGAACCTGATTTGTTTCCGCTAATTGCATGAATTCAGTCGGCTCGCGATGACTCATCAACGATCCCAGCATGCAGCGAGGACGATGGGCATAGTTCTCCGGCACAGACGGTTTCAAATCAAGCAGACATGAATTTGTAAAGAATGCACGGAATGATCGGATATTCCATGTTCTTAGAAAACTTGTTGACACACATTTACTCATGAATACTCATAGTAAACAGAAGCATAATGCTAACATTTTGAGAGGGGCAATCTACTATTCATGACAAAAGGTTTAGGCATGATTAGAAGTTATAGCTCAATGTGCTTGACTCTGAATACTGAAGGACTCATCATGAATAACACATTCAAATTTACTAAGAGCTTTTTGTCTTGGCATGAAGAATTAGGTTATCAGAAAAGAAAACAAACAAACAAAGAAATCAATCTAGGGAAGAACTTCAGACAACCCCCCCCCCCCCCCACCCCAACCCTCCATCACAAATGTACTTGTAAATCCTCACATTATCTCATTAACACTTACCGGTATATAAAGTATGAATCGCTGAAGTAACCGGGATAATGAAAATTCACACACTTTATGTGGCTCATACCTTACTCGTAGCCCCAGCCCCCATCCCCCCCCCCCCCCCCAAACAATTTTTTAAATTCAAGTTCAAATGGAGTCTACGCCCTACAGACTATGCTAGCATCACAACACAGGTGCTCTTACAAACCCTCTCTCACTCCCTAGGTGGTTTACATACCACGGAATGAACTCATCTCTCTAATGCACTAGGAATGGTGCACTATTCATCCTGATTGCATTAACTCCCATCATTCAACAACGGAGACTCTGAGAGAAGGTGGGCGTGTCACATAACTCGCATGCTGATTTCATGTCAATGGCTATAATATCTTACTCATCGACTTCTATTCGTATTTTTTAATGGGGTCTGATTAGCATTGACATTCATAGTCATGTCTGCTATGACTTTCCACTTATTATTACAGATGGGGCACCCCCCCCCCCCCCCACATCCCCACTTGTTAATTTTGTCTTAGCAATGGCAGTGTGTTACTCATCGACTTCTGATTAACCTTAACATTCAAATTCATGTCTGTTCTAAATACTCCCTCCCCTTTTGCACTTTCATAGAATTCTATTCTTATTTCAAGGCGAATTAGCAATAACATTGGCTTCTCCGTTAATAGAGCACAGGGGGGGGGGGGCATGCACCCCCTCCTATTTTTCTGTCATGTAGAAGGCAGTATCCAACTTCTTTTCTCATTCCGCTGGATTCTGATTAACTGTAATTGAAGTAATTCATAGTCACGCTTGCTTTGACAGTTACATGTGCATGACTATAGGCAGGAGGGGTTGCCCCCCCCCCCCCCCCCCACTCCCTAAATCCCTCCCCAACATTGTCACTTCTATTCTTATTCTGTGAAACTCTGATTAGCTATAACATTGATAGTCATGTCTGTTTTTGGTTTTCCAGTTACAGCACATGTGGGGTAGCCCCCCCCCCCCCCCCTTCTACTCGCTTCCCCCCCCCCCCCCCCCCCCCCCAATGTTAATGGCAATTTATTACTCATTCAGCTCTATTTTTTATCCCATGGTAATCTGATTAGCTTTAACATTCAAATTCATGACAGCTTTGACGACTTTATGAAACATTCCCCAGCAATTATTGCTCTGCAATCAATTTCCTACAGTAGCCAAATCATGAAACTTCATAACACCAAAACCTAACCGTAACCTGACCTCTTACAACCCTGCCCATTCATCTTTAAAACAAAGAAGAGGCCAAAGAAAATATTTATGATTGCTGTGACTTTACAGCTAAAAGAACAACGAGGTTTCCTCTCTCCTCACACACATCTAAAGTTTATATTTATACCCATCTAAACTGCATAGAAGTATCATCAATGCAAGCTGATCTAAAATGAAAGAAACAGTTTTTGGTGAGCCTGGAATATTGGGAGTGACCTTTTGGAAGTTTGACCCCTTTCTAAGCCTTTTGTGTCGTGTCATGTATCAAATCTCTACAGGGGTGTGCCTGCAGGTGTTCTCGTAGTTTTGTATTTAGGGCTAACTTTATCAAAAAATTTCTTCACCATTTATCTTGTGGTTCAAAATAGATGAAAATTGGCAGCAAACACATGAACACTTACTTTGAAGGCTGTTTCTTTGGCACTGAGATATATTATCGTTTGTATGCCATTTGTTTATCCTGTGTAATAGACAGGCCTACATAGCGGCAGATCCATTATTTTGTCAAGGGGGGGGGGGGGCACAAAATTTAAGAAAATATCTAACAAGCATAAACAAGTTATCACATGTTCAAATGTCGTTTGGGTCTACCGGTAAATCTAATGGCACTACAAAACTATTTTGTGTGTTTTAAAGATGGGTGGGGGTGGGGCTCAGGCCAGTTGTGTCCTCTCCCTCCACCCCCCCCCCCTCCATGTAACATAAGGCATATTAGTAAGTGAGACTGTTTCTCTTCTAAAAAATTGACCTCCAAAGCGATTGTCTGTTTTGTTCCATCTTTTATGAAAGCCCCCCCCCCCCCCCCTAAAAAAAAAAAGGTTTGCATCTGAAGACTACCGATTCTTTTTCTCGGCAAACAATAGATACATGTATATATCTCAAACATGTTTTTTAAAACCGCTTGACCTTTGTGTAATGAGAGCTTTGAAGCTGTATACCGGAAACTTCAGGGTATTTTTCTGGTCAAGATGTAAGATCGCATTACACTTCCTCTAAACCCATTTCCCATTTTACACCAGGCCCCACATACTTATTTTCATGTTGGTCTTTGCAGCCAATTAAATTATAATTTTGTGATGCATACTACAATTTGGTACATTTTATACCCAATGGCCTGAAATTCACTTGGAACAAAAAAAAACCAGAGGGTGTTCACAACTTAACTCTAAGTTGGACTTAAAAATTATGGAAAGCCATTAGTATCTATGGAAATATTTTGTAAAAGTTATTTTTAAGGCATAAAATGTTGATTCAAATCGTTCATATTTTCTATTATCAAGGAGATTTCCTGTTCTTGATGTGGAATTTATAAAAAGTCTAAAATACTTGAAATTTCGCTTTTGAATATATTTTATGTTAAGGCTACAAATGGCTCTCCATAATTTTTAAGTCCAACTTAGAGATAAGTTCAACTTAGGATCTTTGTGAAACATCCCCCAGGAGTAGATGGGAACATTGGGCTGTATACAAGCAAAGCTTTATGATTGTTTTTTGTATCATGGCTAATGAAATGAAAAGGGTTGCATTATTCCTGGAGATGGATTTAAAAAATAATAATACTTCTCCCCTTCTCCAAGGGTGGTAGGTAATCTTGACATCAACATGTCTGGCACAAAAGCAGGAAATTCCCAAACAGGAAGTCAGGAAAGTAGTACTCTATCTCTCTCTGGGGCAGGTTGCGGTGGGGTCCGTGCTCTGCGTAACTCCTCGAAAAGGGTCAAATATATCGTTCATTTATCATCTTAGTCGGTATGGGTACGACAATATGAGTGTGATGATAATATGCTACCAGATACTGCAGATAGGGTGGAGTTTTATACATCTATCTCTAATTTATTCATGAAATTTAATTTAAAAATATTATACAATACCTTCTTCAGCACATTAATCTCAAGCTTGATTTCTTCCTCCTCTTCCTGTAACATAAAAAGAAAAGAAAAGAAAAACAAATCTTTAATTATATATTCATAGATTTCAAATATTAATCTAATTTGTTTCATTGCATAAGGGAAGAATTACATTGAACAAGGGGATCAAACTTCCCGCTTGGAAACATTCAAAGAAACATTTAATATAAATTTCAAAACAGTAAAAACTATACATGATCTAGTTATCAACAATCATCTAGCCATGTGTCTGTAAAGCACACATAAGCCAACCTCTTATCATTGATGATGCTGGTACAACACAATAGGGAGAAGCATACTATTTTTAAAAAAGAAGAGTGAATTTTTAATCTATTTTCACTTTCTTGGGAGCGACGTCCGTGATCACTTGTTTAGGAGTGAAAATCAATTGATTTTAGAGTGCTCTCTAAGAAGAAAAGAGTGAATGTTCACTCTATTTTCACTACATTTTCACTCTCCAGAAGAGTGACGTCCGTGATCACTCAATTTTTTTTAGAGAGTACACCCAATGAGGCAATGACATTACAAAAATACTGGTATGAGTATACATGCACAGACCAGTAACGTCACCATCCTTATCATACCAGCAGAAAAGATGTGATAGAATAGGCCTACCGGTATATTTTGTTTTAACTACACTACTCGATAGACAACAACAATATCAAATTCATGCAGAATAATGATTAGGATGGCAAAACCTTGGGGCAAAATGATACTTGATTTATGACCATGTTATCATGCAAAATCAAATGATGTTTTGTGACACATTGAACATCTATAAAATGACATGTTACTGTCAAATCAATTTTTAGCTTGAAATCTAGATATTTATGCAGAGTAATGATCATGATTGCCAAAAACTTTGGGGCAAAATGATACTTGATTTATGACTGTGTTATGATGCAAAATCAAACAATGTTTTGTAACAAATTGTAAATAAACATCTAATGGCTTGTCAACTGTAAACTCAATTTTCAGTTTCCTTGAACAAATTATGAATAATGATATGTGTGCAGGGCCTTCAGGGAGAACAGTATTACTACTGATAACACTACCGTGGGTAAACATGACATAAATGTACTACAGTCGACTATTATTATTATTATTAACATCATTATTATGATTATGTTTAATCCTGGATGTCTCAAGGCTTCCATTTTCTATTTGGAGCCAGAATGACATTTTTGTGTGTGTGAGATAATGTCCCCCTGGCCCTAAACGGATGATATGATGTCTTTGAAATGCATGCATGTGACAATAGCTTGATCAAGGACAATTAATGCCTGAATTTCTTGAAGCAACTGTCAAGGTTTGCGTCTAGCTCTGAAGACGACGAGAATGGGCACCTCCAAGCCACAAGAGGCCTGTCCTCATCAGCTCGAGTTTGCCAAATAACCTGCTATTTTAGCTATCCTGATCGCAAATTAGCCAGTTAGTTTGTGTCTTCATCAGCCCGCAGTTGCAATTAGCAGGATATTTGGTCAAGAAAATATCCCGAGAAATCTTGGTCTTGTTTACAAAATATCCCGCTATTTGGGAAAAAGCAGGCTAATTTGCGCTAGTCCGAACTAGTTTGTGATGAGCGTATCGGTCTGGTGATGATGCAATTTCGAGCTTCGGGATAATATCCAGAGTCTGAAAATAGCGTTATTTGGCAAACTCAAGCTTATGAAGACAAGAAAGGACACCTCCAAACCACAACGACTACATGCGCACATGAGGCCCCCTCTGTGCATGTTCCTCCAACATTTTTCTCAAGTCAAGTCGGGAGAAGACTTGATGTCTGTCGCGGCTAATAAACTGTGGCAGCAGAGTCGAGTCTTATCCCATCATTTTGCAAATTTGATTACCCCGACGCTATGTAGCGACTGTCAGCCACCATAGAGATTGCTAATTGGGCGGCACACGACATGCCGAGGCTGACATCATGCAAATGAATATCATTAAACCTTCGTTCAGACTGGCAAAAATAAACCAAAATTTGTTTTTAAACCAAACACACACATGTACATTATATACTATACTGGTACATGTATACTGTACATGTATGTAGGTAACATGATTTGATATAAATTTTTCTCTCATCTGAAGTTTGGAACAAGACTCATGCAATGGCTGTATTTTTAGAGAGCAAATCAGGATCCTGTTTCATAAGACTTGTTATCAATAACAAATGTTAAATTTCTATGACAAATTTGCTCTCTGCCAATCGAATGCCACGATTTCAGTAGCTTATTACAGTTATTGTAACTTGTATATTGATAACAAGTTTTATGAAACAGCACACTTTATTCTCTTGTCTGAACAGGCTTGGAGCCGTGCATTGTTTTGTTTTTCTTCAGAGAGCAAATCAGCGATTATGAAACAAACAGCGCACTGTATTCTCTCGTCTGAACGAGCCAGGAGTCATGCCTTGGTTGCTTATTTCAAAGAGCAAATCAGCAGTTATGAGCCAAACAGCGCAACTGTATTCCAATGATGGCCTTACGAGGCAATAGATCATGAAATGAGTTTGAGTTATGATGGCTCCCGTTTGGGAGTGACAAACAGTCTCCTTCTGAAGGCTTTAAAGGTCCGATGGAATCGGAGGTGTCTGGACGAAAGGTCAGGATGAGCTCTGACAAGGATTACTGTCTCCTGTTTCATAATGTTTAGGTATCTAATGTGTATATATTCTGAACCTCTTCTATAATACTATACACTTCTCCACACTAAGTTTTTGCGGATTAAAATTTGTATTAGTTTGTATGCATCAGCCCTCTACATGTGTATTTTCATGTTTTGACATGGGGGGGGGGGGGTATAGCCTTGGGGCTGTTAATGTCAAATCCTATATTGTGTTACATATTTACATGTATTTTTGTACACAACAATTACAAGACCTTAATGTACAATCACCAAATACTGTGAATGGGCAACTCTGGGTCACCAAAGAAAATAAATTTCAACAGTACTTTTAAATTCTTCCTTTCATTTGCATTATAAAATCAGAGCAGCAAATGTTCAATGTCTTTTTACGTGAAAGAGTAGACGTTTTGATATTGCACATTTAATGCCTTTGCTAAACAGCAAAATAACTTCATATCCAGTGCATCAAAGATGTTGATGTGCTTTGCATCACATTGGCACGGATCAGAATTAGTAAGGTTCTCCTTCCTGAGTAGTCTTACGTGTGAGACAGACGTGTCTCTAAAAATAGTCCACAAAATTAAGTTGGCATGGGAGTCATCGCAACGGGCATTGCCCGAAAGAAAACTCTGGTCCATAAGGCCTCGATCGATCGGCTGTCATTTTACAGCTGCGGCATATCTGAAGTTGTTGAATGATGTACGTGTTTATGTAAGATGTGTCGGGATATAATATAGTATTCACACTCTGTTTAAAACTTTTGAATAATGCAATGTGTCCATGTTATGTATGATCTGTCGGTTTGTGAAACAAGATTCCAAATCTGTGATTTGTTATATCTACATGTATGAAGTAACAAACAATTCTCCATTACAAACTGCCAAATTGCAAGGTAGGACAAACATTATGGCTTGTCCTACCTAGCAACACGGAATGAAAACAATTTGCATTCTGACTATTGAAATACAATTATTTGTAACAGGGGGATGAAATGATTTGTTAGGAGGCACTTGATACAAATTTGTGCATTGAATCCGATTACATTACCAAAATGGCCTATTGAGTATTTAAAAGTATGGGGCCCTGTTTAAGTCAATAAATTAAGTAAAACTCATGTCTGTATGCAAACAGCATCTTTTTTTCTTCTATGTAAACATAGCAGCATTTTCCTTTCTCACAAGGACTCACTGCCTGAAAATGGTGAATTGTCGTTTGGTCTACAACCAGTCCGACTATTCCCACATGGTCTACACCCAGCTAGTCTACTACATACACAGTCCGATTCATAATTTTGTCTACTTATTGTTTGGTCTAATGACCATTTTGGCTTAAAGTCATTAGACCAAACGAATATTAGCCTAAATGGTCATTAGACCAAATGATAAGTAGACGAAAGGATTATGAGACCTTGTGGATTGTAGGGAGGCTGGGGGTGTAGACCATATGGGAATAGACCAATTGGGTAGACCAAACAGCAATCTAAACCCCTGAAAATCACTTTCTCCTGCCCCTGGGAATGAGTTCCTCTATCATCATTGCCAGGAACATGGCCACTGCACAGGAACCTAAACATCCTGGGAATAAAACCCAGGCTTTCAATAGGCCTGTTTTCATCAGCTCGAGATTGCCAAATAATCCGCTATTTTTTATTTGGGAAATAATCCTGAAGTTACAAATCGCGTCCTCATCAGCTCGAAACTTGAAACTCAAGCTCGAGATATTTTGCTCAGAGTTTGTGCATAGTGCGAGTCTTCGGGCTGGTGAAGACATACCGGACAAATAGGGGGATATTTTGCAAACTGATTATCTCAACCAAATATCCCGCTAATTGCAACTTCAAGCTGGTAAAGACGCAAATTAACTGAATATTTTGCGATCAGGATAGTCAAATAGCGGGATATTTCGCAATCTCGAGCTGATCTCGAGCTGATCAAAACAGGCCTGTTGTACAGGTACAGGAGGAATCAAGGTCTGTTTGAATTCATTCAATCTACAAAACACACGCATAATACTACGTATATCTGTCTACCAAACTCCTGCCATCGTAGAGTCAACTAGCAGTTCTAAAAATAGGACAATTTCGTAATGTGATCGAATTTAATGCACTAATCTTTAAAGTGTCTCAATAAAAATGATTTCATTCCCCTGTTATGAATTGTATTTCAATATTTAGAAAGCGAATTGCAAACATTATGTGTTGTTAGGTAGAATAAGGCGACAAGCCACAATGTTTGTCCTACCTAGCAACAACTAATGTATGCATCATTCTGACTATTGAAATACAATTATTTATAACAGGTGAATGAAATAATCTGTAAGGAGGCATTGAACAAAGATTTATGCATTTACTTAGAGAAGGGCCTATGTGCATGTACATGCTC